GCTCTTGACATTAAGGCTCATTTAATTTAGCTTTGGGTGAGTTGGTTTAACCCTCTACCAGGCATTTTATTTATTTATTCTCAGGGTTTTTTTTGGGGGGGGAGTTGTAAAGACCAACAAAAGGAGTGATAGAAGATAGAATAATAGGGCTGAAAGGAACCATGGAGGTCTTCTAGTCCAACCCTCTGCTCAAGCAAGCGAGACTACACCATTAGAGCTGTTCAGGGTCGCCTCTGCACCCTCGTATTTGGAGGTCCAGCCAGACCCCCTGGCAGCTCTTTACTTTGTCCTGGGATTAGCCTGGAAGGTCACTGCTCAAGACTCCGAAGAGGGTGAAGAAGTCCGTCTCAGCGGATCGACTGCCAGGGAGGCCCATTCCTTGCGGATCAGGTAACCCCAAGTGCGCTGGGGAGGGAAAGACGGCTGCAGTGGAGGCAGATGAGGTTAGGGGGCGAAGGAGCAAGGGGGCCCACAGCCAGACCTTCCAGGATCCCCTTCCTTCCCTCCAGAAGATTCAAGGCTACCATTGGATGTTCTTAAACGGGCCAAAGTCTGCAGGAAGGCGGGCAAGGAGACCTTAGGACTCTCTCTCTCTCTCTCTCCAGCCATTTTCTGATTGGGAAGATGAGATTGGAAGTGAAAAGGGAAAGAGAGAGCCCAGAGAGCGGGGAGGATGTGTGCCACGCAACAAGGTGTGTATGCCTGCGGTCGCCCACTTGTTCCACTGGCGCTTTTGAAAGATAGGGTGGGCCCCCCCCCCCAGTGCTGCAGAATCTTCTTTAAGAGGATTGTGTTTGCAATGCCAAGATGTGTGTGTGTGTGTGTGTGTGTGTGTGTGTGTGTGTGTGTGTGTGCACGCGCGCACGCACACATGAATCCATGGACTCTTAACAGCTGCAAATTTCTTTTCACACAACGTTCCCAGCAGCTGAGTTTTAATTCAGGGCTCATGCTGTGTGCTTGCCACCAAACAAACTGGGGAGGGGGACGGCTGTTTGGGGAGAGGAGGGGGGAAGAAAGGAAGGTGCCCACAGTTGTGCCAGGCTGCAGGCGGGGTGGGCAGGTGGGGGGTGGTGGTGAGGCAGAGGACAAGTTTTAGAAGCCTCCAAAGCGTAATAGTGTTTCTCAGTCTTGTCATTTCTTGGGGGGGGGACCTGAGGGGGGAGGCTGTGCCCCATTTCTGCCCACAGGGACCCCTGGGGCTTTCTCCAAGAAGCTTTTGACTGTCAGGGAGGAGGGGGGGCTCGCAGGGGGTGCAGGGGAGACCAAATGGGAGGGAGCCAAATGCCGAAGGGGGCAGGAGGAGAGCCAGCTGGCGGCAGAGGGCAAAGAAGAGCGAGGGGCCAGCTGTGCTCTGGGCATGGGGTTCTGCTGGACACATGACCCAGGATGGCCTCCAGAGCAAAAGGGCCTCCTGAGTGCACCTTGACCCGTGGGAGCCCCCCCAGATTTCCCCCACACACACACACTTAGGGGCCTACGCTACGCACACACAGCTCTTGTCAGTTTTCATGGTTTGCTCTCTTGCACCAACCCAACAAATGGGTGAATTCAGTCCCTCCCCCCAGTTAAAGATGGACGTGCAAATCCAGCCTGTCAGCTTCAGCATCTCTGCACACACATACGCACACATACACACACACACACACACACCCCGCACATTTCTGGGCCCAGATGGATTTGCCTAAAATAGAAGGCGGGGAGACCACGTAAAGCTGGGCAAAGGAGAGCCGGGCCTGCAAAAGGCATTTTCTCCCCATCCTTTTCGTCCTCAGCCGAGATGGCCAGGGCTCCTGCCTTCCTCCCACGCCCAGCTTCCCTTGCCAGTCTCCCCGTTCTCCAGCTCAAACACGCCATTTCCCCCTGCAGCCCTGGGCGGCCCACCATTTGCCAGCCCCCCCCGCCCCCCCCCTTTGACAGGAGCCTTGGAGAACATTCCGGGACATGGCCAGCCCCTTCAGCCCGGCCTTTTTGCAAAAGGAAACTCCCCATCACCACCACCACCACCACCGCAACAACACTTATGGAGGGTGGCTGCTTGCAAATCATACGGGTCCTTTTCCAGATTCTCCCAATCTCTGTGGGTCAGAGAAAGGGCTCTGTCAGCGGCTACCAACTCAGGGCCCCCCTTGCTCTGGAGAGCTTGGGGTTTGGCTGTGCTATTTATGCTTCTGCTTCTTCAGCCCCTTCAGCCCATGCCCCAAATGAGGAGAGGGCCCTTGGCTGCTTTCAAGTCTTGTCAAGGACCGGCATTTGGGTAGGGCGCCTGTGCCCTGGCTGAACAAGTCGCCCTTTCGACATTTTTCCTGAGCTCCAGCCAAATTCCACTCCTTGCAGTTGCAACTCAAGCCTCCCTCCTCCCCCAGGCTGAACTTCCCAAGGTCTCCAACTGCTCCTCCTTTCCCTGGCAATTGGCCACCTCCTCTAAGGAAGTCTGCGGTTCAAGGGCAGTCTACCTGGGAGGAGGGGATGAAGCCAGTCCAGGCTGTTGCTGGCCCTTGTGACATTCTCCTTTTGGCATGTGTTGCAAAAGATGTGAGAAAACCCATTTTTATATGCATTTCCGTCAAATACGCAGCATTCTCCAAGGAAGGAAGGAAGGAAGGACATCTGAAAGGGAGCATCTTTTCAAAGACGCGGCGCATTATCACCCCTTCCATTTATAATCTTCTGATTCTACCAAGTTCTCAGCATTGCACAAAGATATTTTCTGCCCCCTGAACAGCTCCAGACGGGGCCCTCTCCAGTCCGCCTCCTTGCTCATAACAAACTCAGCAGAAGCAAAAGCCTCCTTTAGTGCCAGACGTAAATCCATCAGTCCTTGGCTGAGTTACTCAGCCCTGCCCCCAGGATACCTGGCTCCAGGCCAGGCCCCCCACCTCCACCCCAAGGCCCCTCAGCCTGCCCCTTGGGATCCCTTCCCAAGCCAACCCCGAAAAGGTGAAGGGGGAATCGCATCTAGGTAGGAAGGACCTTACCCCGAGAACTGTCCTCTTGGTCCGATGGATGATCCGGCTCCATGGCTTCCAGAAATGCGGCTGTCCGCCCAGTGAGGGTGGAGGGAGCCTTAGCAGGCCAAAGCAGGGCCCTCGCTGGGGCTCATCCTCAGTGGAGCAGCCAAGCGATCCACCTGATTTACGAGCTTCGGCCAGCTCCTCCAGGGGAGGCCTCTCTTCCTTGGCATGGCACAGCCGGGCAGTGCTCCTGATCCGACAGGTGACCTTTGGGACTGGCTGGCCTGTGCCCAGCCCTGAGGCCGGAGAGGCATCTCTGGCCCTCCCTGCCCCAAGTCCTGCCCTCTTCCCGGGGATGGGAAGAAAGTTCAAAGGCTGCCCTGCGGCAGAGCTGCCAGGAAGGCCCAAGAGAGGGAGGGCAAAGCAGGAGGGAGGGCCCGGCCTGTCTCCAAGGCCCCTTCGGGCACCACACAAAAGCAGACGGAGCCCCAGAGGCTCGGGGGACACCCCTCCTCTGGATCAGCAGCTCTGCAGTGCCCAACGTCCTGCTGCAAATCTGCCCACCGGCTGCGTCCTGGCTGGCCGGGAAGGAGCTGAGCTCTCCAAAGTCCCAGCCGGAGAAGCCTCCGGTCCCTCCACGCTGCAGCTCCGTCTGTGGCTTCGGCTCCTTTGGTGAGTTGCGTAGCTGTCACTGCTCCACGGCGGCTGCTGCTGCTGCTGGCGGTGTTGGCTTTGGAGCGGCCCAGCCCACGCCAGAAGCTGTGCACGTTGCCGCCTGCTCTTGGCAACCGGGCGGCCGTGGGACCAGCCAGCTCAGGAGGCCCCTGCCGGCACCAACCCGCTTCTGGCCAGAGGTGGCGGAAGAGGCCGGCCCCTGGGCTTTCCCTGCCCGGATGGAGAGTCCAGCGTTACCCAGGGACGGAGGGGGTCTGTGGGGGCACTCAGGGGAGGCGGAAGAGCGGGGCGCTCATAGCATCCTGACCCAGTTTGGGCGTTTTAGACAAAAACTGGAAATGGAGAGTCGGCCTGGCTCCCCCTGTTCTTCACTGACCGGATATTCCACAAAACTCTGCCAAGCCACCAGCTGCTTCTATCAAAGCCCTGCCTGGAGGGGCAGATTCCACACAAGCTGACTTCGGATTAAGCCACGATTGGCACGAAGAGGAGTTTTCTGAAGCAGATTCGACCCAGGCTTTGCAGATCAGTGTCTGGACTCCCTCCACGTGCGAACAGCTGCAACCCGTCCTCCGAGGAAAGCGGTTGGGGACTCTCCCCTCCTTGGGCGGATAGGGAGCCCTTCTGGAATTCCGAGAGCTGGTGCAGAACTTCCCGGTTCAGAGCAGTCTACCTCAGCGGATGGATGCCCACAGGTGCCGGTGCCCAGCTTTCTCCCAGCTCAGGATGCCTGGCGGGATGAGGGAGCTTCTGCCCAGCCCCCATGCAGGAGCAGCGAGAGAGCGTGGAGATCAGCTGGGTGGAGGCTCCAACTCGGAGGCCTGAGTGGGGTGAAGCAGCCGTATCAGCTGTGCCCTCCGCGTGGCAGAGATGGGTGGTGACCGCCTGTGGGGGCAGAGGAAGCTGCTAGAAGCCTCATGTGGGAAAGGAAATTAACTCGGAGGCTGCAGGGGTGCTTCTGAGCTGCAGGAAGGGGCAGGGAAGGCCCTCGGCTGCTGGCTTGGTGCTAAAACCCTCCCAGCTGGCCCATCAGCAAAGCCAGGCCTCCGTGGGGATCCTGCCCTACACCTTTTGCCCCCTGCCCAGTTGGCACAGGCCCCCCTTGCCTGCCACGGCCTGGCTAAGCCCCTTCGTCTTCTCAAGTCAAAGGAGAGCCAGTTGGGGCACCCGCTGGTGGGGCCGGAGGGATGTCTCCCCAAGTGCCCCCTTCTCTGTCAAGGCTTGATAGTTCTCCCCCCCCTTGAGAAACAGGCTTCTGTTTTTCTGCCTCTTCCTCCTTCTCTCTCTAGGGGTCCTGCTGCGATCTAGGGTGCCCCAGGAGAAGGCAGGGGGGCAATGTTTCCTTCTTCCTCACTGCCTCCCCAAGTGGTGGAAGGTGCTGAAGTGGAAAAGGGGGGCACATCCTGGGAAAGGCTGAGAATGCCCCCCCCCCTTCGACTTTCAGGAGGCAAAGCTCTCCATGCACAGGTTGCTTAGCAATGCTGTGTGGGAAGAGTTTGGCTCGCTGGAGAGTTACGGAAAAGGAAAAGCCGATGTTAGTGCTGGCAGTGCTGCCCACCCCCACCCCCCTCAGCAAGTGGGACAAAGGGGCAGTGGGGCAGCAGAAGAGGAGGAGGAGGAGGTTTCCCATGCTGGCATTTGGTCAGTCCCCCTCCCCTCCCTGCTGGGACGGCTCCCTCCCTCTGCTGCCTGCCCAAGGCTGTTGTGCTATCAGCTAGCACAATCTGGGCTTTGTCCCTCCCGTCTCAGGATGCAGGGAAAGCCGCTTCTGGGCTGGGGGAGGCTTGTACTTATAGTCACGTTCAGCACACGCCCAGAAGGAGCGTGGAAGGCAAAGGCCCACCGGCCAGAAGCAGTCAGTGGAACCAGGGAAGAAAGGGGGCAGAAAAGGGGCTGGATGGAGGCCAGCCAATGCCACAGCCTCGACTCGACTCTCCTCTCCGCAGGGTCCCTCTCCCTGCAGACCCGAATCCTCCTGGGGTTACGTTCAGGTGATGGCCCACCTTTTAACGCCTGGAGAGCAGGAGAAAACCTGGCCACATTTTCCATCTTGGAAGTCCAGCTCTGTCCCTGAGGAATTGATGCTTTGGCCCCAGCCGCGCTGACCCTTCCAAAGACTGACTGCCCCTCCAAGCTGGGGTTTGGCTCATTTGCCTCTGTCCATAAAAGGGGTTTGGGCACTCTCTGCTGGGAGGCCGGCACAGACGAGCATCTCGCAAAAGACCGATAGGGAGGCCGGCTGCGTGTTAAGACTTGGTTTCAATTCAGACACGCCAGAGAAATCCGGAGGTCTTTTTCTTCTTCTTGCTTTTTCCCTCCCAAGTGCAACGTTTTGGAAACATCGACCTTAAAACAAGGAAGAAGAGGCTTATTACCACAACAAGCAGTGAAGTCTACTTTTCTGCTAACCACTAGGGGCCGCAGCTGAAGCAGGATTGGACTCTCTTCTTTCTCCCGCCCCTCAGTGCCCACCTGGGTTCTGGCTTTCCTTTAAAAAGCGCCATCCTTGAAATGCAACAGTTCAAGCAAGCGGAGAGTTCAGCCGTGCCCTGGATTTTCTTTGGGGTTCTCAAGACGCCTCTCAAAGAGGCCCATTTGGATCCTGGAGGTCCTAATTCCCTGCGGAGGATGATCTGCACATGGACGGTCCAGCCTGATAAACCCAGAGACAGCCTGATCTGGTCAGCAACCCCGGGGTGTGTGTGTGTGTGTGTGTCACTCTCCTCTCTTCCTCGGTTAACCGTGTTGGCCGCAGATGATGGGAACCATTGTCCAAGAGACCTGCAGGACTGGCAAGTCCTGATGGGGAAGAAACTGGGCGGGAAGGCCTGCCGTGCCCTCGGATCAACCCAGGTCTGGGCTGACGGGTCTTATCTGCCGAGGCCTTTGGAAAAATGCCCCACAGCTCTCCCTCGCTGGCCAGCAAAAGGAGTTGCAAAAGGACCTTGAAACCCTTTTATCTGGATCCGCATTCCTGAGGGAGGTTTGGGCTGATGGGACCGGCAGATTAGCCCCCTCCTCCCCCCCCCCCGCTTTTCTGGTGGCCACTTTATGGGTTACAAAGGAGTCTGCCCTTCTCTGCTAGCAGCCGGAGGGCAGGAGGGCTCCGAGAAGTCCTGGGTGCACCTCTTCCCTCCCGGGTCTCCGTTTTCCTGGAAGGCCAGAAGAGCCAAAGGGATCAGAGGTGCAGCTGCCACTCGCCCCCAGGAAAGCGGCACAGGAGCCCCGCAAAGACCCGGCTGGCAGCCTGAGAAGCCGGCCCCAAAACCCCACTGGCTTTGCTCTCCACTCCAGAGGCTCTCGGCTTCAGGCCTGCGGGCGCTCTTTCACCCCTGGGGCCAAAGAAAGACATCAAGGGAGCGGGTGCTTATGATCATGCCTGGTGGACGTGTTCTGTTGTAAAAAAATATTGGCCTAAGATTCATAGATGGTTAGAAAAGAGGATGAAAATCCAGATAGAATTTAAACCAGAGCTGTTCCTGTTAGGTATATTAAGACCTAACTATGGCAAAGAAAATGATTATTTAATATTACATGTATTGACAGCTGCAAGAATAGTATTCGCCCAATTTTGGAAAAATGAAAATTTACCATCAGACCAGATTATAATTTTGAAAATCTTAGATTGTGCAGAAATGGATAGATTAACGTTAGAGATGAAGGAGAAAGAAGACTCAATCTTTTATAAAACTTGAGGAAAACTTTATCAGTGGGTTGAAACACATTAAAATAAGAAGAGATTTTAGAGTTTTATTATATTAAGTATTAAGGTTGATGATTGGAAATAGTTATGATATCAACTATGCTAATTATTTAAAGGAATATTAGTGTTTTATCAAATGTCAGTTGTAACTATACTGATTTATTCTTATAACTGTCTAGTATTATATAAACAATAATATTCAATATGAAGACCCGGACGACAGCTTGTTCGCTGAATTACGTATTTACTGTAGTTATCCACACCCTGTCCCCTTTATCCCGATTTCGCTGTACCCATCCCAACCACATCTTTTCCCTACCCATATAAAATCTAATAAAATATATTTTTTAAACAAGGGACTGGGGGAAAGGTCTGTCACGGGAAAAAGTAGAGAGAAACTTCCTTCCTTCCTTCCCTTTCCTTTTTCTCCCTTCCTGTCCTCTTTTCTGTCTTTTTCTTTCTTTCTTCCTTTCCTTTTTTTCTTCTCATTTTCTTTTTCTCTCTTTCCTTTTCTCTCTTCCACACACGGAAGCAGCACATGTAGCAAGCAGACCTTCCCGCAGGTTCCTCCTCAGTCCCAAGCGCGGCGTGTGTTTTCCCGGTGAGGAAGTGGTTAGGGTTCTCTTCAACTGCCGTCTGCTGGCTATTTGGGCAGGAAGCAAAGGTCCTCTTTCTTTGCCTGTGATTCGCTGTTTTGTCAGCTGCCCAATGCAGCCGTCCGGCACGGCCAGGAAAGGTGCACCAGAACCCAAAGGGTGAGTGAAGCCCTTACCTGGGGAGGTTTGGGGAGGAAAAAGTGGATACCTGGCTTTTAAAGCCAGCCTAGCTGCCGAAACAGCCTCCCAATTCCTCACTTGCCCTACATTGGACATCTGGATTGTTTTTCCTTCTGCAGTTTGCGAGGAAGATGGGCGAAGGTTTCAAGAATGATTTTGTCCTCGTGATCACACCCAGGAGATAAGGCTGCCTTCTCGCCAGGTGAGACCTTGCCCAGGTGTGTATGGAGCGCAGGGGCTGGGGTATACTGCTTTCATCCAGGGAGGTTCACTGCTTCCTCAACAGTCCAGGATAAAATCATGGAGCTGACCTGCGGCTTTATTGAGGAACACTAGGGAAGCATGGGAAAAAAATCATAGCTTGATTGTGGCTCGGTCCCCTGAAGGTGCTTCAGGTCAGGCCGGGAGGGCTTCCTGCTTAAAATGGAGCATCTTTCTGGTGCCCCCTCACAAGGAGGAGAGGCAGCAGAGGCCCTTCGGGTGTGCCGCTTTTATTTTCCTTTGCAACTTGCGTGGAGGGAGTTCGGTGTTTCCTCATCGCTCCAGCCAGAGCAGTCACATGTCACAAAGTTCTTCCTTCCTTCCCTATTGGCCAACCTGCCTGCTCACCCAGGAGAGGGAAACCTCCTGACCTCCTCCTCCTCCTCTTCTTCCTCCTCCTCCTCCCACCGCAGGGAACGCCAGCCTTTTAAGCCGCCCTCAGGATGCCAGCCTCAAGATGCTGCTGAGCCAGAGTTAAGGATTGGCAGGAGGGAGAGCAAGGGAGAAGCAGCCCGCCCGCCCTCCGGCCCATGACTGCCCACAGTCCAGAGACCCTTCCCTGCCCCTGGGGGGAAAACTCCAGCACAGCCTGAGGCCAGCAGTGTCCCACGTCTGCCCAGCCCAGGGCGAAGACCACTAAGCAGGGCCAGTTCTTCCCCGGGATGAGCGTGCTGCTTCTGACAAGGTTTGCTCCAATTCTTTCCTCCTCTGGCGGGGTCCCAACCCCGGGATTTGGTCTGCTGGGAAACTCTCCCTCAACTGGATCTCTCCCTGCTGGGATCCTGGGACCTCCTGCAGTTTAGGCCAGGGGTGGGAGGGTGGGGTGGGAGAGAGACGGAGACGCTGCCTTCCTCCTGAAGACCTGCAAAAGGCGTCCTGGCCAGGGATGAAGAAGGCTGGACGAGGTCAAGGCAGCCTTCTAGGAAAGGAGGTGGCTGGATGACTGGGAGCCATCTTGGCTCTCCCTGCCAAAGATGCGGAAACGGAGAGCCTTCCAGCTACCACAGTGTGCGCCTAACTGGAGCAAAGAGCAGAGGAAGGACAGCGAAGCCTCAGCCTGGCTGGGCTCCTTCTCCCTGGAGACTCTGCCAAAGCCCCAGCGCCGGCTCCAGCCGAGGCCTGGAGCGTGGGAGCAGAAAGGCGGCACCCTAGGGGAAGAGCAGCCCTTCAAGCCCAAGGCCCACTCAAGGGAGAACGGTGCCCACCAGATCAGCTCTCTGTGGTCGCTCACAGGCAGCCACAAAGCCCTGCCAGGCAGCCGCACCCCAGGAAAGAAAGGCAGGTGCCAGATGCCCCACCATCCCTGGCTTTTCCCCCTCTCCCCAGGCATAAAGGTGGGGGCTCACCTGTGCCATTATCTGCATGCAGGAGGAAGCAGCCACAAGCGTCCTTGGCTTTCAGCGGCTGAAAGGGCCTTTGTTTCCATAACCTCAGCTTCTCCTGGAGGGCCTGGGGGACAAAAGAGAAGCGAACCTGAGCCTCCAGGTATGCTTTCAGTTCTGGGGAGGCCCTCAGAAACATTCCTGCCCACAGGGGGGCAAGCAGGCCACCTACTCCTCCTCTTTGAGGCCTCAGAGCAAATTCTCTCATTAATGTGGCCCTGCCGTCAAGCTTTCTTTAAATAAGAAATGTGCGTTTTTTGACATTGTGCAAAAGGGGGAAGAATTAACCAAGGCCCAGGCTATATAGTATAACAATAGCTGAGTGATCTGCTGAATTTGGGAGGAGGTTTCTCCTAGCAAGGAGACCTGACCGGGGCCAACCAAGCTACTTTGACCCTCCCCAGAAGAGGAAGGGGGCACTGGAGGGCCACAGGGGGGGGGATCGCTCAGAGCCCCGATCCCAGTCCAGATTTGCATGGAAGGAGCGATGTGCTGGTCAGCTGCTTTGGCCCATGTTAGGACCCCACAAATGCACTTTTACCCTGCTTCTCTCCCCCCCCCATTGAATTAAAATAGGAGACTTGAAATAACCTCCTGCAAGTGTTCTTGTGTGCAACACTTCCCAATAAACACAAGTGGCTATTTTGTATTTAAAACTAAAATACATCCTGCCAGTGTTGTTGTTTGCTCTCCAAGAAGCTCCAAGACTGCTATTTTGTATTTTAAAAATATTGTTATGTAAGAACGAAGAGAAGACATGCTTCCTTTCCTTCCTGCAACTCTGCCCCAGGTGTCTTACAAAGGCACGCACACACTGCCATTGTAAGGAGGATAACCTGCTTTTCTTAAAAGGATTTATTCAAGACAGACTGTGGGGGGGGGGGGTAAATTAAAAGATTTTCTTAACAGCATCATTTCTGGTAACTCTTTGCGATGTCTGTGACAGTTTACAAATGGTAACTTTTTGTGATGTCTGTGTGTGATGTCTGTGACAGTTTACAGTTTACAAGGTTGAGTGTTAACAACATCTGTGGGTGAGGCAAGTAGCACTTCCTATTGCTGGCTGGGGGGGGGGGACCTTTCCAGAAACCTCCTTCCCTGGGCTGACTTTGGGGGCCGTGGGATCCTTTGGATATGGGGATGCTTTTTCTTCCAAAGCTTAATTAACCACCCAGTTCAGATCCCCAGAGCTTTTGAAAAGTTTATCATTCATAAAGGACCCCAATAGTGATTTAATCTGGTTGGGGGACAGCCTCCCCCCAGCCCAATCTCAGAATTCAAGATGAGTAAATAAATTGTCTGCCTTTCACGCTCCTTTCCTTTCCTGAATCTTCTCAAGTCCCTGAGCTGTCCCAGGACTTGGGGGGCTTTGTGACAAAAGATTGAAGTGGTCAGAAATCTGAGGTTGTGACATTTTTTCAACTGCTGCCTTTTTTGGTTTTGAGGGACAAGGCAAGGGAGATGAGAAGGATGGGCTCCTCGCGATTAGTATTAGGAAACCAAACTCCGATTTATCGCAGCTTAATCAAGCCACAGATCCAGACAATCCGGACACGGTGAGGCGTGTTCCATTCCTTTGCAAGACCCTCTACTCTCCCCCCTCCCCCAGGGATCATTGCACGAAGCTCCCTTCCAGCTGCCCTGTCAAAGCAGCATTTCTGAGCCAGGATAAAACGGCTCCACCTTCCAGCTCTGTATTCACAGATTTACCAATAGGAATTCCATTCGCAGTTTTCTACAAGAAAAACATGGAAACATGGCAGGCAGCCTCAGCACGGAGCAAAAGAGCACAGGGAAATAAGAAAGCACTCCAGACTGCTTTCCTCAGAGGGCTCTTTGATTCCTAGGCCACCCAACTTCTGCTTTTGACCATTTTGCTCCTTCCCTGCTTCTGTGGGAAGCGCTCCGAACGATGCATCCAGAAGGGGAGACTGTGTCCGGCACAACAAAACAGGGCTTAATTTTGACAGAAAAAGCTGGAAGGGATTCCTTTTGTGCAAATCTGCCCAGTTCAGCAGAACCAAGCCCTGCCTGTTATTTTTCCCCTCTATTCTTCCAACCCAGAGAGGTCAACTTCGGCATACGGTGCGTATAAAATTATTTTATTTTTAGGTTGACGCTTGCCTGCCTCTGGTTTAGTGGTCATTTCTGGTTTCTCCTTCTCCGGTTATTTGCCTGCTTTTATTTTTGGGTTTTAAATATGTTTAAGGAATCGCTAGTCTTGTTCTTGTTGTGTCCCCTGCTTTCCTATCTTTGTCCGCCCAGCTTGCTTTACCAAAGCACAGTCTTTTCTCTCTGTCCTTCTCTTCTTAAGAAATAGTTTGGATTCTTTAAATGAAGGTTGGGTTGCTCCATGGACTTTCAGGGCTGGTGGGCTCGGACAGACAGCAGACAGATGGGGCTAATGAGACCGACTCAGCCGAGGCGCTTCCACACTCTTTAAAGCCAGATCCTTGGGGAGGGGGCAGCATAGCCAGTCTGTATTCCCCCTGGCCCTCCCTCAAAAGAAACAGCCCTGGAGCGATCCTGCCAGAGGGTGGAAACCAGCTGCTTGCCTGGGTCAAATAAGGCCAAGACTTGGTGGCCAATTTTATCATCAGGCTGGACCTTCCTGGTTTGCCTCTGGGTCTCATTTCAAAGCCCAGACATCTGGATGTCCACTGCATTTTTCTGGCCCTGAGTTCTCAGCTGGTGTGGCAGGCAGAGCTGGATCTGAGGGCCCCCTCCCTCCCCCTGCTCATCCCATCCCTCAGCAGTTTGGAGTGTACCTGAAAAATGGCAGGCAAAATGGGGTCTTCCAGTTGCGGTGTCTGCCCTTTGGGGTCGCTACAGGAGGCAAAAAGAGAAAACAAATCCTGAAATAATTTTGACTTCTCCCTCTGCTATATTGAGATGTTCCGATGCAGCCAATAACTAGGTTTGTTTGCATATTGTTTTGATATTGCTACATTACATTACAATAAAAATATTAGCATTATCGCAGATCACCTTGGTGGGTAAGCTGTATTTTAAGCCAATATTTACACACTTGAATTTCTGCTACCCTTCAGGAGTCTGGAAGGCTCCAAGCTGGTCCTGGGCCCAGCCAGCCCCCCAATTACCCCCTGTAGAGAGTCTGGAGGTAAAGGGCACCCACTCCTAGCAGCAGACACGCTCTTGCCCATTTGGCCAGAAGGAAAGTTTTGCCACAATCGGATAAGTTTGATTTATTCTGGACAGATTAAGCAATTAGACAATGATGAATTTCCCCCAAGCACTAATGCTGCTAGGACAGACCCATCCTCAGATGAGTCACATCCTGTCAGAAAACAACGTCAGAACAGTCTGACTATAAATAATACTAGTGAGTGATACAAATAAAACAAAATTCATCAATGATTTGTCCACAAAGTTCCTTGGGGATGCCACTAGTCAGTCTATTTAAATAAAAAGAAGAAAAAGCACTGAAAACATTAAAAGGGCAAGAGAGGCTTTGCAGCATTTTTTTACAACAAAAGAATTTAAATTTAAATGGAGGTTTTCTAGTCGAACCCTCTGCTCAAGCAAGGGAGCTCAGAAGAGGTGTGTTTGTGTAAAAGCATGCCCACCTTTAGTCAAGATGTTTAAAAGGCAGCCAAAAATAATGTTTGAGTTTTCGTTTGTTTTTGTGAAAGGGGGACCCAGCCTGGTTTCTCTAGGCCTTCAGATGTTCTTGCTTGGAAGGAGGAAAAAATGGGGGATATTTTCCCAGGTGAATTTGAGCAGGTTAAGTAGACACTAAAGGCCAGGAGCAGCCAGGCTGAGATAGAGCCAGGTCAGGAGAGGAGCTGAGAGGGACCCTTGGAGTCAAATGCAGCTTCTTTTCTGAGAAGGAAGAGGGGGGGGGGACTATCCAGCAGCCTCCACCTTTGCTATGGCTCTAAAAAACATAAGTCTGAGCACAGGTAGAACCTGCTTAACAAGCTCGGCCATTCCAAGATGCCCTTCGCCTTGCCAGCATTTGGTCCAGAGCTGCGAAGTGGGACGTGGCCCAAGTCCAACCCCCCTCTTCCCAGCAAGAATTGACCCCGTCTCTCTCCAGGAGAGGCACAAGGGGCAAGGGAGAAGGTGTTCAAGTTGGGCCCCAGAAAAGTTGGCCACCAACTCTGGCAAGGGATGGAGCACAGAGTCCATGGCTGGCCTCGCCTGATGGCACATCACCCGAGCTCAGCACTGGAGAAGAAGGGACGCACAAAGGTGGAGGAAGGAGACCAGTGAGCAAGGAATAACATTAAGAGAGGATCTGGCTGAAGAATCCAACCTCCTTTGCATTACTTGCAGGACCCCGAATAGGTGGAGGGCTGGAGTGCCTAAGCGTAAGACCCACCTGCTCAAGTGGAGGCTCTTAGTGGATAGCCCCACACTGCATGGGGTGAATGCACAGAGACGCAGAGCCCGACCCATCTGTTGGTACATCGGCTACTACCAGAAACGTGTACCAACAATGACTTATTTTTGGCCAAAGACAAAGCCAAGAAGCGGCCTCATTTCAGCAGTTTGATCTGGACACTTGGAAGCAGCAGCAGATGGAGCCCTCCTTTGTAAATTAAACTGGCAAGCTGAGGAAGGAAGGAAGAAAGGAAGGAAGGAAGGAAGGAAGGAAGGAAGGAAGGAAGGAAGGAAGGAAGGAAGGAAGGAAGGAAGGAAGGAAGGGAGCATCTGGCTATGCAGCTTTTGGCCAAGGAGGCCCAAAAGGCAGCCACAGCACCAACATCTCAGAACACTTTTTTGTGTGACAGTTTAGAATAAGTGGTTCTAAAGTGTATTCCACGTTCTTTGACCGTTGGGAGGCCTCTGGGTATCCTTGGTACTTCTCAGCAGGTAACACTTGCTTCACTTTTCCCCAAGCTTGGGTTCAGGGTCACCGCAAACAATCACCCCCCCCCCAAGCTTGTTGTAGATTTTTGGGATAAGAACAGGGAGTTTCCCCCTCTTCTGGATGGCCGTGAGAGCTTCTAAAGAGGCAAGGGCAGAGGAGGAAGGGGGATTCTCCGCCCCATTAAACAGCCACCAAACAGAGCCTCTGTCTGGGATTTCTGTGTTTTTCTCAAACAACAGCTGCTTCCGTCCCTCCTTCCCTCCTGGGGGAGGCTGAATGTGTCTGGCCTCGGAGCGCCTCTTCTTAAAGTCAGCTGGAGAAGAGATGCCGAGACTCAGGGCTTGTCTTTGCCTTCAGGGCAGGGAGATGCTTGTGGCCGCTTGCCCCAGCGGCTGAGCGGCCCATGCTGGTTTTCCATAGGAGCCCCTGAGCAAGGCTCAAGGCCACCTTGATGGTTCCCGCTGGTGAGGGATGCAACAAAAGCGGCCACGGGAATCACGCCTTCAGACCCCAAAGGTGGCTCCCGAGGAGGATCCCAGAAGAGAAAGTCCTGGGGCAGGCTCTCCTTCTGAGAGAGGTGAGGCAGAAGAAAGTGAGGGTGTGGAGGAGGAGGGAAAAAAGAGGCTCATGAGTTTCCAAAGTCTTTGTGAAGGTGGAGCAGGGCAGAGCCGAGAGGGAGGCCGGGCCCTTAAAGGCAGCTGGAGGGAATGGAGGTTGCCAGGGAGCGAGGCTTTCCCAGGGAGACTACCAAAGCTTGCCTTGTATATTGACTGGAGCAGAGAGGCTTGTCCAGAGGCTGAAGTTGAGGTATTGCTCAGATCTTCTCCGGGTCTGCCACGTCCTTCCCCAAGGTAGGGGAAGGCCGATCTGTGGGATTGCAGCTCCCATCCTCCCCAGCCAGCGTGGCTTGGAATGGGTTGGAGAGCCGAGTGTTGAGGAAGGCTGCTCTCAAGGGCAGGTGCCAGCCCTCGAGTTGGCAGAGCTTTCACCCTTGTAGGGAAGTGAACCCAGCTGGCACGTTTTCTTCCTTGGTTGGACATGGGTCTCTTCGGAAGGAAGGCTGGGCTGCTGGCCCTCTCCTCTCAGATCAGGGTCTGGGCTTTGGTCTGGGAATGCAAGCCGCCCCTGACTGACCTCCAGCTCTTTCTTTCCCTCAAGGATGACCCTGTTTCAAGGGAAGACAACTCTCCTATGGATATCCTTGCTCGCCCTCTTATCGCTGGCCATTTTCACCCACTTGTGCAGGTAAGAAAGCCACGGCGGCCCGAAATGCCCACTGAATTTACTGCTCTTGTGAGGAAGCTGCCCCACCAACTCCTGTGCCTTATTTGCATTACCCTTTTAAGACTGACAGCCCCACCAGGGAAGGTCCCCATTCCCCTAGTTTTGAGCACAACAGGGAAGAGATGCAAGAATTCCCAGAATTGTTAGCAAATCAGTATTGGGCAATTGAGCTCCTTGAACAGTTCCGCACTTCACTAATGTGAGACAAGGAACTCTACAGATTAAGCTGGGAGGACCTGGAGAAACTCATGTCAGGCATCACATGTGGCCCAGAGCAGGCACAGGATGGGTTTTGTTGGAGAGAAGCACAAGGAGGAAGTGTGGTCCCAAAGTCGTTACTCAGAAATTCAGTATATTGCACATCAGAACGGCTTTCTGGGGTGATCAAACCTGCGGCTGGCTTGCCACACTTCAACATCTTTGCAGTGGCGTATTGCTCCTGAAGTGTTACATAAAGATCCACACATACCCTGCCTAGTTTCAATGTGAAATCTTACACATCCCAGAACATTGGATGTTGCAACGTATTCACTCTGATGTGTGTCCATATTGGAGTGGAGGAACAATTAGAAGTTTCTCTTCTCAGCCAAACGTAAAGGTGGTTTGATTGCAGCTCTCCATTTATCCAACTCCTTGAACCAAACACCACCCAGAGGTTACCTGCAGGGTCTGCAGAGGGAACTGCATGTCCAGCAAGGAGCTGAATCCACCAAGGGGATTCGGAGAAGGCCATTGGAGGAAGGGAAGGGGGAGGTTGTGGAAACAGAGCTGAGTCACATAGCAACTTCAGAGCTGCTTTCCACCCGAAGAAGCTGTTTGTCTTCTCATGCTTGTCAGGGGACCATCCAGATGTCTTGGACCAGAATTCCCAGGCAGTTCAGCCAAGGACCACGTCAGCTGGGAGTTCTGGAGGCTCCAGGCAATCGGCACATTTGTAGAGCATAACTGAGAGCTTCCCAGCCCCACCTGGGTGTGGAGACAATAGGGTGCTTCTGCAGAATGTGTGTTCTGCCCACACACAGGCGGTCTGCCAGCCAAGCACAGGAAGGTGATCGTTGGCTGGAGTTTACCTGGTACTTACAGGCAGGTGACCTTGAGATAATTAAAGATTGTTTGTTCTCCTTTCAACAGGGATGAGAAAGAACCCTGGATGGACAACAGCAGCAGCTTCCAGTAAGTCCCCTCCTGCTGTTGCTTTTGCTCCCTCCAGTCTGTTTGCGCCACCCAAAATGAGTCAAGGCTCTCCCGATGATGTTTGCCGGGCAGAATAAGGGCATTTTTACCTCACCAGACTTTAGGAATCAAGGTGCTATTGCTTCAGCCTCACCCTGGCCCGGCCTTTCTCGCAGCCGCCCTCTGGCGCCCATGGGCACTCAGCTCATCTCCCCTTTCCTCCTAGTGGCAAAGACCCAGCTAAAGTTATTGGCCGCTCCAGAAGTGAATGGGCAGCGGGGCCTGGACCGGGCCGCTGCATTTTGGCCTGACTGCATGTGGACCAAGGATCCTCCCACTAGGCGTTACCACAGTGAGGACTCGCAGTCCCAACTCTCCTTGTCTGGACATCCTCCTTACTTAAGAGTGAAAGTGGAGGTGGCAGATGGCCAGCTGCTCCTTATTTGCCTCCGGTGTAGCCACTAACCCCTCTTCTGCTCCCAGAGGGATGAATAACTTTTGCACGCAACTGACAATCATTGTGGGGCTTTGCACAATAGGAAAGAGAACCACCGAAGCACCTTGCTCAATGGCGGGCTTTTAAGCTTGCAAAATGGGCAGTGCGATTGATGGTTGACTCACACAGTAGCACAAGCTAGATGCCAGTGAGGCTGCCTGCCTGCTGCCCTTCCCCCCCCCGTGACGCCAGGAAGCCCCGTTCTTAGTGGAGGAGCCTGCGTAGCCCCCCCGGCAGCACAGGGGCCTAACTCTTGCCCAGCAGAAGGATCAAACAGACCCCTGGGCAGCCATGCCAGAGTCCAGCCTCCTCTGCAGTATAGTTTAGCTCCTGGTGACCACATTGCGACGTGCCCAAATTGTTTGCTTGGCACCAAATTGTTTCCTTGGTATGGCATAAGAATAAGAAATCCACATGTAAGGAATTTGAACCAAAAGTGACCGGAGACAAAGCCAGCAGGCCAGGAAGAAAAACAATAAGTTCAAGAAAAGAGGTGCCTTTGAACTTGGCTGCCTGGTTGACAGCCGATGGTGACAGGATCTGATATGGGCTTTCTGGAAGAAGTCGCACACCGGACAGGTCTATGTGAAAACCAACTGTTGCCACAAGCTGGGAGTCTCTCCGCACAGCTTCTCAGTCATCCAGGTCATGACTGTCTCAAAGGTGCTTTCCCAAAAGACAACTGGAGAACTGAAGAAGCTTCTTGGATGAGAAGTGAAACATTTTCAAGGAAAGGAAAACCCAAGGAAGTCCAGTTGCCTTCTGGGATAGCACCTTTGGGACAACCAGCCAGAACCACGGCCTGACTGTACTCTGGTTACCTTCTCCTTTATTGCAGAGAGGCGTATTCAACCACAGAGGCGGGAGAGATACCACTGAGCAGCTGGTTTCACCCAAAGTAAGAAGTCTATTTGGACTCAAAAGTGAGGGGGGGGCTTTTACTGGGCTTCCGCCAGACTTCCTCTTTTCCCGCCACTGTCCACAATCAAAAGGTTTTGAGAGACGGGGGTTTTTCACCCACAATGGGACACTTCCTGGGGAGCGTTTCAGAGGCTTAGAACCCCCCAAGGAGCACAAGACCGAAACAAAGCTGCCTCCACCTGCAAAGCCAGAACCGAAGGCTCAGTTGAGCAGGACAGGAGACATTTTGCCCAGGCCATTCCGCCTGAAGGGTCAAGTACGGAGCGGTGGCTGTTCAGCTGAAAGAGGTGAGCAGCTTGGCTGATGGGCTGGATCAGCTTGGGAGCCGCTCGGATCAGCCTCGCCTGGAACCCCAGCCAGCTGAAAATAGCCTGCTAAAATTAAATGCAGGGAAAGGAAGCTGCGGAACGGCTCCTGCTTTCTTTTGCTTTACATTGACTCCCGAGGACTAGCTTTCCCAAACATCTGGCTCCAATCAGAGTGCTGAAAGGCAAAAAGTTTCCTGCTTCCTGCCACTCCCTGGTAAACATTTTAACATGAGGTTGGAGAGCTGCAGCCAAGGCCACCCTCCAGCGCTCAGGCTCCCTGGCCTCCTGTCTCCAGTAGGAAAGAACGGGGGACCCCTGCTGGCCCGGCCACCCCCCCTTTCTGGAAGTCTGCTTCGAAGTGAGTGGGGGGCTGAGTGAGGGTGAGCTCTCCAGACTAGGCCAAGATGACCAGGGAGTGACCCTGATCGGCCTTCTCTTTCTGTCCCGGGCAGCGCAAGGATAGCGATCACTGCCCTGAGCCCGTGGTCAGCCCCCATCGTGTGGGACGGGACCTTCGAAAGTGCCCCCCTGAACTATCATTACCAGCAGCAGAAGATCACCGTTGGACTGACCGTTTTCGCCATTGGGAAGTAAGTGCTTCGTCCAGCCGGACCTGGCTCGTTTGGCTGAGGAAGGTTCCCTGAGCATGTGATGAGCAGAGGCTCGTCCAATGGGGAGGGGGAGGGAGGGGAGGGGGCTGAGGCTGCCAGACTCCGGTCATTCTGGCTGGGCTCAGATGGACCAAGGGCAGGGGGTGGCAGCCTGCAGCACCCGGAGAAGCCCCCCCCCCCGCTCCCTGCTCCGTTTGCTTTTTCCATCCAGATACCTGGACAAATACCTGAAGGACTTCTTGATTTCTGCAAACACCTTCTTCATGGCCGGCCACAAGGTCATCTTCTATGTCATGGTCAATGACCTCTCCAAAGTGCCCGAGGTCAAGCTGGGCCCTAAGCGGTCGCTGAAGCTCTTCCGCGTCAAGCAGCACAGCCGCTGGCAGGACATCAGCATGATGCGCATGAAGACCATCGGGGAGCTGATCGAAGATTCCGCCCGCTTCGAGGTAGACTTCCTCTTCTGCATGGACGTCGACCAGGTCTTCCAGAGCTTCTACGGGGTAGAGACCCTGGGCAAGTCCGTGGCCCAGCTCCACGCCTGGTTTTATGAGGAGGACAGGAGCAGCTTCACCTACGAGAGGCGCCCCGAGTCAGCCGCACACATCCCCTACGAGGAGGGGGACTACTACTACCACGGAGCGGTCTTTGGAGGCACCCCACTGGGGGTCCTGAACCTCACCCGGCAGTGCTACCAGGGCATCCTGCAGGACAAGGAGCGGGGCGTTGAGGCCATCTGGCACGACGAGAGCCACCTCAACAAGTACTTCCTGCTCCACAAGCCCACCAAGCTGCTCTCCCCCGAGTACTGCTGGGATTACAAGATCGGCTGCCCCTTTAACATCCATAATGTAAAGTTGTCCTGGTTGCCGAAAGAATACAAAGAGGTCAGAGGCAACTCTTGACCTGCCCCACACCCTTGAACTGACCAACGCTGGCCTGCAGCCAACACTCCAGATGGACACGTTAACAGCACGGCCGAGCCTCACTCTGTCACCCGCTGCAGAAGAGGGGCAAGCTGGGGGCATAGAGGGGCTGGCAACGGTGAGGAAGAGGGCAGCTGTCTTCTGCCACCGTCTCTGGCCCCTCCTGCCCCCTTCTTTTCTCGCATCGGACACGGACTGCTCTGGGCAGTCTTTCTCGGTCCATCTCTGGTTTTGTGAATTTGCGAAGAGAAGTCGGGGACAGAAAGCGAGAGCTGAGTCAGGCTACACCTCCACACTTATACGCTGGTGCCATGTGGAAGGCATAAAGAATTCAGGGGGTGGCAAATGTTTACACAGCAGGCAGGGTCCGCAGAGGAAGCCACCGCCCTCTTTTCAGACCCTTCTGCTATCAGATCTCGTGTTCAGATTCTGGGTGAAGCTCCTCAGAGGGGCTGTAGGGAGCCACGCTAAGCCAGTGGGTCAGTGTCTCTCTTTTTCCTTCCCAAAGCTTCATGTTTCAAAATGAGGGGTTTTTCTCCCCTGGGGATTCAAATATGCAGGGGAACGTCCCTTAGTCAAAGCACACTTGTCCCTCTTGCACCTGCCAAGGTGCCCGACTCGCCTTTGTTTGTTGAAACACCTGCCTGCAGGCTCTCCTTCCGAGCTCATTTGCACAAGCCAAAATTAGCCGTGTTCTGCTGTGCGTGTATTTGACTGCGCACCCCCCCTGGGTTGACGGGGGCTGAAATTAGACGTCAGTCCTTCTTCCACTCTTTTCCTTTTGTAGTTTAGAGACAGGCCTTTTCTCGCCCTCAGGGGCACAAAGGTTTGGACCGGCCTGCAAGGGGGCACTGCTTGAGCTTAAGAGGGAGCCCAAATCCTGGGCCTGCCCTCTAAATGCCGTCTGGGGGGCCTCCTCGAGTCCTTCGCCTTGAATAGTCCGGGGTCCGGTTTCAAAACCCTCTACGTCCCGAAAGTTCAACCTGGTTAGCGGCTGGCACAGGGGCCCCTTCCTGGCACCCATCATCCAGGGAGATTTATGAACTGGTGTACCTGCGGGTGACAGGCATGGAAACCTGGCTTCCCTAACTACCTTTAGAAATCAGTATGTTAGTTAATTTATTGCCTTGTAAATGACAAAACAATAAATCTGGATCTTATTTCGGCAAGCCTTGTGCGGTGGGGATGAATGGAGAGAATTGTGGCTGGAATTTCACAGCTCTCGTCAGGAGGAGGAGGAAGCTGAAATCTAAGCGGTGTTGAAACGCAGCCGAGGGGGGAAGCGAGCCAAAGCTGGCTTCTCAGGGGAGACTCCCAGGCACAAGTGGGGGGGGTGGACCCGTGCACAGGAAGGGCAGCAGTTCCTGGCTGGCAGAGATGCTTCTGGGTCACCATTTTGCAAACTTCCTGTCCTCCGAAAGCTGCTCCTGTCACTGACCAGATGTGGGACCATTCACCCAGGGGGAAGCTCCGGGCCTGAGAGGTGGGCGTCTCCTTTGCCTTTTTGCTCAGGGCTGGACGTCATCCGGAGTTGGCTCCTTCGCTCGAAGGGGCGTCCGCTGCGAGACTTCCACAGGAGCCTCTAGGATCAAATCCAAGCAAGCACTTCCAGGCCTTGGATTAAATGCCAGCTGGAGAGTGGCGCTCAGGAAGGGGAGGAGGAGGGAGCCCCCTTGGCCTGGCACTGCATCCACTGACCGAGAGGAGGGGGGCTGGAAGTGCCTGGAGAACGCGTGAGTGCCCCCCTCCAGCAGAGGGCTGGGCCAAATGCAGCACAGCTGGTGAAAGGGCACCACCACGTGGCCAGCGCAGGTCTACCAGCACACCCACTCTGGGCTCCCAGAGACACTTACACACACACACACACACACACAGAGAGAGGGGGGGGGGCTGTCACTTTTTAAGAAGTTTCTGGGAAAAGCTCACAGGCTATTTATTGATTTACAAAGAGAGATCCATTTTCAGCCTTGATCTGGAGAGGATGCAGCGCTGTCCTCAGCTTCGGAAGGCCGGCCACCAGCCCCAGGACCTTTCGGAAGGCTATTATGGGATGCACACGGCCTTGGGGGGTTCACAAGGATGGACTCAAGTGCTTGCAGTTTGGAATGGGTTCAGGGTCTCTCTGTTCCTTGGGTTTGGAAGTCCTCTCAAACCCTTCCCTGTGGGACCAGCTACCCAAGCCTTTTCCCACCTGTGTCTTCCTGGGGACCCCCTGTCCCCCCACCTCCTGCTCCCCGTGGCAGAACCGCAATGACTCAGCCCAGCTGGGGTCCCTGGGAAGAGAAGTGGGGAGGGAAGAGAGAGGGGGGTGTTCACCAAGCCTTCTTGTGGACCAAGGGGAACTTGGGCGGCTTCAAAACTCGGGGTGCCGCTGGGCTGCTGTTCTGGGACAGGGGCTGCCCAGTGAGTGGCGGTCATGAGGCTGATACCTGGTACAGGAGAGCCCAGCCAGGCCGCAGGGCAGCCCCGCTTTCTGCTCATTGGCCTCTGCTCAGGATCTGCCTCCCACATCGTTGAGGAAGCCCAGAAAACTTGGCTGGAAGACAGCGCCCCCAAGCGGCTCAGACGCCCAGGGGACCCCCCTCCCCTTCTGCAGGGGTCCTCCCACCTCAGGTGCGCCCAGAGAGCCAGGCTCATCTCCCTCTGTGGGCCTTCAACCCCCTTTCCAGGAAGAGGGCCGCTTGTTTGCCAGCAACTCCACCCCTTCCCTGGGCAGCCTGGGGCAGGATCTGGAGGAGGACTGAAGGCCGCTCGGCCCCCGATGGACTTGGCTGGGTGGCTATGGCAGGCGTGCAGCTTGGCTCATTGGCCAGAGCCATCTAAATGGGGGGCGGGATTTGTTTTCTTGCAACAATATTGCTTGGTCCACAAGAAGTGGGCCTCTAGCAACGAGGCGGCAGGGCTGGGGAGGGAGGGAGGACGCTCCATCTTCCAATCCACAGGCCTCTGATCTGCCCCAAAGGGCCTGATCCCCTCCTCCTCCCACAGAACCTTCTCTGCTGAGATATACAGCCTGACTCAGTCCACGTCCCGCCAGGTGGGTCAACCTGAGGGCTGCTGCTCCTTCAGGAACTCCAGCCGTTCCGCCGTGTCCTCCAGTTCCTCCAGGATCTCAGAGAAGGAGGGGCGTTTGAAGGCTTCCATCTGGGGAGGGGGAAGGGGGGACAAGAAAAGAACGGAGTGGTGTGCCAAAGGGCAGCTCGCACCCTCAAGCCCTGCCGAAGGCACCCCACTGTGGGAAATGGCAAACTCCCTTTTCATTACAGATGGCGACGTGCTTTTTCCACCTGCTCTGCAGCCAGAGGCCCCTTCGTGGTGTCTCTTCCTGGGTCTAGAACTCTAAGGTAGATGGTCCTGAACAGAGAAGCTCTACTACCCAGCACTCTCACCCAGGCCTGCTCAACTGCTGTCTCTGCAACCTGCAAATGCTTCAGAGCTGCTTCGGCTAAGGGGGGGGGGGCAGGTCGCATCGCAAGAGCCTCTTTTGAAGGAAATCCTCACCCTGCAACAGCTGGCAGCCAAATCTAAAACTCGCCTGGGACACTCTCGGATCATGCTGTGGAAGGCAGCCACATCCAGTCCGTAATCCTGGAGGGGAGAACGCGGGTGTCAAGAGGGCCTCCCTCTTACCCCTCCCCCAATCGGCTTCCCCCCTAAACTATCTTCCCAGAGTCGAAGGAAGCAAAGGGTGGGGGGGGGGCGCTCGGGAAAGCTCCCAGGAAGGGCAAATGCTTTCCAACTCAAGAGCGGGAAGGGCCATCCTAACCACTCTCAGGGGAGAGGAGGGGGTCCCGGGAGTCACCTGGGTCCGTGGTAGCACCTCGGGGTCGGCGGGAATCCTGCCCAGAATTTCACAGAGGACGATGCCGAAGGAGAAGACGTCCACCTGCCGGAGGGAGCCAGGCTCAGCCAGGGGGCCTTCGTCAGTCCCCCAAGTGCCCTGCTCTTCCTCTCCCCGGGGCACCCCCAGGCCCAGCCAGCACGCAGGCAGGCACCTTCTGGTCGTAAGGTTCTCCCCGCAGCATTTCGGGAGCCATCCAGAAGGCTGAGCCCACCAGCGAGAGCTTCCTCTCCGGATCCTTGGCCGAGAACTCTGCCACCTCCTTGGCCAGCCCGAAGTCGGTCACCACCGCCTCCCGCCCTCGCTGGGTCACTCGGATGAGGCAGTTCTGGGAAACAGACGGAGGCCCCTTCAATCTCCGTCCAAGCCCCCTGGGAGTTCTGAAGGGGGGGAGCACCGGGCTGTGCTCACCCCAGGACAGCCTTCGGTAGGACTTTCAGGAAGCCTCACTAGGCTAAGCCAAAGGGCTCGTCCATTCCGGGGACTCGGCAGACCGCCGCTGAGCAGGGAGGCAGCAGCAGGCCTCTCCTTCCGGGGTGTCTCCTACTTACTTCCTCGGAGACCCCTGGGCAGCCCCCCCCCCCGCGGTTCTGCTGATTCTTTTGGAAAGGGAGCTGAACTGAAAGCCCACCTTGGAGTTGAGGTCGCGATGATAGATGTTCCTGGAGTGGAGGTAGGCCATCCCGCGGGTGATGTCCGAGGCCAAGTCCACTTTCTCCTTCCAGCCCAGGGAGACGTCTTTGCAGGCCAGCAGCTCTTCTAGGCATCCCCCGTTCACAAACTGAGGGGGGCCCCGAAGGGAAGAGGGAACTCTTTTGAGTCGCTTCCCTCCGTGGCCGGGGTAGACGTTATTCTGCCTTTCACGCAGCGCTTGTGAGTCAAGGCAGCCTTCCCAGCCCCGCAGGCCCATCATCCCCGCCATCATCAACCAAGCTGGCCTCGGCTGAGGAGGATGGGAGTTGTAGCCCAGCTCGCCTGGCAAACGCCCCTTTGGGGAAGGCCCGGCTGAGCTGCATGCTCCCCCAAGTGGAAGACAATGAAAGGAACCTCCAGGGGCAAACTAGAACATCCTGCCCCGAGCTTCTATATTTCTCAGAGCAGAATTTACCACACTGGGAGTTCCCTTTTCTTTTTTTAACAGTGAGATGCAGACTCATTTTTTTACAATCCCAGTCCTAAAACCCAAAGTGGGATGGTCGAGATGGAGCTATATCAGCCCCGATTCCCCACTTTTGGGGGCATGAGGCCAATTGCAAGCCAGATGGATAGATGACACTTATTTATCAAATGAGTGTGTTGCTGCGATCGCAAGATTCTTGGAGACACACAAGAATGCCACAAAATAACACGACACGAAAATAAAAGGGATAAAAGTCTAAACGCAATATGGGATGCCAGGGTCCAGAAGCCCCCAGAGAAGCTCAGCTACGCTTTCTCCAGACGGCGGACCAATTTCCCACGGGAAGACGTTCCCGAGAGCCGTTCCCACCACTGAAAATCTCTGCTTCCTGTCCGGCACCGAGATCAAGGGATCCTCCCTTTAAAAGGCAGCCTAGCCTGGATGGCAGCTGCTGTTTGGGCGGGGGAAGATCCCCCCTCCTTACCTCCAGAATGGGGTACAGCTTGTCATCCTTCACACAGATCCCGAGGTACCTTACAAAAAAGGAAAAATCGGGTGATTGCCGAGATGCGAAGTTAGATCAGCCTGAAAAGGGTCAAGAAAGCTGAAAGAACCCACTGCCACGTGGCCCCCAGGGGATCTACTCAGAGACCAACCTGACAATGTTGGGGTGGGAGAGCTTCTGCAGTAAGCTGATCTCGCGCACAATCCCCTCCTGGTCAGCATCGTTCTTGTAAATCTTGACCACCATCTTGACCAGCGTGGCCTTCCCCCCAGGACGCGGAGTGACCTGCCAGAAGCCCAGGGAGAGGGATGGCGTGAGAGCAGGTGACCTCCGGCCCAGCAGGAAGGACAGATCCGAAGCCGGCTGCGTCCATCTTTGGGGACGCCCACCCAGGTATTCCTCTCGGCACGGCTGCCTCTAACAGGTTCAGGGCTGTCTCTGGAAGATCTGCCCAAACATGACACCGAAACGGAGGGGACGTTGGCTCGGGAAGGATGCGGCCCAGAGCATGAAGGAAGATCCGTTAAAAAAAACAGAAGGGGAAAAAAACAACCTCCTGCTCTTCCCAAGAGATCTCCTGGCGCTTCCTTCTTCCGGGTGCTTCCAGAAAGAAGGAGGCCAGATGGGCTGCCCGTGGCTCCCGGCTCCAATAATTAAGGAGCAGATGGATACCAGGGCAAATCTTCAGCTGCTGTTGGCTCCACGGATTAACAGCTGCATCAGCCACTGTTAATAGCCTCATCGTCCTGCCCGCAGGTGCCTCTAAGCCGCTTGGAATTTACGGCGGCTCCTGCCTCTTCCTGGGGCCAGGAATTCCTCAGGTTATCTACACTCTGCTTGAAAGGGGGGGGGGTCTTGGAGAAACTGCATTCGCAGCTGGAAATTGGAGGACAGAAGACAGAGGCAGAAGGACTGAGATTCACTTGTATGACTTATTTCGCAGCCCATCTCAGACAAGGGTGTCTGGGCAGCTTGCAAGGATTAAAACGCAGAACCCCCCCCAACGCAGAAGCCCTGGACCCCAAAGATAGACAGTAAACCAACTCCCAGAAAAAGGACACAGGTAACAGCACAACTGCCCTGTCTGTTATCTTATCTGTCTGCTTTCTTATCACCCAGGCTAAGCAAAGCCCCGGCTCTTCCCATTCAGGCAAGCTCACTTATTTGTCATCCTGAGCCAACTGTCTTCCATGTGGGTGGATCCAAATTCCCATTATTCCCAGCCTGTATGGAAATGATGAGGGCTGAAGTCCAACACATTTGCATTGGAGAAGGCTCAATGCAACCACGCGTGGGAATCATGCTAAGTACGGATCTGGGATGTTCCAGGGACACGGAACAAAAATGTTGAAGATATTTTTCCTAACGAAACCCGCAGCAGGAGTATTTTATTAAGCTATGAGTAATCTGGAGGAGGAGCGGGGGAAGAGATCCTTTTACTGAAGCTGTAATCACATGCAACCTTTTAAAGGGATTCAGAGGGATGTTGTAAAGGTTTCTTTCTTGTAAAGTCTTCTAATTGACCGTCAGCCTCATTTAGCTTCTTCTCAGTAGTTGGAGGCTCTCTATCCTCCCCAGCTGCCCTGTGTGGGTCGCTAACCCGCCCCCCCCCCTGCTTAGGAGCAAGATTGATGTTGGCAGCCCAGCCTCTTCAGCTCCATAAAACACCCACCAGGCCATTTCCCGGGGAGGGCGAATGAGGAAGGAGCCTTGGCCAGCAGCAAAGCGAAGCGAGCCACCACTGGGTTACAGCAGCCTGTCTTTTATTGTTTTCCAATGAAAATGCTTTTAAGCTGCTCATTAATTCTCTGCCTTCCTTTTCCTACTCAAGGCGGCAGCGGGCACCGCTACCCTGCTTGAACCATCAAGCATTCCAGTCAAGCTGGCATTCAGACTCACGAAGGGAAAGGTTAATGATGGGCACAACCAGGCGCCCAGTGAGCCACGAAAAGCGTGCGCAATCATTGTGCCCACTTTGCCCGAGAAGGAAGGAGGGGGCCTGAAACGGATGGCCAGACGGGGCTAGGACAGGCCCGCCAGGCCAGCATTCCCCAAGCTTTAAAAAGAAACCGCCTCAGTTTTGTTGGCTTTGGAAAGCTGGCGCCTTCATTTGCTGCCTATGATTCTGCCCGAGAATCCAGCCCCACCAGTGATCCAACAGGCAGCCTCTCTTGTGTCTGGGATGTAAGAGCTGCCCTGGGGGGGGGGAGGGTCAGCCTCAGGGGAGCTGCCAAGGGCTTTGCAACAGGAAGGATCCTTGAACTCGGACCTGCCTTTGTTGTGCCCCAACCTGGCACCAGGTGCCTCAGCCTCCAGATAAGGAGAGAAAGGTGCTGCCCAGCGGTGGCAGATCCTGGCTCGGTCCTGACGCAACTGTCCCTCACTTCTAGAAAGCTCCAGAAGGTCATCCTGTCAAACTGCAGCAAACCTTCTTGGCTATTAAAGGTTTTGTCCTTCTGCAGGAATCCTACCGACGGTGAGTTAGGGAAATGAAGCACCATCCAGAAAGGTCTTGGAAAATAAGGATTGTGGCTAGCTTGCAAGTGAACAGGCACCAAGAGGCAGAGGTGAGGATTAGTGGGGGAAGGTGACAGGGGATAAGCACCCTCGGAAGGAAGCGAACCAGGAGCAGCAGCGTTCTTAGTGCAAGCAGAACGGGTGTCGTTTAAAGTCTAATCTCCCTTTTGAGAAACACCAGCTCTTGATTTTGCCCAAGAGTCCGGCCACCCCTGGCAGGAGACATCTTGGGCCAAGTCCAGTCACCCTGGGGACTCCTGCCTCTTATGTTTTCTGCCTGAAAAAAAGCAACTGCTTTCTCTCCCCCTGAACCCAAGGTATGTCCTGGCACCAAGTGCTCTTGTCTCCGTCTTGAAACAGAACTGGAAATAGTGACCTTTTGCTCAAAACAAGGGGCATCAGCTGGACTTCTCTGGTTCTTCCCTGTCCCTTTTGCCTGATGTGGAGACGATGCTCTCTGCACACTCTCCTGGGCTCTCCTGATTGTCCCTACGCAAGGAATCAACTAGCCATTGAGTGTAAATGTTGAGGCCTGAAAGAGTCCTCTGAATACCGAGAAGCAGGCTTAAGAGATGTAATCTGCTCAGATTGGCTTTGCCCCCCCCCCTTCAAACCTGCCTCCCTGTAGACCTGCTGCAGCTTCCGCTCCCAATCCCCCCACCTCCCCTGAGAGGAACTACAGGGCAATGGGCACGCAAGGCAGCCTGGGGGGTGGGCTAGCTCAGCATGCCTGGGTGATGCCGTACCTTGAAGACTTTGGAAAAGAAGCCGCTGCCTATCAGCTCCGCCTCAAAGTTTTCCCAGAATTCCAGCTTCCGGACAGCTGTGCGCAGCCTCTGCCACCGGTCATCCTCTGGGCAATAAGCGTCAGGGGTCTCCTCGCAGCACGGAGTTGAGCCAGACAAATCCGGAGGCACCGGACCCACCTTGTACATTGCAAAGGCAGGCACTGCAAAGAGAAAGGAAGGAGAGTTTCCTGTCTCAGCCCCTTCCGAGGCTGAGCGCCCGTCTCCATTTCACAGCTAGCCAGAAGAGGCACCGCTGGGAGGAACCAGGGCTGAGTGGTTTTCCAGCTCAAGGGCTCTCTAGCTTCTCTCTGCCCAAAGCAGAGATGCCCTCAGATCAAGCCAGAGCTGCCCTGGTATTGAAGAGGCTGCTCAAGACTCCTTTGGGACTCTCTCGCCAGGAAGAAGCTCACACGAAGGGCCACGCTTGGCTGCTTAGGCCTGTTCTTTCCCCCTCTCTGCTCTGCCTGAGCCGCCCAGATGCTAAAGCCACGGGTGTGGGGGTCGCAGGACCCCCGAACAGCCCCGGGTTCGTGCCTCGCATTCTGGGCCTTCCCCACGTTCAGTCCCTTGCCCTCTGGGGCAGCCCCTCCACGGACCTTCTGTGCAGGGCAACATCTGCAGCAGGCCCTCCCTCCCTCCTGGCATCCGAGGCGGAGCCGCCGACTGACTCCCCTGGCACCAGGCGGGGTGGCCAGCCTCTGAGAGGAGGCAGCCTCTGTTGCAGAGACCCAGACAGGAGGAGGAAGCGCTTTCTGGAGACTGGTTTTACTACACGGCAGTTCTGGCCTCTTCTTTTAAGACACAGACTGCTAGCAAAATGGGGCCATTGTCCCTCCGACAAAAACAGGCCTGTTGAGGAGGGAGGCTGCAGCCTCCAGTTTCCCAGGCTGTACACAACAACACAGCAGGAATGCACTTGTGGCACCCAGAGAGCTCAAAGAAAGAGCCAGATCTGCTCTCACGTGCCTCTGCTTCCCACTTTACACATTCTAGCACTGACCGTCTCCCCCGCTCCATTCCTTTTGAGCCCCACAAAACGTTTATCTGCAATGAGTTCATTTATTTATTTATGAGACTTATATACCGCTTTAAGTGCAAGCACTCTCTAAGCGGTGTACACCAGTAAGCAATGTATATATATATTTACATTGCCCCCAACAATCTGGGTCCTCATTTTACCTACCCCGGAAGGATGGAAGGCTGAGTTCATTTTTGCAGAGGGCAGGCACAATTCTCTCCTTCCAAACCTGTAATCTGATACCGGGCACAACATTCAGCTGCTCGGGAGAAACACTTTGCATACTGAGAAGCCGCAGTTTCTGTTCATGGACATGTGAGCCTCCGTCTCAAACCGATAACTCCAGCATAATTTCTGTTAAGTTCTCTTTTTGAGATTCCAGGCCACTGACTGCCTTCGGCTTAATTTGGGGTACCACTAATTGGTGGATGTTTTGTTTTTAAAGAACTTGGACTGAACCTTGTGGCATTTGGAAAAACAAATCAGGTACAGAACAGGCTGGTGCGCAGAAAAATAGCAGTCTCACTTTGAAAATCAGAAAAGACAAAAATAAATTAAAAGTAAACAAGGATGCAGCTGTTGCTATTATTTGCCAGAATTGCAGCTTCAATCTAAAGCAGATGGTCTTGCTGGACCCAAGAATCTGACCCACTGCAAGGCTATGACTGCGGGAGCCATAGGACACTCGACTCCTGAGGCCTGCCACGGAAAGGACACAACAACAGCCACGGCTCAGTGGCAGGACGGAGGTCCTGAGGCCCAGGCTGATGGAGGTGAGGCAAGGAATGGATACAGACTACACTGAATTTTCTTTGAGGGGTCCTTAATACTCTCTGCACTTTGTTGTTTTCTTGCAGACATTTCATTAGTCAACTAGGTAACATCACCAGTGCTAGAAGGAGCATTTGCAGCAAGCCCCACCAGCCTGATGATGTTAGCTACTTTGGGCCGTGAAACATCTTCCAGAGAACAGCCGAGCTCAGAGAGCAGCAAGGAGTCTCCGTTCAACTGTGAGCTACAAATATTCCCCTTTATTGAATTTTCTTTCCTTGAATTATAGAGAGCAGGTGTGCAGAGTGTCTCCAGATACTCCTTGCCAGAGAGGCTGTGTGGGCTTCTCACACTATCCCCCCCCCTTCCACTGCGGATTTCATTGAGAGCGAAAGCAGAGGTGGTGCAGATACCCAGAGCCCAGCAGTGATAGATCAATGCCAGTTCCATTAGGCAGAAATAGCTGACGGGGCATTCCTGGCAGGGACAGGCCTGGTCTGTTCTCCAGAGCTACTGGAAAGCTCGGCTGGTAGGATTGGGGAGGGGGGAGTAGTTTCAAGAGCCTTTTGTTCCAAGGCTTTCTGGAATCCATAGAGGAGCTGGTGGCCAGTTGCTAGGAAACAGGGGCCGTTCCTGCCCAGGTTGACTCCTGCTCTGGATCGGAGGTCAGGAAGGGAGCTCAGAGGCTATCAAGTCTAGCCCTCCAAGGAGAAGGCAAGGGTGTCCAGCCATACAGAAGCCATGATCCCAGGGGACTCTGCCTCAGAGAGAAGGACCAAGTATGGCAGGAAAGCATTCAACTAAAGGGATAGCCCAGTTGCAGGCAACTCGCATAAATGAGTCAAGCCGTTGTTGTTAATTGCGAAGTTGTGTCCGACCCATCGCGACCCCATGGACAACGTTCCTCCAGGTCTTCCTGTCCTCTACCATCTTCTGGAGTCCATTTAAGTTCACGCCTGCTGCTTCAGTGACTCCATCCAGCCACCTCCTTCCCTGTCATCCCCTTCTTCTATTGCTCTTTCTCAGCATCAGGCCCTTCTCCAGTGAGTCCTTCCGTCTCATTAGGTGGCCAAAGCATTTGAGTCAAGCCGTATTCCCTGGCAAAAGTCTGGCTCCAAATATTTATACCAGTTTTGCTGAATCCAGAGACTTTCAGTTGCATTTCTTCCCTGAATTCCAGTCTCCATATTCTCTGCGTAGGACACCACATTCCCAGATCCAGTCTCTTGACTCCGAAGCACAAGACAGGCCCATGAACTCTGGAACGGGCAGACCTCCAGGACCACCAGCGTCCCCCACCTCGCTGCACCCAGGGAAATCTGCATTCCTGCCACTAATCCCCAGGCACTGCAAGGTTTTCCTTCTCAATCCACACCAGCTAAGCGCTGGGCCAGCAGAACAAGACTTGGCAACACAAATCCTGCCTCCACCTGACAAGTCACGCACCCAGCCCCACCGGGGTTGGTACTCACCAGGCAAAGATCTGGGTCAAAGGATGTTGAGCTGCTGGATTTCTCATAAATACAAGCTAAGAGCAAAAACTACAGAAGACAGCTCATCTGGAGGCTTTTGGGGGGGAAAAGCGGGTTTAACCGAGAACTTTGGTTAAGTCAGATGGAGCGTAATTATAGCTGTGAAGGAGCACCAACGTGGCATGTTCCTTCCCAGAAAACACAGCAAGGGGAAAATTCGCCCTCTCCCTTCCCAGGGAGGAGGAGGAAGAGGGGAGGAGAGGGGACAGCCGGCCCTCCCCCTCCCCAAAATCTCTCAGGGTTGCCTGAATTAAAAGATGGGAGCCAGATCTCCCTCCTGGCATTTGGGGGCTCCCAGGGCTCAGGTGGGGCTCCCACCTGGCAGGCGAAGGGGAGAGCTGCTTCACTCGGAGGCCACAGCAGGAGGACCCGCCGAGCTCCCGCCGGGCAAAGCAAAGCAACCTGAGCCGGGGGGGGGGATCGACAGGTAGCCCCTGGGCGCCAAAGGAGGCAAGCCGGGCAGAGGGCATCGGCCTCGCCCGACACAATGCGAGGCAGCCGGGAGTTTCCACGGGGGAGCCTCTTTCCTCTTTGGGTCACCCCCGCGGGTGGGTGGTGGTCGGGGGGAGACTGACAGATAGTCCCCTGGGAGCCAGGCGGCCGCCTCCTTCGGGGACCCTTCGGGGCGGCCTCGGGAGACCCCGGCCCAGGGGATCGGGGGGGTGCTGGCTCGCCCGGGGCCTCCGCTGCCGCCGCCGCCCACTCCCCCCCCCGCAGGCCGAAGGCACCGGGCAGGGCCGGCCGGGCGCGCACTCACCGCCGCCTCCTCCTCCTCCTCCGTGCCGAGCCGCGGGGCGCACAGAGACCGCGCCGCCTCCGCGCAGCTCCCGCCTCCGCCTGGCCTGGCCCGGCGCCACCCAGCGGGCGGGCGGGGAAGGGAGGCCGCCGCGACCCCCGGCCGCGCATCAGGGGACCCCGGCAGGCCCTCCCCCTCCGCCTCAGGCACGGCCGGGACCCGGAGCCTCGGGGGCGGGTCTGGGCGCCCCCGGAGCGCTCCTGAGGGCCGGCCGCGGAGCATGTGCAGAGGGCGCCCACCCGCTCGCCCGGGAGGGGGGGACTGTGGGGAGGAGGCGGCGGGGCGGGGGGCTTCCTCAGCCGGACCCCCCTCGACCCTTTTGGGCGCCCGGCGGGCAGCGCGGGGGTCGCCTCACGCCCGAGGATGGCGGCACTTCGGTCACCATGGCGACGGAGGGCGCCCTGCCTCCCGGGGGCCCACGTGACTTCCGCGCACGTGACCGGCCATCCCTCGGCCACGTGACTGGCGGAGGCGAAGCGGCGGTGACATGGAAGCGACCCCGCCGGGATCCCCGCGCCGCTCCCTCCTCCTCCTCCTCCTCCTCCTGCTGGGGCTGCTGGGTCTGGGGGCGGCAGGTGAGGGTCTCCGCTGCAAGTTCCGCCTGCCCCGTCCCGGGCGGGGCGCTGCGATGGGGCGGGGGCCGCGCTTGCTAACGCCGCCCGGTCTTCCCCGCAGCCCGCAGCGGCGCCCAGCCGGCCTTCCAGGAGCGCTTCTTCCGGCAGCGGCTGGACCACTTCAACTTCCAGGCGTGCCGCAACCGGACCTTCCTCCAGCGGTACCTGGTCACAGGTGAGGCGGGGGAGGGGCGGCTGAGTAGGGAGACGCGTTTTGCAACCGCAGTTGGTTGCTGAGTGAAGCGGTCCCTATGTGAAGTTGTGACTGTGCTCGTGGTCAAGCTGTCCTTTGCTGGACAGACGTGCAAAGGTCATAAAAGTGAGGACCGACCGCCTAATGACTTTTCCAGCACCATTGTAACTGCAAACGGTTGCTAAATGAGGCAATCACTAAACGAGGACTGATTGTGTATTCCCCTCGCCGCTGTGTCCCGCAGATGAGTTCTGGAGGCCGGGGGCCGGCCCCATCTTCTTCTACACGGGGAACGAAGGGAACATCTGGACCTTCGCCCTCAACACCGGCTTCCTGCTGGAGCTGGCAGAGCAGCAGGGGGCCCTGGTGGTCTTTGCCGAGCACGTAAGTGGGGCTGCTGACGGCTCCGGGCTGGCCGGGGCGCCCGAGGTCTGCGTCTCGGGGGCCGCCGTGGCACCGGATCCTCACTGGCTCACCTTTTCTCCTGGCTTTAGAGGTATTATGGGAAATCGCTTCCGTTTGGAGCAGAGTCCCTGAAGGGGCAAAACTCTGGGCTGCTGAGCGTGGAGCAAGCCCTGGCCGACTACGCGGTTCTCATCGCGTGGCTGAAGGAGCAGCACCAGGCGCCGAACTCACCGGTCATCGCCTTCGGGGGCAGGTGAGGGCTATTTCCTGGCTAAATAGCGGGTGCCCCGTGCACCAGCTGCACATTTTTAGAGAGCCAAAGATCCCGATGAGGCTGTGGTCCCTTCCTCCTTTCAATGAGCCCAAAATTCTCTGCTTCCTCTCCAGGAAAATAACCGCCTTCTTACTGTCCCTCTTCACAGTTACGGAGGGATGCTCAGCGCCTACATGAGACTGAAGTACCCCAACCTGGTGGCCGGGGCCCTTGCGGCCAGCGCCCCCGTGCTGTCCACCGCGGGGATCGGAGACCCTGGCCAGTTCTTCAAGGACGTCACGGCAGTAAGAAAAGGCAGCTTGAAACACATCACAACCCAGTGAATCTGAAATAATCCCATTAGCTTTCTGACTCAATGAGGGAATTTTGTCTCTTCCAGGACTTTGAAAACTACAGTCCAGAGTGTGCCAAAGCTGTCCGAGAAGCATTCCGGCAAATCAAAGACCTCAGCCTGGTTGGAGGTGAATGAAGGAGCCCTGAATAGGGGCAAACGGCCCTTGGGACAGTCACTTTTTAGGGTGTGAAGTTGTGGGCAGTTTGCGACTGGATACGTTGCTGCCCTGCACTTGACCAGAATGGTTTAAACCCAAAATGCAGTTTATTTCACAGGTCGAGGATGCCAGTTGCGCCACCCTTAAACACGAACACGTCTCTCTCTTGTGTTAAGCTTACGGGAGAATCAGCACGGAGATGGCGCTCTGCCACCGGCTTTCCACTCAAGAGGACATCAAGCACCTCTTTGGGTTTGCCCGGAATGCCTTCACCATGATGGCGATGATGGATTATCCTTACAAGACCGACTTTATGGGCCACTTTCCGGCAAACCCTGTCAAGGTAAAGGCCTGGCCTTCTTCAGCTGTAGGGCAGTTCTGTCTCTCAGGATACCCAGCTTGGCAAAAATAACCCCCATTTTGTGGTAGTGTCACTTTAATGCCGATATTGTAATTTGTAAAAATACAGTTGCAAGCTCTCCACACTCAAACCCTTTCAATGTCTTTGCCCAGAGCTGGTATGTTTGCCAAAGGGTAACCAAACATCGCCCCTCACTTGATCTCTCCAGAGAAAAACCAATGAAGTGAGACCCCCCCCCAAATGGAGGTATTTAATTAATGGGCCTCTGCAAAACAGAATAGAGAGAAATTTTGGTCCTGTGGCTTTTTTTCCTTTTCATGACTTCTGTTAGATGATATAAACACTTTGGGATTTGGGGCAGAAAGCATAAGATTAGTAGCGATGGCGTTACAACATGTTTTTAAGCTGGGATGAAACCCAAAACTAGCTAGAAAATAGATTATATTGGGTCAGCCGGCAGGTAGCCGAACTTGCTTTCTGCTTTGGGGGGGGGGGGAAATGCAGATGTACTCAATTGCTCTTGAAGGGGAGGGGGCGTTGAAAAACTGAGCCTGGGTGTGCCTGTTCATTCAGGTTGGCTGTGAACTGATGTTGGCCAGCAAGGATCCCATCCGAGGGCTGGCAGCTCTTTATGGTGAGTCCATGCTCTGTTTCATTCCGCAAATGCTGCCTTTCTCCAGGGTGGGGCCTCGGACTGCCCGTTCATGTCCCTGAGGATCACCCCAGGAAAGCCCAAACTGCTTTGATCCAGCTATTTCCCCCCACCGTCCGAAGGCTCCTCTCTCTTGGCTCCTCCTGGGCCTGCCATCCAGGGCGGCAGGTGAACGAAGCAGCAGGCGTGATCCGCCAGAGCCTGGGGTAGACAGCCCAACTTTACCCAGGTTCCCCTGCTAGGATGGCAGGCCCAGACACCATCCTCTTTGCTCCTCCGCCGCAGAGACCCCCCGCCTGTGATGTAGAGATGAAGCTGGCTGGTGGTGAGGCTGAAGTGGCAGAGGTCGACGGCCGACAGACGGAGCCGGGCCCACCGATCAGTGACGGGGCAATAGTACTCCGCCTCGCTCACAGGGACCCACTGCTGGCCCTGCAAAGAACCAAAGCATAGGGCAGAACCAGGGGGCATGGCAAAGAGCGCCCAGCTGGGCCTCGGGGAGTCCCGGGAGCCCACACAGGAGGGAGCAAATGCCACCTACGTTGGCCAGAGCCCTTCCTCCCAGGCAGAAGATGCGGTCTCCCACTGTTGCCATCCCGTGATCGCAGCGGGCAAAGGCCATCGGCCGGTTCCTGACCCAGCAGCGTAGGCGGGGGAGGTAGCTCTGCATGACGCTCAGGGTCTGGCCCTGCGCGAATCCCCCTGTGCCGAAGAAAAGGATAGGTACTCCTTCCTCTGCATCTGGCCCCTGGACACAGGCCGCTCTCGCCTGGAAAGGGAGCGTCCCCAAACCCAGGGACTTCTCACTCCAGGAGGGCCAGTGCCAGCTGCTCCTTGCCCAGAAAGAGACCCTTTCGCACCTGAGATGTACAAGATGCCTCCGTGAGTCGCCCCCGCGTGGTCGGCCACCGGCACTGGAAAGGGCGTGAGGGGCCGCCACGCGTTCTTGGACAGGCGGTACTCTTCGGCCGTGTCGGTCAGCATCCCCAGCAGCGCTCCACCCCCCACAGCCACCAGTTGCTCATTCAGCACCCCGGCATAGAAGCGGGTCCTGGGCACCAGCATGCTCGCCAGCTGCAGCCAGGTGTTGCGGCAAGGGTCAAACCTGAACACCTGGAGTTGGAAGAGGGAAAGGCCAGTGGCTGCCCTGGGTCTCAGCTGCCCACTTCTCCATTTGGGAAGATGGAAATCAGCCTCGCCACCAGGAACTCTATAATGATGCCAATGGAGAAACATTTGCTCCCTTCAAACGATTCTGTTGGCCTCTTATTCTGAAGGAAGTCCAAGCCACCAGCTCTGGCCCTTGGGGCAGTCCTTACCTTCTTGGAAGGCTCCTGGCCTGTCGGATCAAAGCTCTCCTGCCCGCCCATCACGAAGACAAAGTCATGGAGGACGGCCACGCAGTGATTGTACACAGGCCCATGCAGCTTCCCGAGGGCTGTCCAGGAATGGCCATGCTGGTCAGCAGCCCAGATGTCCCCGCAGATGGCATTGTCTGCCGATCTGCCCCCCAGCACCATCAGCACCTCGTTCCTGTGGCGCACCTGAGTGCGCTCGCTCTGCAGAAGCGGCTGCAGGTACGGCTGGCCGTGGTAGTCCAGCCCTTCCCGGAGGTATCGGCGGCAAGCAGGCTCGGTTTTCATGACAGCTACTTCCTGGACGAAGCGCTGCAGATCTGGGAGCGGTATAAAGGGAAAGCGGATGTGGCCCAGCAGCTCGGCTGCCTCTCCCGGCTGGGTGCCGTGGTGGTCCAGCCAGCAAATGGCTGCCCGAAAGAGCTCCAGTTCGGTCAGCCCCTGGGTGTCCCCTCCGTCCAGGATGTCGCACAGGGTCGCCCTGTCCAGCTCCTTCAGCTGCGCAGGGTCCCGCAGGATGTGTCCGCAGTGCTTGCTCACCCAGCGTTGCACCTTCAGCCTCAGTTCTTCTGGGCCAAGCCGTCGAGCGAGGCGGAGGATGGGCAGGCAGGAGTGCCGGTCCAGGGCTCCTTCCAGGAAGCAGAAGGCCAGGCGCATCACCTCGCGCACCAGCAAGGCCTCTGCCGCCCGGAAGACCTCCTCGACCGTCTGCAGAGTCAGCTCCAGCCGGTTGGAGTAAAGGAAAGACAAGACACCCTGCAGGCCCCGGGCGGTCACTGGCGGGGCCAGTTTGAGCGAGCTTGCCTGGCCGGCCGGCTCCCTAACAAAGCACATCCTGCAATAGCTGCTGCCCACGGCAAGGAGGGCTCTGTGGGCGGGGAACGAGGCCCCCTCGGCCTCCAGCACCACGTCGCACAGGGCATTCTGGGAACGCAGGTTCTGGAGCCCCTCTAGGAGTTTAGGCAGGTAGGTGTCTGAGCTGAGACTCTGGCCTTGCGTCTCTCCAGAAGCCATCGCCCAGGTGTCAGTCAGAAGCGGCCCTTTTCCTACCCCAGAAGACTCTGGAGCTCCCCTCTGCCCATTGGAAGCCCCTCTGGGGTTTCTGCTTCTCTGGGCTCAGCCGGTGGGATGGCCGGTCTTGCTAGCTGTGCTTCACTCTTGTTTTTCTGGGCTGCCAGGAGAGCAGGACAGCTGATCCCTCATCTCCAAGACAGCAACAGCTGATCTCCCCCCTCCCTCCCATTGGTTGCTATCCACCAAGGTGTGGTGGATCCTCTGTTTCCTGGTCTGGCCAAAATGGGGAAAAAGGCAAGTCCAGGCTTGCCCCCTGCTTTTCAGATGGGGGGGGGGAGAGCGGGCTGCTTCCCCCTGGACTTTCTCTGCGGTCTTTGGCCAGGAGGCAGCAGGGGAGGAGAATCTTGGCTTCGTGCTGTTCCTAGCATTTATACCTTGGCTGAAGCTCAGCAAGGGATGTTTTCCATTTCTTGGCCCAGCCACCAGCAAGAGTTGCTTTCTACGATAAAAATCAGAGTTCCCCCTTGCTTCCTTTCCTCTGCCCTGAGTCGCATGCTGAAGCATTAAGCCTTTGTTTGCACTTCGGCTCTTCCTCCAAGGGGCTGGTGTTCCTGCTTCGTGGTTATCTTAGCCCTGTGTCTTCCAAGGGATTTTAATCTGAGACTTTGGAAGCAAGATGGAGCCTTCAGCCTTTCCTCTCAAGGTGGGCTCCGTGGGTGCTTGGTGGGCCCACCCAGATGATTTAGGCTTAAGGGAGCGAAACCGCCTCCCCTCTGCCCCAGCCTTGCCTCGGTTTCTTTTGAGCACCTAGAGTGGACTCAGCCTCTTCTTCTTGCTCTACCAGGAGTATTTTACAACTCCACGGGGACGGAAATGTGTTTTGACATTTACGAGCTGTACCAGAAATGCTCCGATCCAACCGGCTGTGGCACCGGCCCCGATGCTGAGGCCTGGGATTATCAGGTACGTTGGGGGAAGAGCTGTCTCACCTGGGCTGGCCAGGAATGGGCTGGCCAGGACTGGAGGTACCGGGTGGGGATGACGGTGGGCAGCTGCCATTGAGGACATCAAGGCATTAGTTGACGATGATGCAACGAAGAAACATTTTCCAAGTCTGTGGACTTTTTATTTGCTGTTTGAGCAGGGTTCCCACTTTTTGTAAAGTGGGACATTTCTTGCTGTGGGTCTCCCATTCCCACGTGGAGGAGCCAGCTTCTCCCGCTGCAGATCCCAAGGTGCTCAGGGTGCTGACACAGGCTAGGCACGGCCCACTCATTCACCCCAGGTCAGGATGGGAGCCGGGCGCCTGCTTCTAATGGCAGCGAGACTCTCCTCTGTTTCAGGCCTGCACAGAGATCAACTTAACGTTCGACAGCAACAACGTGACCGACATGTTTCCGGAGCTGCCCTTCACTGAGGCTGCCCGGGAAGACTACTGCTTCCGAAAGTGGGGGGTCTGGCCCCGCCCATCCTGGTTGCGGACCAACTTTTGGGGCGGCGGTGAGCAGCAGCCTCTGTTTAGCCCGTCTCTTAGACTTCGGCTTGCGATTGAGGGGGGCGCTCCCAAAGGGCCCCACTTGCTGTTTGTGGTCTGTGGGAGGGGGAGAGCTGCCTCCTGTGGGCTGCTTGGGGTCTTGAAGCGCAGCAGAATGTGGTCCCAGATTCACAGAGACAAGCAGGCCTCCTGTCCTCTGGGCCCCTTTGTGGGGATACGACCTGCTGTGTAATCCTGAAGCTTTCCTTCCAAGGCTGGGACGTCCTCTGGGCCTGGCTGGTTAAAGCCATCTTGCTGAGAAAAGCCTTTGCAGAGCCACTGAATGGTTTAAGGCGGGCACTCTCCTTCTGAACCCCAGCATCTGAGCTTCCCCACTGGCTCACAGGCACCTGGGGGGCTTTTGTGGGCTTCATCGTTCAAACCTATTAATAACCTTGCTGCCCTTTTGACAACTGTAGATCTGGCTGCTGCGACCAACATCATCTTTTCCAATGGAGATTTAGACCCGTGGGCATCAGGCGGCGTAAGTACCTGCTCAGCGTTCCTGGGATCTGCTCAGATCTACCTGGACCTGTTACCCGATATCTCTCTCCTCCCCCACGGAAAGTTTGACTCTCAGATGTTGCCTTTCCCAGGTGCGGAAGAACCTGAGCGCCTCCTTGACTGCCATCTCCATCAAAGGAGGCGCCCACCACCTCGATCTCCGGTAGGTTTGGCCAGGTGGGCTCCCGGTGGCTTCTTCCCCAGCTGCCCTCAAGAGGGGTCCTTGGATTGTACCATTCTGGCAAGGATCTCTGCTTGTCCTGTGGAGTCCTAGACGGGCCTTTCCCCCCCCCTCCTCCTCCTCCCATCTCTCTTGCGGGAGTGTCTGGTTCTGCATGTAAGACTCCCACTCCGAGCTGTCCCTGCCTTCTGAGGGGGGGGGGGCTGCTGCTGCCACCGTCTCCTGGATCACGAGGACCGAATGCAGCCCAGGTGCTGAGCTCGGGAGCCCATTAGCTCTCTTCAGGTATCTGTGGAGCTTCTCGGTCATCCAGTTTACAGTTGTCCCAAAAGGAAGTCCCTTCAGATGATTCATCAATGCTTTCACTCATTTTAAATGTTTCAGAAAGAGGAGGCACGGCGATTGTGTTTCCCTGAAAAAGCAAGCAAATACACCTTAAAAGCCACTTGTAACTCCTTAGCTCCCATGGTTGGATGTTTGCCCTCTGACGAGCACCAGGGATGCTTCACTGGGTCTTTTTTTCCCCCCAACAGGAGCTCCGACCCAGCTGATCCCGCCTCGGCCAGGGAAGCTCGGCTGCAGGAAGCCAGGATCATCTGGGGCTGGGTGGAGGCAGCCACCACCAAGGCCACCAAGTAGTGCCTGAGTTGGCAGCCGGTCACTAAGAGAAGCCCCCCACCGCTGGGCACAAAAGGAGGGAAAACTGGTGTGTCCTTTTTAAAGCAGTGACTTTCATGCCATGGTGTGAAGAATAAGGAATAAAGCTCCGTCCAGCGGACCTTCCTGGGTTCTTGGAGGCTGGAATGAACCGGGCCTTTTGTTCGCCTCTTTCTGAGAAAAGGTCTGGCAGTTGGAGGGGAGGGGAAGAGCTCAAACGCAGTGCTTAGATGCACTGGGATTGGCCATTCTGAGTCGGGGCCCCTGAAAGCAATAGGGGTGCTACCCTAGACCTTCGGACCATCTAGCCAGACCCTCACCCACCTGGGGGGAAACCCAGAAGACCCGCACCCCAGGGAAAAACGCTTCTTTCCCTTGCTGGCTTGGTTTCGCTCTGGAGACCCTACAGATGGGTGTCCGCCCTCTGTGCTCTGCCACTGTGGAGGGAGGATGTGCCTGCCACAGGGCTTGAACCCAGGGCCAGTTCCACTTTTCCTCCAACCGCTCATGCAAAAGCCAGCTCAGCCCGTTCTGGCAGGACAGAAACATATAAGCCGTCGGTGGCACAGAAAAATGCAGCCTCTCAAAATAAATTGGAAGTTTATTAAGGTGGAGTAGAATTTCTGCAGACTAACTTCCCAGCCAAAACCACTTAAGGTTCTCTTTCAGAGATTTTTCCCACCTCCACAAAAAGGTGAGTCACACTTTGAACCATTTGCACGTTCACAAAAGAAATCAATTCTACTTTACAAATACCTTGGACCAGATCACACCAACGAGACTTCAGCAAGCAGGTCTCTCCTTGGGAGAAAAAAAGGTAGTTTGAAAGTAATTATGCAGAGGGAATGATGGGAGCACACAGGTGCTCCTCACAATAGCGAGCTTCCCTACCAGGTTTGGCAGCCACAATCCTCCCCTCACTTCTGGTCCGTTTACCGCCTGTTGTACCTGATCATTTAAGACTCTGTCATCTGCTCTTAAGACGTGAGATGAGCTGGCCATGGTAAGACAGCAAAAAAATCACAAGGAATGTATCCCAATTTGGCTGCGCAAGACAAACATGAAAACAGAGCTCCGTTTTCCTGACGTAGTAAATTTCTCTTGAAATTTCCAAAATCAGGACGACATCCCAGCCTCCGTGGGGAACACAAGGCAAGTAGAAATTCAGGGCTGAACACAGGTAAACAAAACAGCAAACCAATTCTGCCCTTGGGTGTTACGAGGGGCGTTCGGCATCTAACTCTGAGAAGGATCCAGGAACCAAACCTCTTAGGTGGCCCATTTCAAAAGAGGCTCGGAGAACTGCAGATGATGGGTCTGCAGCCCGACGCTGGACTTCGTGTGCCGGAAGAAATGCTCCCTTTTGGGGACCTGCCAACCCTTCTCTCTTTCCCCTTGAAATCGGAAGGCACCAGTTCAAAGTAAAGTGTCAGCCTCCCAAAACTGGGGATGTACAGTATGGCTTTTAAATTCCAGGATCTGTTTAAATGGGGGAACAGAAAGCTAACAGTGCCTTGCAAGCACCCCCTCGAAAACCAGGACTGCTCCCCCCCCCAAATTCAGGTGGGACCTTGTGGCTACAACAGCAAACATCCATTTCCCTTAAAAGGAACGTGGCGATGGTGAAGTCCTCCAGAGGTCCACAGTTACAGTGAGAAGATTGGAAAGAAATCTTTCTGGTTACGGTAACTAATTGTGCTTCAACTGTTCGAAGCGTTGGATTCTCCCCCTTCTGACAGTCACCGGCCTTGTGACGTTGCAGGGGAGAAGGAGCAGAGTCCGAGGCCCCCGCCGAGAGAGCCGAGGGATCGTTCTCTTGATTTCGGGTCACTGCACTGTCCCCTCTGTTAGGTAGCACCAAACACCCCGTTTTTGGGAAATGTGCATTTTGGGTCAGGCACAACACACAAAACAGAAACAGGCCCTCTGAAACCACTTTCACCGAAAACAATTGTGCCAAAGGGGACAGGGCCAGCTGGGTCTCCCTGTCCTTTCACGCGCGGGGGGGGGGATTTAAAGCAGCTCCTCCAGCCACAATAGCACTGTGACCAGGCGGAAGAACAGCAGCAGCAGCAAGCACAAAGGACACACTTAGGGAGGTCCCCAAACACAACAAATCGGTACCACCAAAACTGGGTAAGATTGTCCCGTGAATCTTCTCTCTGCCCCCACTTTAAAGTGCTGAGATTGAGCAACTGGGAAAGGGAGGGAAACGAAAGCCACAAAGGGATGGGCGAAAAGGCAGAGAAAGGGAGGAGTGGGAACCGGATGGAAGAGCAGCGCCTTGTCCTGCCTGGGGAAGGACCCGGCCTCTGATCCTGCGGGCGCTCTTGTACTGAGACGGAGAGGCAGAAAGACAACAAAGCGCAAAGCAGAAGCGGACAAGCCTTTCTTCCACCTTCCCGTGTAAATATACCTCAGTCCACACCTTTGGGAGCAGCTTCCTCTGTGGCTGGTGTTGAAAAGCCACAGAGCAAAGGCTGGTTAGTGGTTGGTTCTTAAGCCGAACTTTCCAAGGGGATCTTTTCAAGCACAAGAGACGTGGCAGAAATCCTGGCGGACAGAATCCGCTCTGAGCACAAGGACGATGCGACCCGCTGCTTCCTTGCCCTCCAGTCTCCCCCCTCCTCCGAATATGCTTGCAAAGTAAAGGTCAACAGCCCCCTCGGGCCTCCAACCTGGAAGAGGATCCCATGCAGGAAGCAGTTTTCGGTAGGATACCTGAGCCAAAACATTATTCATGTTATACGTATATAAATTCCTACATAGATAACCTTCTGTTTTAGCTTTTTCATAATGTAAATTTTCACATTTTTCTCCCTGCATTGCTGCAGATAAGTTAAGAAAATATATATATATATATATATATATAACCCCCCCATCCAGCTTCTCCCCAGTTCACAACAGGGCACAAGTTCCCCCCAATTACTCAAAGTGCCCCTTGGGACCAGGTGGTCAGCAATAAACACCGTTTTCGAGGGGAGGGCTCTCCTTTGGACAGCATCACCCCTACCCACCCCCACCTGCAGCCTTGGACTGATCCTGGGATGAATACCTGGGGAAAAGGCCTCTTGAATGGAAAGGAGACAACGGAAGAACGCCGGGGCCCTCTCTTGCTAGTTTTGAGGCGCTCCCTGGGTCAAAGCGAGCCCTGCGCTCCTCCCTTATGCCAAGCAGGATCTGGCATGGCAGTGACCTGCTTGCCCGTTCCTTATTCGGGTGCCCCTCTTCGGAGAGGGGGTAGTGATTCCAGGCCAGAGACCCACCTTCCCTCACGTACAATTCCTCCGGGAGGCTCCCTTCACCAGGAATGTCGCTCAGCCTTCCACACACACCCCCGTCAGGTCCCTGGAATTGGGACGGGATCGAATCTGGGAGCCGCAGACGCCCGGCTTCTCTTTATGCCGATGGCCAGATGGGGAGCGGGTGGGCCTCCGTGTTGAAGACGTGCTTGTCCAGGTTGATCAAGTTCACGTCATCCGAAAACAGCAAGAAAAAGTACTTGAGCGTCTCGCCCAGGAAAAAGCTCTCCATCTTGTCTCTCGGCTCCGGATGGCTGGGGCTCTGGACGTTGTCGATGGACGTGTAGCCGCCAGTCGGGACCTGGAGGGGGGAAGCCCAATGTGAAATTCAAAGGCCATCAAAGTTCACCATCTTGGCTTGTTTGGGGCGCTGTTCATTCAAAGCCTGCTTGGCCCCAACCAACCAACCCCCCAGCTGTATTTCCTGCTACTGGGCTATGTGTGTCCTCCATTCCTCCTTTGCTCTCTCTGATGAGACCCCGAGCTCAGACTCACCCGGGTGTATTTATTGAAACTCTGCAAGATCTCCCAACCCCAATCCTGGTACTTCTTATCGCCGGTGAACCGATACAGGTAGAAGAAGCTCTCCACCGTCTCAGGACGCAACAAGTTGTGTCTGTCGGCCGTCTGGGGAAAGGAGAGCAGAAGGGAAGCCAAAGGCACCGGAGCCCTGGACACCCACACCCCGGGTGCCACCTGGATGCCCGCAGCAGAGCAGGCTCTGAATCACGAGCCTCGCCCTCCGCCAGGAAGTCCGAGGACCAGGGCAGGGTCAGCCCTGCTGAGCTGCTCACCTTAATTTCCACGTCCTTCCGGTCCTTCTGTGGATGCACGTTGAAGTGGACGAGTTCAGGGCTCAGGCCAGTCTCTACCTGCACGTACATCTGGTAGCAGGTTTCCGCCAGCTCCGCTGCCAGCGTCAGGTGATCTGCAGGGAGCCCGTTGTGCGCTCCCAGGGCCAGGACTCCAGGCAAGAAGCAGACCAGGTGATCCTGCTCCGGAAACACAGAGGGAGAGGAGTCGGTGGGATGCCGGCTTCCTCCGCAAAAGCCTCTCTCCTCCGCTGGAGCTGGGAAGCCTCTTGGGCTGGGGCTGCAGGCACGGCGGGCCTGTGGCGCACCACGCCTGGCTGGCTCCCTCGCCAGCTGTCTTCCTGTCACGGCCCAGAGAAGGGGTTTCTTATTCAGAAGAGAGGAGCTGATATTTTAGCAACGAAAGCAAAGAAGGGAGGGGGAAGATCTGCGCAGGCGGATATGAACCCCTGAGAAGAGCAATTGCGGCAGGTGCTGGCAGCCCAGTGGGTTTCATGGGATCCGATTCTCCACGGGACTAAAAGGCCCAGCCGAAGGGCTGAAAGCACAGCGCTTGGACCCTGAAGGGGAAATCTGCTTAATTAAGCAAATCCATCCACTGCCGTTCAGAAACTGGAAGAGGAAACACGACTAACTGCTCAACAACAGCATGGAGGCTACCTGGTTGCTGAAGAGGAAGCAAGAGACTCCGCCTTATTCCACCAGCACAGCCTGAGGCTCTCTGCTAAGAGCAGGATTGGGGGGGGGAAAGGTGCCCCTCTGTCTCCCCCCGTCCTTAAAAGAAGGCTCACCATCTTTGCACTGAAACGGCCATGAGCGAGTTCGCCGACAAAGGTCAGCCTTTTGGGATAGGATTTCCGGAGCAGGTGCATCTTCACGCCCTCAACAGCCTTCACGTAGTCTTCCAGCAGCCTGCCCGGGGAAAGAGTGCGGCCGTTAGTGGCTGGACTGCTTAAAAGTAGACTTAGCTGCTGGTAGCAAAGCATACCATAAAAAGCATAATGAAGGTCGATAAAGGACGCCAACCACGAAGGCATCCTTGCCTCATTTATCTTCAGTCCATAAGCTGGAGAAACATCACCCATCGTGTTTGAGAATGGGTGTATGTCTTTGCGCGTGCATGGTTTTCCCGGAAGAGAGAAACACAGCTTCAGGAAAGTATTCATGGGTGTGAGAATGAAACAGTATTTCCATCAAATCAACCCAAATTCCATTTTTGTACAGAGCCTGCAGGAAAAGCCCTGGAATTCTCCACAGAAAATCATGCTAGACTTCTTATAAAGGAAGGAAGGGAATTTTAAAAGGATTTACTCATTCTCCTTCTTCCCTCCCTGGATCCACTGCTTGAGCAAATACTCGTAGTAGCTGTCAGCTCGAGCCCCAAGGGTGTAGACCCCGAGATGGGTGAACTGCCCGCTGTTGGTGTTGATAAACATGGGCACCAGGCCGTCGTTCTTGCCAGAGAGGGAGTGGACGTGTCTCATCACCCTGTCCACAGCGTTCTAGGAAGCAAAGAACAAACAGTGGAGCTTTGGAATCACACCCAGGAAAAGCAGTACACAAACAGGGTTTTGAGGTATGGGTAGCAGCCAGGTTTCTGGGAGACGGGACCCAGTTCTATCCAGCCTCAGCCTGTGGGGGTTACAGCATATGCCCTGCTGGAGCTACACCCCAAGAAGAAATGCAGAAAGCCCTTCCCAGTCTATTTGGAGACAAGTTTGCTCCAGGCTTCCTTCTGCAACCAAACAGCAAAGAGTGCAAGTTCAGTACACTAACTGACTATCCCAAAAGCTGAGGAAGTGTCCACTTCTTGATTAGACAACTTCTTCCTCTCCATCCTCTCCTCAGCAGAACCGTTAAGAGGAGGGAGCCCAGCCAATCCACTCCCCCCCCCGTACCTTAAACTTCTCTTCCCCAGTCAGGCGCGAGAGCTCCCTGAATTCCAGCTGGATGCTGGTCACTTCGGCCACAGTGCTGTCAGAGGTCCAGCGTGGGGGGTGGGCTGTGCCCTTCCCAATGTTGACATCCGAGAAGGGGATCTTGGAAGGGGTGTTAAAGGCCGGCATGAGCCTGCCCCCGATGTCTTTCTGAACAAGGGAGAAACAGCAGGGTAGGAGGGAGGGAGAAAGCCACCGACCATGTTTAGGTGCTGGGAGAGAGGAGAGGCCCTCTTGATCATTCTGAGAAGGGGAGGGACGCACCAGAGGTCTTAAAAGGCAAGCAAGGAGCTTACCGCTTTTTCCAGGAAGAGGCTGTCCCCAGACAAGTGGTAAGTGCTCAGCAGGCCCCCGAGGATACGAATGGCGCTCTCAAAGAGATTGACATCCACGTCTTTGTTGAAGTTGAGCTCCTGGGAGACCCACTCTCGTGCTTCTTTGAACTCTGCATTGGGGAAAGGAAGCCCAGAAGCTCGAGCAGGGCACAAGCATCTGCTTCTCCGGCCACCCCTTCTGAGAGAGAAGCCCCAGACGGTGTCCAGGCTCAGCTGTTCTGGCTGAGAGATTATTCCTGACTTCCAGACGCCTCTGCTTTATTTGCTATACGCTGGGCTCCCTCCAAACAAGCGTCCCTCAGAGACAGCCCCCTCAACTTACAAGGATGGTGGACTGATGAAGGCCGAGAGAAAAGCAAGGAGCCCACTCAGCGGGCCACCTTCTCCAGATTTCCCTGGTTGTGGGAGGAAGGCAGAGCAAGGAGACAGGCAAAGCACAGACCTGCCTTTAAGCCCAAGATCCACATGGTGTCCAGCGCATCGATGAGCGTCAGTCCGAGGCCAAACCATTCGTTGAAGGACTTGGAGATGGGCTTCAGCTCGTCGTGGCCCCAGGCAAATTCCTTGTAACCTTTCCACGCGTGGCGGAAGGCTTCGATCACGGCCAGCTGGCGTTCATTGAGGGGCACTGAAACAGGAAGGAAGGGACGTCAGGAGCTGCTCTCAAGGGAAAAAGCAGAGTCACCACCTGTCTCCGTCACAGGAAAAGGCCCTGTGGAAGAAAGTGTGGGCTGCCTTGTCGGCAAACCCTCAGGGCTGCCACCTCTGGGTTAAGCTGTGCCCGGCCCGCTACCTGGCTCCTTTGGGTCTTCGGACGCCACGGCAGAAGGCCTGCCTGGAGGCTTTATTTTCTTGGAAGGCGGCTCAGGGCTCAGGTTGGGCTCAATCAGGGGTCCTCTCCGACTGCAAAAAGAGGGTTATTGCTTTCCCTCCTTCCTGGGCGCTCACAACGCTACTACTACAGTGAAGACAGACAGACACTCCCAGTCGCAGGAGGGCGTATCCAGCACCCTCCCCTCAATCTGCACAAATGGGCAGCCCTTGCGGGCACGGCTCCCGGGACCCGTCAGCTGTGGCACGTTCACTCGCTAGCCGAGCATCCTCCCTACACTATTAAAATGGGCAGGAGTCCAAAACTGCCTCCCGAGGCTAAACTGAGAGAAGCAAGCGTCTCACCTAATGACAGGCTTATCCAGGTTATGCGCCTGATCTGCCTGGCCAGGTTTTCCCTCCGCTCTGTTAGCCTCCGTCTCCCTCCTAGGTGGCCGGATCTGCAGATTCGGAGGCCCTCGTCGGGCAGGAATCTGCTTCGGAGGTTTCTGGGGGGGGGGGAAAGAACCAAAGGAATTGGTGCATAGGCAGGAGTGGAGAAATTACTCTTAAAACCATAAATGCTTCAAAGAATAGCTTGTAAAGGAGAATGCAGGGAGAAGGAAAAATCCCTCAATTGTGTTACGAAGGCTTAAGGCGGGTGACTCAGTTCAGTCAGCAAAGGCCAGTCTGGGGATCCATCCGGTTAGAAAAATCCCTTCTAGGTAGAAAGTTCAAAGGCCAGATTTACAAACAATGACGGCCACAGATAGCCGGGCCCTCTAAAGGCTGCTGACCCGCCCCTTAGCTTACCACAAGATAATATACGGGGGGGGGGGGGGAGGAAGGGGGAATTACTTGAGGTGAAAAGTCCCTGAGGCTGGCATCAGCCTTCTGGGGTATCGGGAGAATCGCCTGATTTGCTGGATTCAATCCAGGGATCTCCAGATCAGCCTTCTGCTCCTCCAAAGATCTGCTGGTGGCACCTGCATGGAGAGATTAATTGCCATGAACCTGATGCAATGGAATGAAATCAGCAGCTGAGCGTATCGCTAAGGCTGAAGGTTGGTTCCAAGAAAAAAAGGAAAAAATACTAAATCACTCTCTTCTGTCAAATGTTTTGTTCCCACAATAAAAAAATAAATGCAACTAAAGCAATACTTAGGAATTTGGGAACACAATAGCCTGAAAAGTTGGGACACATTTTAATTTCTAAAAATATTTTGTCACAGTATAAAATCACAAAGCAGAATAGCCTTTTATTTGAAAATAAGCCCAAGTCACTCCAGAGACATACAGTGCTTCTGAGCGGACAGATACAGGATTGTGGTTTCAGCTGTTTCAAAAGCTAAAGATTTCCGTTACACAACAACAATTTATGGTAGAGAAACTAGCAGGCTTACTTCTCCAAGGGTCAGCCATATTTGCATATGTCTTGATTCCACAGACAACCAGAAAGGCAAAGAGGAAGAGGATGATGCTCCGCTGAAGGCGCGACAGCTGCTTCCATTTCTGAGGGTGAACGTTACAATAAACAAAAGGAAAAATCAGCCTGCAAACTCATCTTCTCACCATAAACTCTGCTGAATGCTGCCTACTTCCCTGTTATCTTTGGATGCCAAGTACTACAGCAAGAGCACAGGATTCTGCTGAAATATTTATTTAATGCATTTGACTAACAGAGGAGGCGCTTCACAACAGAAGCAAAAGAACACAAACGCTTCTGACTTGGTGATTGATGGCAGACAGCAAAGCTCCCTCTCCTAGCCTGAAGTCAACCCACATCTCCTCCACAAAACACCCCAGGAAAGCAGCCTCTGCTTCTCTCGTGCCCCTTTGCAAAGACCCGGATGTAGCCCCAATTCTCCTCTCGGCCTCCTGCCTTAAATGAGAAAGAAATTCTCACATACAATGCAATTCATTGGGTCTGGAGCAAGGCTGCTGCTTGACTCCGCTCTGCTTCTCCCGTCTTCAGTGGGATGGCAGCTGCCAGACACACACAACCAGCTCTCCGCTAAGTGTCTCAAAGGAAAAACTCCTTGGCGGATGAGCAACACCTCACTGTTACTTGCCACACCCCTAAATGCGTCCTTTCTTTTCTCGAAATGATCCAGTAACAAGAAAATTCATCTACTGCCAGCCTCTTCTACCGACTACACATTGGTGTTAGCTATTTTGGCAGGGAACATTTCTCTGAAAAACAGTTAAAACTACCTCAATGGAGGCAAAGCCTACCCATTTCCATCCGGTCTTGAGGGTGATTAGCTGCTTTCAGGATCAAAGGCTGCACAGAGTTTTAAAAACTGTGTATTATTGGGTAACAGCTGACAGAGGCACCAAACTGGATTTGACGGTATGTAAGTTGCTGAACTCGAGGGATTCTTAGTCCACCCACCCTGTCCTTTAGTCTCAAAGAGAAGAACGAAACCCCCATGTTCAGATGCAGTCTATCTCAGAGTAGCAAGTGCTGGAGATGCTAAAGCTGCCAATTACCAGAAACACTTAACCAGACACAAATGGGAACCACACTCTCTTATCTGCAGCAAGCGGGCGTCTTTCAAAACTGTACTCCTCCTGGCTAACCCCATTGCGATCCAGGGAGAAAATGGGTTTACTTTGGTGGTCTTCAGGCCGAAAGAGAGGAGACTTCCTGGCCTGTTGAGCCTTCCGCCTTTTCAGCACCGCCCCGCGGACAGCAAACCCGAAAGACCCACGTCAGCAACCGCCAGCCCTGACTTGCACCTTCGGATGTTTCAGCAAGGGGCCAGCAGGGCGGCGCCACCCGCCAGGCCCTTCCGCAGCTGCACCAGGTCAGGGAGGGCTCAGCAAGCTCGACCTGTTGAATTCCCCCCCCCACACACACACCCCACCCCGCAGCTGCCCCAGTCCAACGGGCGGAAGGCCCCAGTCCTCCCGCAGAAGGCCAGGCGCTTCAGTTCCTACCCCACAGCCAGGGGCGCCGGGCGGCGGCCGCTCCCACTCCCCGCCTCTCCCGTCTCTCACCCGCCAGCAGGAACGCCTCCGCCAGGCCTTGCTGTTGTTGTAGCCGCCGCCGCCGCCCGCCGCCTGAAACTGGCCGCCGCTCAGCGTGACCGAGATGAAATCCCGCCGGGGGGCTGACAGGAGGGGCGGCGGCGGCGGCGAAGAAGAGGTCGCCGAGTACATGGCGGCGAAGAGAGTTTTCCTTCAGGAGCCGCGCAGCTCCCCTCCGCCCGCCGCCATGTTTCTTCCTGTTGCTGTCCGCGGCACGGAGAGGGAGAGGCCTAGAGCGGCCACGCTGGGACGCCGCGTAGTCCCTCCCTTCTTGGCGGTGTCGGTTACCACAGCGCCCTCTAGGCTCCGCTTGGCGATGCGCAGGTTCTAAAGGGGCAGGGGGCTGGGGTGGCCCAGACAATGGCACGTGAGAAGCGAACTTTGGTCCCCCCCCTCCACGTGGAGCCACCCTCAGCCCTGGGAAAGCGCCCCATGCGGCTCTTTGGAGGAATCCCCCATCCTCCTTCTCTTCTAGCCAGCCTGGTGTTTTCTACTCCATGCTGCCCTTTGAGTAAGGAGGGTGCAGAGACAGGAGCATCCCTGCAAGGAGACATCCAGCCATTAAACCTAGCGCTCCCCCCCCCCCCAATCTCCTTTGACCAAATCTCCTTCCTATCCGTTAAGAACGCTGCACATAAGAAACACACCTTGTCACGGTTGCTTTTAAAAGTCATTTTAATATGAAGAAAATTCTCAGGTATCCGGTCATTTCCGACTTTCCTCCAGGAGGTAAACACTCCTTGGTTCTTGTTGATTATTTCTCAAAGTTACTTTTTTTTTTAAGAACTGCTTTAGTTTTTAAAAGAAATGTGGACCTTTTTTTCCAAAAAGGAGCTTTCCAGCTTCACGCAAAGCTAAAAATTCAGCATTGCTTTCATCAAGAAGAAACGGAGATGGAAGGTTTTTGCCCCGCATATATTTTTCCAGCCCCTGCAAAAAAGAGTTTGACATACTGAAGGTGAAGGATTGTTTTAAGACACCGCAAATGCTAGGATAAACCAAAAGGTGGAGGTGATAAAACAGAATGCAGGTAACAGTTAAGAATGGTGAGGAAAGATTGTTTTGACTTTCTTTGCTTTCTGCAACAATCACAAACTCTCCTTATTTTTAAAATCAGTCCTTTTCTATCTACTTTATACACACTGTGGCTTTTTCCCACATCCACCTATTTTCACCAATTCTTTCAGGTTTTTTTCAGGCTTTTTCAGGCAGGTAGAGGCCTAACCAGGCTGCTTTCTCTTTTTATGCCACCAAGCGCTTTTAAAGCTTTTAAAGAGAATGTTTGCAAAATAAGGGAAGGGTTCCTAGGTGCACAAGGCCTAATTCAATATTAGCATTCTTTATGTGCAAAGCAACATTTCTGCTTGTAAATTCTGGCTCTTTCCATGTTTTGCAAGGAAAAAAAACCCCACGAGTAAATGTTTACAAAGGATTCTGCTGCCCTTATTCCTGAGAGTGCAAAAACCAGCACAAAGTTGTTTCCTTTAGCGACAAATATTTAACCGTTCTGGAGCTCAACAGAGAATAGTTTCCTGACCTCTCCAAAGTAAGAGACGAGAGGCGAGATCTCACACACAGCAGGCGGTTCCTCATCTTGGGAGAAACTGGAAAAGGGGAGGAAAATAAAACCATTTAAGGCTCTCACAAATACGCAAGCGCAACTTATGCTGGAGGATAATAAAGGCATCCAAATGCATTAAAGTGTGTTCCCCGGAATAACCTAATCTAGGACTGGGATAATAATCCCAGCAAGCTGTGATTCTAGATTTAAATATGTATCCAATTCAACTGAATTGCCATTGAACATGGAGGGTTTTTATATTAATTGTTAGCATCCAGGCATCCAGTAAATAGTTATAGTTGTTTCAATATCATCTTGAGTCATTTAGATCCTAAAAATCAATATTGACTTTAAAACATTCCCATCCCGCTCACAAAATAAACGCTTTTCAGAAGGCCACATTCACAAAGCCCTGTTTGTTGAATTTGTCACGTGGCTGGTTCACACAACCCACTGAACCAAAACCCAACAATGACTTGGCAGCAGGGGGCCGGGTTGCCTGCTCACCCCTGCAAAACCTCCGGCCCAACCCAGCCGATGAGCAGTGCAGGCCCACCTCTCCTTCTCTGGGATCGGCTGCCCGCCCTCCGCCACGAATCTGCCCCCCGCCTTGATGGCCCAGCGGTAATGCTGAGAGAGGAGCGAACGCCGCGCCGTGGATGGCGTGTCTCTAGCAGCCGTGTCCGCGTTCTTCAGGGGGGAGAACTCCTCTTCCCTCAGGACTTCAAAGGCGACAAAGTTCCTATCGACCCAGGAATAAAAGGTTGGGTGCTTAAAACTGGCAAACAGATTAATTCTAGATACCTCGTTTTATTTGGCAATGCCAAGCTAAGCATTTGAGGCAACACCCCCGTAACTGTGAATCGCTCTCCATTTCTTTATATTATTATAGATATTTGAGACATCCACAAAGATGGCTGTAATTCGCCACCTGTTTGCCTTGTGAAATTCTGGCTCGGCTACACAGGATGTCAGGCACCCCTTTCAATTAAACCCCCTGCATGGAGCAGATTTACCTGCCACAAGAGCAGATTTCTCCCTACACCTTAATGAGAACCCCTGATCCACGCAGGACACCGCTGAAATGAGGAGAGGGTCCAGATGCAGAGTGGTTTTGGGGGGGTTGCAATACTTCCGTGGGCTTTATGTTAATGTGGAAACTCAGATTCCTTAGAAGGCTGCAAAGCCCCCTCTCTGCCACCCCCTCCCCTCTGCAGCCACCTAAAGGAAAGAGAAGGCGCATCTGCCACTAACTTAGCAAACGGGAACACATCGAACACAAACTTCTCCAGCTTTATCCCGTTGGGCTCCAGCGGCTGAACCGGATTGCCCTCCTCATCAACGTAAGGCACTTTCTTGATGGCCACGTGGGGTTTCAGCTGCGACTCGAATTGCCTGGGGAGGAGAGAGCAGCATCTGCCAATGGGCACTCCCCCCAGACGTCTTTCTAGCCCCAGAACTGTCTTCAGGAAGCCTCAAAGTGGACCAGGACCATCCTCAGCCCAGCCGCAGCCTCCCCACATCAAGGAGCAGCAGGAGCAGCTGCTGCAGGAGATTTGCCCCTAATTTACTCCCATGCAGTCTGGAAACCTTTCTCAAAAGAGCTGATGGGGGAATATTGACTTGGCTATTCGGGATGAACAAAAAGAGAAGAAGAACTTTCTCTTGGTCTCAGCATGTGGTTTATGGCAACTTCCTGGAAACCGTTTCATAATTTTAACATTGGGAGGCGTTTCTGTGGTTTGTTCAGACACATTGCGTTTTTTCTCCTTCTGAATAATACTCAGCTGACTGGAGGTTTGGCAGAGCGCTTAAACTACCCCCAACAGCCGTCAATGCCCAGATTAAAAGCAGGCGGCGCTTTCTGGTTCTCCCTGCTGATCGAGAGTCTTCCTGGATCCAAGGAGGCACCAAGAATTCCTTTCCCTTCTTCCCTGTTGTTTTCGCTCCTGGCAAGCTCACCCCACTCTTGGGGGCCCTCGGTGCTGATGGGGGCCAGGGGAACTTACTCCGCTACCTCCCGAAGGAAATCGAGGCTGAAGAAATGGTTGCAGATGTTTCCTGCCCAGTAGGTCAAGCGGCCGTCAGGGCTGCGTTTCTCGGCCGTTTCCGCAGCAATCTCGCTGTACTCCACCACCTGGAATGCTCCGCCCACGCGACACACGGCCCCCACAGGCTCAGCGGGGTAGGCTTTCTCCACCACCTGCAAGGACGACGTTAAGAGCTCATTCATTTCAGGAGAGTCGGCATTGAAGAGACCCAGCGAAGGCTGCACTGCCCCTTTTTCACCTTGGCACCACAATCAGCCCCTTTCGAGACGCAAAAGCCGATGAAGACGGGGTCCGCCATTTTGACTAGGATGTTATCCACGCAGTAGACATGGATGAACTGGACGCCCCGTCGCTGCATGTCCTCCAGAATTTTGTAGTCCATCAGTGCGCAGTACAAGCCACCGTTGCCATCTGCAACACAGGAGTAAGCAAGGGCTTTCCCCCCATCGCCAGTCACCAAAGATGTTCCCATTTACCTTCAGTCCCTGCAGACCTTGTGTCCATCATTCCAGGTGGCTCCAATATATGACATTCACATCAAATACAGTGCACAGAAATGGCAGAGTTTCCAAAGTTCAGGAAGGGGCACCCAGCTCTGGAAAATAGCCACGCACCTGGCGCCATGGCGATCTTGCCCTTCTCCTCCAGGATCACCTTCCCATCAAAGGTAACAGCCGGCAGCATTCTCTGTTCAAACATGATCACATTTGACTTGTCCAGGTTGAAATAATTATGATCCTGGAAGAATTTCTCCGTCGGCCCCAGAGTGAACTCACTGGTCATGATGTACCTGCAAGAGAAAGGCATCCAGATCCCCGCGTTAGTGGATTTCCCACCGGATCCCTTTCAGGCACTGCTTAAGCCATCAAGGGACCCACCAGGGAACCACGCTCTGTGAGCCGAACTTCTCGCCGGCCAGCTGCTCCACCTTGCGGATCCTCTCGGCCTGGATCTGGTAGAGGGTCTTGTGGCTGGGCAGGCCCACGTCGAACATGCCCTTGGGGTAGGGCACCCCCAGGCGCGTCCCTTGCCCACCAGCCAGCAGCAGCACCGCCACCTTGCCCTGGGAGATCTGGCAGAGGCCTGGAGGATGGAAGGTACAGCTGGCACCAGCCCGCCTCTGCCCGGAGAGGCACCCCCCCGGCCCTCAGCCCCTCTGACCCCGGGGTGGGCACAGCGCCAAGCCATCCCTCCCCCCGGAGACGGGCCAGCTGGCGGGCGCGCCCACCTTCCTGCTCCCAGCGCTGCAGAGCCGCCGGGTCGCCGCTGCGGACGCCGCCCAGCGCCTCGGGCGGGAGGGGCTCCATGCGGCCGTCCAGCTTCTCCGGGCCTGGCGGTTCTTCGCCGGCGCAGGCCTGGGCCGCCCGGCGGCAGTGCTCGGCCAGCTCCTCGGCCTCCATCAGCGCCAGCGGCCGCAGCAGCGCCTCCCGCGGCCCCGGCCCCAGCTCGGCCCAGAAGCGCAGCAGGTGGCGCTGCCCGGCGCGCTCCAGCCGGCCAAGCAGCTCCTCTTCCGGAGGCGCCATGGCCGGGCGCGGCGGACGGAGGAGAGCCGAGCGGGGGGAGCGGTGCGCGCGGACAGGATCCCCCGCGCGCCCTTCCGAAGAGGCCGCTCGGCCGCTGGGCTCCGCCGCGGGTCCCGCCCCGTCCGGGCAGGCGGGCCGGCGGGGCGGGAGCGGGGGGAGCGAAGGCTCCGGAGGGCCGAGGCCGCCCCCTTCCCGCCCCTTCCCGCCCGGGCGGCTCCGGGGCTCCCGCCGCGAAATCAAACCTGGCGGCTCGGCCAATGGGCGTCCGGGGCCTGGGCGGGCGGCCAATGGCGGGCGGGAGGCTGGGCGGACGGCTGACGTCAGCGGGGAGCCCCGGCCGCCTCCACGCGCCCCCTTTGTCCGCCGCCGGGTCCCGATGGCGCCGGAGCGCGCGGCGTCGGGGCTGCCCGCGGCCTTCCTGCGCAGCCTGCGCCCGCTCTACGACATCCTGGACGAGCGGCGGCGCGGCCGCGTCCACCTGCGCGAGATCGAGTCGCGCTGGCTGCAGCCGGGCGGCGAGGCGGGGCCGCTGCCGCCGGGGGTGCTGGAGGGGCTGCGCCGGGCCGCCCCGCCCAGCGGCTACCTCACCTTCGAGCGCTTCGTGCTGGGGCTCCGGCTCGCGCTCCTGGGCCCCGGGCAAGACGGCGACCCCGCCGAGCCCCCCGCAGGGAATCTCCCGGGCCCGGCGCCCGACCCCGCCGCCGGACCCCCGCCGCCGCTGAAACGGGGCGCTCGGGCGGGCGGCGGCGCCCCTCGGGGCCTGGAGCGGAGCAGCAACGGCGGGCAGGCGGAGCAGCCGCAGGGCAAGCGAGCCGGTGAGGGACCCAAAATTCTGTAGCGGGAAGGGCTAGCCAGCTTCTCTGGCCATGTGCAGAGTTTTTTTCCCTGGGGAGCTTCCCGAGGATGATGGCAGGCCAGACCGGCCAGAACTCTGAATGATCTGGGTTTAAGTGTGGGTGGGAGTCTCCGGTGGGCCATGAAGGGGAAAGAACTGACCCAAGGGGCGGTTCACGCCCAGGATCGGGGCTGCCCGTGGCTCCCCATCCGAGGGCAGATGGCAAAAGGAGTTTTAAACTTGGAGTGGGCGAAGGACGGAAGGCACCAGTTCCTTGTGGGTGGGGGGTTTACCAAGAAACACCCCCCCCATCTTAAAGTGGGACACCCTCCGCCTCACGCTCCTCCTCCCCTCTGCAGTGGGAGAGGCCGGCAGGAGCCGGGAGCCTACGGAGCAGCTGGGAAACGAGGGTCCCTGCGAGGAGCCCCCGAGGCAGCCGAGCATCCGAAGGGAACGGCGGAGACACACGATCGCCCACGGAGTGGATTGTGAGATGGTATTGACACGTCTGCACAGCGGGACTCTTGTGCCCTCTGTGCCCAGCCCTGCCTGGCAGAAGAGCTGGCAAGGCGGAGGGATGCCCCCTCCCAGCAGGCTCTTTGATTTGGGCTGCCCCCCCCCGTGGAGCCCTGGGGGCGATGGGAGCTGTAGGCATCCAGAATGTGCCCAAGTGGGGAGAGGCGGCTGGGCCTGTCATGCCCGCTGATGCCCTTTCTTTCTCCCTGGCTGGCAGCTGAAGCAGACGAAGGAGCTGGAGAAGGAGAAGGACTTCCTGCTGCAGGGGCTGGAGCTGGTGGAGGAGGCCCGCAGCTGGTACCACCAACAGCTCCACCGCCTGCAGGGGCACCAGAAGCAGCTGGCACGGAGCAAAGGTCCCCAGGTGAGGACAGGAGGCAGGTTGGGGAGCCTGGAACCCTCACCCAGGGGGGAAGGGCTGGGCAGCCTGTACGGAAGGCCGGAAGGCGCCAGTGGTGGCCCAAAGTCAGACCCCTCCCCTTTTCCTCAGCAGGATGAGGGAAGCCGGACGCAGCTCAGCCAACTCTTCCCCCACGTGCAGGAGCTGAACCGGTGCCTCTGGCAGCTGCTCTCCCTCTCTGCCGAGGTGAGGAGCCCCTTGTGGGGGGAATTGGGATGGGAAGGGGGGCAAGAGTTACCCTGTGGTAGGATGGAGGGGCCAACAAATTGCACAAATAAAATAAAATAAACTTGGCTGGCATTTGCACGGGGCAAGGACTAGAAACCTGTTATGTGCTTTTCGCTAAGCCCCCTTTCCCTGCAGCCTGGGAACTCGAGCCCCCCCACCGCCTCGCACAGCCCACCTGCCACTCTGCTGGGCCCCTCCCCGTTCGCAGGGCCACAACAGACCATCAACATGTTGAAAGAACAGAACAGGCTCCTCACCAAGGTCAGCGGGGAGCAGAAGCCCCCTTGCACCCATCTCTTTCTGGGGGGGACGGGGGAGGCCCCAACCGGCCCCTTTGCTAACGCAGCTTTGGCCCCCAGGAGGTGACGGACAAAGGCCACCGGATCACCCAGCTGGAGCAGGAGAAGTCGGCCCTCATCAAGCAGCTCTTTGGTGCCAGGGCAGAAAGTACCAAGGACAGCGACCAGCTGGATTCCACCTTTATTTAGCCTCTGGACCTCTGTCGCCTCTTTCTGGGGCATTTGCCAGGGCCAGGAGTGGGGCTGAGACCACTGCTCCCATTGTCCTACCCCAAGGAAGCCCCCCCCCCCTGACTGCAACACTCCCGGACGTCCAAAGCACGTGTAGCAGCCCTATCAAACCTGAGGGGCCCAGGTTCTCACCCCTTAGAATAAGCACGGACCCCCTTTCCTGCCTGGGCTGGTTCTTTGGAGGAATGGGGCATTTAACAAAAAAAAAAAAAAAATTAAGGCTTGCATTTCCGTGCTGCTCTACTCCAGAAAGTGCCTGCGGAAGGGCATATATGCGTGTGCACTTCCTCTGTGTAACAGAAAACCTTCAGAATCTGCTTGCCTTCCTCCATTTTTCATCATAAGAGGAAGCTGCTGGAGATTTGGGATCCTCTGACATTTCCTCCAGTTGCTGCAGAGATCCCTTATGTTTACAAATAAATACTGTGTGTAGTTTTCATCTTCTGCGTGGCATTTCTGAGGATCTTTTTTTAAAAAACGCAGTACATGTGTTAGTTTTCTCTTTGTGCAGATCCAAATAAAAAAGTTAAACAAACCTGCAAACCTATTTTGCTGTTTCTTATATATTAGTGCCTGGCATATATCAAAGAAATTTGGGTATGGTGGAGTCTGGTCAAGGGATGCTGATAAAGTTAAAATCCAAAATTCTGGCCACAAGAGAGCTGTTTCCTCAAGAAGGGCCAAGTTAAGAATCTGTTTAATCAACTGGATCGCTTAGTTTCAAAAATGAGTTTTTCAGGGAATTAAGAGGGCTGTTCTCCAAGAAAGTCATCCTGGGTGATCTTTTTAAAGTTATTAATCTAGTTGTCAGTATTTTTGCACTGAACTTTGGGGAGGGGGCCGAGGTGGGCTAAGCCTAGCAGGCTCCCCCTCAGCTGCTCATTCCTGGGGAAACCGTTCCTGGAGCTTTGCTTTTTGTATTTTCAATGCAAGGCGGGGTTTTTCTTCTGGGGAAAGGTAGAAAGAAAGACGCCCCAGTGAAAGTCCTCAATCTTCCACTCCTCTGACCTCGGGGGCTTCTCCCCACAGTGAGCATCAACACGGGAGGGTCATGTGTGTTCCAGGCAACCGTCCAGAAACAACCGTGGACAGCATGCTCTTGGCTCCAGAGAGCCAATCTCTTTGTCCTTCCAGAAATGCTGGGGGGGGGTAGTCGAATGTCCACAGTCCTGCCCCACCCAAATGGGTTTCTGGCTTAACGTATGTTGCAAGGCGGATTGCCAGGAATGGATCTATTTTCAGTGTTCCTTTGTTTCTATCGTGTTGCAGCCCATTCCTCTGTTTATCGTCAGCCAGCCACACTCCCACCTGGTTTATGGCCCCTTTCTTAATTCCAGAGCAACCTGGGATCCCCCCCTGAAACATGGGCCAGGCTCTGGCCCAGATGTGCTATAAAGGCACTCTTGCATCACGCTAAGCCACAAACCCACATATGAAGCCAAGGCCAAACTCAGAACATCTGGGATCACATTCTAGTTAGAGTAATCTCTTTCCCAGACAAACTCCAAGATCACCAAGGAGGGGTGAGTGGGTGGGAGCTGAGGCAGGGCTGGAGACAACTGGAGCCCTTGCTCACTATTTGCCTCAGTCTGCAGCATCATTTCATGTTTTACCCTCTGAAGGAAGCCAGGAAGGGTTGATTATACCAATAAAGGAGAATATTTGTACCTCAGAGAAGATGAGAAGGATAATACTGCCTGGGTTAATCTACTCTTGGGGGGCTTAGGTTGCATCTGAGCAGTGACCATCCACAGAACCTTTGGCACTTAAATTCCCTGACTTACTACCTGGTCCACACTTGAGAAGGCTTCCCAGAGGGTAAGTCTGGAAGGAGCCGGGTCTGCAGAGCCAGGCTTAATGCAGGAATCCGGGCTTCCGCCCCCAACTCAAATTCTCTTCTTTTCTTGGCTTCATCCACTCCTAGGTTCAGGGTGAGAGCAGACCTCCTATCCAGTGGTCCAATATTGCTTTGGCTTTGAGCCCGTTCATATAATCACAGATGTTTTGCTAAAGTCAGAACGAGTTCCACCCTTCTCTTCCCAGAATTTGGCTCCTTCAGGAAGCCAGACATTCAGATGAGGGGCTCTTATGAGGAAGAAACATCCTGAGATTCTTTCTCGACCCAATTCTGGAGAAAAGCAACCCAGGTTGGTCTCCCTCTTGTGGATGGGCATCTTGAAGGCATCTGACCAAACTTCCTGGAAGCTCTTGAGCCAGGCCGTTTCAGTTCTGCCCAGTCGGGGCATCTCTGCCCAGATGCTCCTTGTTTCAGATGTGGAGGGCGATTGTCTTTTGTCCCAGAGAAGTTGGCCTCAAAGGACCCCTTGGACCTCCGTCCAAGTGGAAATGCCAAGAGACGGGCACCCCAGGCACTACTGGGAGTGTTTCTGCTTCCAAATTCTTTCCATACAAACGTTAACATTTTGTGCGGCTGGCATATAATTTTGAAAGAATGGAACAAACTGGAGAGTACGAGGGAACTTGCTATAATTAGTACTTTCTTTATCCTCCAAATCTCACGGGGGGGGGGGGCTATTTTATGCTACAAAGGTTGGTTTGTTCTGCTTCTCTGCTTGTTGGGTTGGCATGGAGGGCACTGAAGTCTTTGCCCCATCCGGTTGCAGAAAGGCTGTTTGTAGGGCTGGTAAACTTCTTTCTTGAAATCCAGGACTTCAAGCCGCGTCTATTGTCGGACTGGGCAAGGGCACTGCAAGAGGCCTTCGGGAAAGTCGTTCTGTCTCAGAGCCTCCTCGGAATGTACTCTCAGCGTGCCCGGAAAGAACTCCAAGTGGCAAGGAGTCTTCTGCATCTAGAAAGGACTCAAACAGGCCCTTAACTCGGAAGCAGGCATCCCTGAGAGTGACTTCCAGCAGGAGCCTAGCTGAAGATTTAGCTGCTTGTCACTGGGTTGGCTAAGCCGCAAGTGGGCAGGCTCACAAGCAGCCAGGCTGTTTGCCAACGTTCCCTCGGAGGAGTTCAACGCCATCTGGAGAGGCGCTTTCTCAAGACTGTGGCTGCGGTTCCCCCCCCTCCACACACACTCTTTTCAGCTTGCTTTGTTCCTCAAATGGATCTGACTGCTCCCTTCCAGAAGTGTTTCCTGAGGCTCTGGGAATCTCTGGTAGCCAAAGGCTTATTTCCAGGCGAAATAAAAAAAATGAAAGTTCACGTCCAGCTCACCAGAGAGAAACAAATGGGGAAATGAGCTCAGAGGCTCCCTGCACCACCAGTCGGTCTTAGACCTGCTGCTCCCAACAAGCCTCAGCACCCTTTTCCCCAGTGGGGGGGGGGACTGAGGGTGGAAACGCAGGCTGGGAGCCTAAGTGAGTCGCAGGCCAAAGACCTGGCAGCTGCATTCACACAATAGCTAAACTTGGTTAGGGCTAAGGTGTGGACAGCTGACCCTGGGGTGCCAAGTCGAAAGGTGGGCTAACCTCTCCCAGTTCCGGTCTAAAGGCCGGATCGTCTTGCAGTCCCTCCCTCGGTGATGTTCAGCACTGGGGAGACAGATTGCTCCTCCCGTGGAAGTTCCAAGGGGGAAGAGGAGCCTCTCCACGCCTCCTCCTCCTCCTCCTGGAGGCAGATTGGGCAATTTGGCTTCTCGGAGGAGGCGGGAGGCTCACCTGCCTCGCCACCCGGGTCAGCCCTTCCCCGGGCCGCGAAGGAGGCGGCGCTTCGGGGCTCCAGCCTTTGCTTTCGGCTTCGGCGCGGGAGCGGAGTCGGAGCAGGGCGAGCGGCGGCACCATGAGCCCCAAGAAGGCGGTGGTGGCGGCGCTGGGCGCGCTGTGCCTGGTGGCCGTGGCGGGACTCGTCCTGCTCTGCGTGCCCACCAAGGACGTGCTGGACCCGCCCGCCTTCAAGGTAAGGCGCGTCCGCAGCGCCGGCCCCGCGTCCCCCGGGGTCTGCCGCCGTGCGCCGCCGGGACTGGGGGCGAGGGGCTCCCGGCCGGCACCTCTGCGCCCACCGCCCCCCCGCCCGCGCAGCGCCAGCCCCGACCTCTCGCGCCGCTCGTGCCCAGCACGCGGGAGCAGCGGAGCCGGGCGGGGGTCAGCCGGGAGCCCCTCCGTCCCGGGAGGTGCGGGCAGGTGCCGAGGGGTCTCCCTGGCCGATGCTGAAAGCCCCCCTGCCGCCGCTGAGGAGGGCGGCCTCCCTCCTTTCGCCTCGGGGCTCCCGGGGCAGCCCCGGTTCCCACCGAGCGGCTGGCCTCGGTCTCGTGGCTGCTGCCCGGCTCTGCCCGTGAAGGAGGCTCTTTGCCTCTCAGGGACGGAGCCCGCGAGAGGTTTCGGCTTCGTGCTGTTTTCTGAACCCGTTTGACTGGCACAAGTGGGGGGCTGCGGGTGTATATGTGAGGAAGCAGAAGGAGCGGAGGAAGGGATCTTTTTCTGAGTGGCGTTTTGGGGGTGCGGACTGCCTTTGTCTGGCAAGCGTCTACTGGGGGCTCCCGAGTTTTATATTCTGGCAAGGGGGGGACGGAAGAGCCGCAAGAGAGCGCGGCGCTCGGTGGTCCCTCGTAGCCTCGGAGGGGCTTGGGTCCGGCCAGCTTTCTTGCTCTCGGTACACTCATCCCAATGGAATGAGAGCTTGGGAGGGAAGGAGCGCTCGATCCCGCTCCCCCAGCAGGGAAAGGCCGTCTGGGGCAACCATAACCAGAATGCTGGGACAAATTGGGCCTTCCTTTAGTGCCCACAGGCCTGGGCAGCCCATCAGGGCAGCTCAAGATAGACTGTCTCTGTCGCTGGGAGTTCTGCTTAGGCATGGGGCTCTCGGGACAGAGGTTGCCTCCACCCTTAAGAGATGGTCAAGCTGGTGAGAGAAAGAGGAGAGAGAGAGAGAGAGAGAGAGAGAGAGAGAGAGAGAGAGAGAGAGAGAGAGAGAGAGAGAGAGAGAAGGAAGCCTTGCTTCTTTCTTTACAAAGCAATCAAATTTTGCAGAATTACATAAGTGGAGGCAGCTTCCAAGCTAAACTCTCGGCTGTGGGAAACCTCTGGTGGAGGGGGAAGAGGGAGCCCTCCCACCTTTCTTTCCCTGAGACATTTCCTAATTCTCAAAATGCTAACTGGCAAAGCATTCCCCCCCCCCCCGCAACTCCTTTCCTTAATTTTCTGACCTAGACTTTTCCCAGGTCTTTTGGACTGCAAACCCCATCATTGCCAACTGGGCTGATAGGAATGTTACTCTGATCTTTTGGCAATTGTTTTCTCCATGTGGACTGCATCCTTGTTTTTTGTAAAGGTGCTTTGCCTCCGCGCTGCATCTAGTAGGGCAGCCTTTCCCAGAGGAATTCTGGGAGACCCGAAGCAGGTTTGGCTGCCAAAGGGGGCATTTCAAGTGGGGCAGACGGGCGGCTTGGCACCTGCAGCAGGAGAAGAGGGCAAAGGCTGGGCCAGGAAGACATTGCCAAACCGGTTTGTGTCTCTCAGGTTCCCTGCAGGGATCAACTGGGTGCTTCTTCGCGGTTCTTTTTCTGGTGCCATCTGGTGCCAGGAGGAAAGCCGCCTTGGGGGGGAAGGGAGGGGCTCCTAGCCTGGGACCCCACCCACGTGCTCTGCATCTGAGTTAAAGATTATCTGGGCAGTTTTGCCCTGGGACAAAAGAACAAAAAACCTGCTTTAGGAATATTCAAAGTAAAAGAAAGTCCACTGGGGGATTCAGCTCTTTCATCACTTCTCCCAAGTTGGGGGGGGGGGCAGGAAAGGCTTAAGCACTATCCTCTTCCTATCTGGTTATTTTGCAGGGAAGAAAGAGGCCTAAGGGCCTCTGCATGCAGTTCCCTGGCTTCTAAAACGGGCTGCTTTCAATTCTGAGGTTTCACTGAGTTACTTCTCCCCGGCCATGTAAGAAGGGAAACCTCCATGCCCCGCAGCAGTCTACCTGAGTATTAAAGGCTGTGGGAGACACGACCTGCTTGCAGACTCTGAAGGGGAGAGGGTCACGGAGGCTGGGTTAGCAAACCACAGCACCGATGCCCGCTGTGAGGCAGCTGTCTGCCAGGGACTCTCTGGGATGTTGGAAAAGCGTTTCCAAGCCTCGTCCTTACCTTAAAAGGTAGGAACTGGTGCGCTTTTTGACTCACACATCTTGGAGCCTGAAATAGGAGGGGGCAGGGCGGGACAAGGCCCCGAAGACCCCCCCCCAGCGCAAATGGCATTTCGCTTGTCTCCCCTCTGGTGGGCTGCCCCACGGAGCAGGCTGGGCACCTAATGGGGTAGGGCCTGTGGGGAAGAGACACGTGCTCGTGTGTGCAACTGGGGCAACGTGCCTGTCCTCCGAACGCCACACCTGGTTGTGCCTCCCACACTTGCCCTTCTTAAAGCCCTGGAGGACCCTGCCAGGGCCTCCTGCTAACGCTTTGAAATGCTGGAGATCAGCTTCATGGGAGGGGGGGGTGCATTGCTGTTGACCCAGCCTGCTTGCTTGGAATTTATCCAGAATTTAAGGATTTATCCTGGTTGGCCAAAGAGCAGATATACCTGCCTTCCCACTGAATAGTTTCTTGCTTGTCCTCTGGCTTTAGCTTTCACCCTCTTCCCCCCCCCCCCGCGCTGGGGCTCCTGTGAAGGTGCCAAGTGTGATTTCATTGCCTCCCTCCACCGAAAGGTCTGGAACGAGACAATGAGTGAGCCTGGCATTGTATCCCCCATGGTTTAAAGAAAATGTACTTAATGGATTCCTTTCTTCATCGAATGCTGGGAAGAGGATTAAGAGTTTAGCTGGGAATGGGGGGGGGGGAGTACAAGATGGGCAACACAGACTCATCGGCGTCCCAAGGGACAGACCTTCCCTGGCTCCAAACTCAGAAGGGCTGGTCCTGCAAAGTGCCACCGAGCTGTGGGGGGGTTAGTGATGGTCCTGCTGTGCACTTCCCTCAGGGTAGCTGATGGGCAGAGACCTCTGCCCACACCCCACCAGGGAATCCAGCAGGGCTCTGTGTATGTCCTGGCACAGCTGCCCATTTCGGGAGTCCTCTCCTTGGAGACTGGCCCAAGGCCAGTTTTAATTGGCCATTCCTCCTGGGATCATCACCAGAGTAACTGCTAGGGAACACAAATATTGCAGAAGTATGACGTCTGTGGCAACCCCCTTAGAGAGGATCCGGAGGAGGAGGAGGAGGAGGAGGAGGAGGAGGAGGAGGAGGAGGAGAGATCTGGAGCTCCCTCCTTGTAGAGGCCACTAGCCTGCTGTTGAGACTGCCAGGACAGAAAACTCTCCCTCCCTCCCTCCCTCCCTCCCTCCCTCCCTCTGAGTAGCCTTGTTTTATCTTCGGAGGGAAGAATGTTCTCCTTTGGAATCCAGGGAGGGCCAGCTCAGCTGATGTGGGGGAGGACCGTCTCCCATCTTCCCAGCACTGGGTGGTACATTTCCCCCTTAAAGGACGAGGCTCTCCAGGTGCCCAGGTGAGGTGCCGGCCTCAGGGCAGGAGGCAGACCCTCACTGGATGACCTCCAGCCCACGGCTTCCGGCTTCCACGCATGCAGTTTCTCTTCCCTCTACCAGCTTCCCCGGATGGGGATGGCGAAGTGCTCCAGAACAGGCCACCTGCTGATGCTGCTGAGTGTCTCGGGCAAAAGCTTGCCGCCAACTCAGTGCCATTTCCGCGTGAGAGAAGTGAAAGTGGTGGGTGGGAGGAGGTGACTCAGCCCCTGCCTGTGTTTGGGGCTTGAATTCCAATTTATTATAATAAATTGCGATACTTAGTTATTTCCTCCAGCCTGGATTGCTTTGATTCACCGATGGCCGGATAATTGAGGCAACCTGGAAGGGCTGCATTGCCTTCAGCCCCAGAGTCTTCTGTTCCGACCTCTGCATGGTTCCCCACCCAAACCTGGCTAATCTTGGCTGTGGAAGCTGTGAAGGGAAGGGAGAAGACTCGGCTGCCAGAATGCAGCAGTTGAGAAATGCTTTGCAGAATGGGTGGGCTCCATGCATTGCTAGCGAAGCGTCTCCAGGACAATTAAACGCCAAAGAGGGTGAGTGGCAGAGTGCAGAATCCACAGATTATTGTCAGACCAGCAGAAAACACAACTTGCTGGCCTCTTTGGGCTGGGAATGGCCAAGGGTTGTGGGAAAGCACACATTGGTGTAACGATTGAGGTCAAAGGAACGTAGCTGACATCCAGATTTAGGAGACCAAAGAGGCTAGTTCTGCAGTTCCTTCTTCCTCTTTTTCAAAACCTCTCCGAACTTTGTCAAACATTCCAGTTCTTTGCCTGGAACGCATCAGCTCTAAATTGTGGACCAACCGGTGCAGCTCTGGGGTAAGGGGGTCAGTCTCCCTGATGGTTTGGGGCTGGAATGTCTGGGCCTTGAGCTGGGCTCTAGCAAGTCCAGTTTGACATTCAAGGCTCCCTGGGTTAAGCAGAGGGGGTACCAGGCAGGGAAGTGACCGACTGGCTGTCCAGCGTGAAGATATGGGGAGGGGGATTGGAGGGAGCACAGCCAAGAACCGCTTTTGGAGAAGCTGCCCCAGAGTTAGAAACTGGGAGAAAATCCGCAGGGTTCAAGGACGGGAGAGGATCCTTGCTGCAGAAAACAAAGTCTGCACGGGAAGAGAGAGGGTCCGGCTAGGGGGGAAACCTGGCAGGACCCTCCAAGGGCAGCAGGTCCTGCCAATCACAGTGGCAGACCCAAAAGAGGTGAGAACAAACAAGGGGAAGTCTAAAGAACGGAAATATGGCAGCCTTTGCTCGTTGGTCTCAATGGTGCAGAGCGACCTGGGGGTCCCTAATTTTTCATGAAGTTTTGGAGGGTCTTCCAGTCTGGGACAGAGGAAAGGGAGGCTCCCCCCCCCAGGAAGCCTCCTTGCCGGAAGTCAAAAATCTGCTGCTGCATTGTGGGGTTGATTTTGATTTGTTGACTGCTGGATGGAGCTGTCTGAGGACTCATCAAGTTGCTGCTTGTTGTAGCACAGGACTCAGTCCCGAGTCTCGCCCCACAAATTTCCCACCTGGAGCTGTAAATAATTGGCAGGCTTGAAAATATTTAGCCTCAGCTCTGCCAGATTCTGACTAAGGCGGGTTTCCTGTGTGTGTCTAGGCTAATACGTTTGTACTGTAGATAATGGAAGTTCGGCCAATTGTTGTTTTGCTCCATGCAGCAAAAGCCAAAATCATAAAAGCGTTGTTTGCCTGCCCTCCCCCCCCCAATTCCCAAGGCATGTGGAAAGAGCTTGGGTGGGAGGAGACCCTTTGTTGTTGTTAGTTGCAAAGTCCTGTCCGACCCATTGGGACCCCATGGACAATGTTCCTCCAGGCCTTCCTGTCCCCTACCATCTTCTGGAGTCCCTTTAAGCTCACGCCTGCTGCTTCTGTGACTCCATCCAGCCACCTCCTTCTCTGTCATTGTCCCCTTCTCCTCTTGCCTTCCATCTTTCCCAGCATCAGGCTCTTCTCCAGGGAGTCCTTCCTTCTCATTAGGTGGCCAAAGCACTTGAGTTTCAACTTCAGGATCCGGCCTTCTAAAGAGCAGTCAGGGCTGATCTCCTCTAGGACTGACCGATTTGATCGCCTTGCAGTCCAGGGGACTCGCAGAAGACCCTTACTGATGTTTCTATCACCCCTTTTTCCCCTTCTCCTCCTGTTCAGTATGGGATAGTGCTGGATGCAGGGTCTTCCCACACGGCCATGTTTGTCTACAAATGGCCGTCTGACAAGGAGAACGAGACCGGGATCGTCAGCCAGCACAGCGACTGCCACGTGAAGGGTAAGCAGAATCCGGGCTCTGCATCCCCTGCCCCCTCCCCTTGCTGATTGTGGGAGGGGGCTGTTTGTCCTCCTGGGAAAAGGAGTTTGCGGTTGGAGTCCCCGAAATGTTGTTGAAAGCCCTGGACGGGCGTCGTTTCGTCCCCAGAACTGGGGGAGGCCAAACCCAGAGAGGGTCTCCCTTCTTCTCCCCAGTCCAGAGACTCTTCTTGGCCTGCCACAACTTGGGGTTCATCTAGGTCAGGGGTGGGCCTGGACGAGCCCACCTGGGCACTCTTGTTGAGGAGCAGAGGGCCTGGGTGGTCCTGTGCCCGGGGCAGCCGAAGTTCAGGGTGACTTAGAGCTGGCATGAGCCTCGCTGCCAACTGAGGTTTCCATTCTGCATTGGTGCATTGGTGCTGGCAGAAGAAGGGCGTTTGGGCAGCCTCTCCCTTCCTTCTTTTGTTCCCTTTCTTTTTTTCCCATGGGCATCGGACAAAGAGCTGGGGTGGCTTACCTGGCTTAAGGCTGCGGCTGCTGGGATCCTCTGGGAGGAAGGAGTGCTTGGGCACGGCCTGGCAGGGGGCCAGGGGCTCCTCCAAGGGCATGGGAGAACATTAGCTGTCCCAGGTGGGGCTCATGCCAAGGCCTGGACCCAGTGCCGCCCTGGCTCTTTGTTTGGGCAGCTGGCAAGGGTTGAGGGTAGAGCCTCTGCAGCAGAGCAGTCTTCCCCAGCCTGGCCTTTTCCAGATGTTTGGAACTGAATTCCCACCACATCTGGAGAGCAGGAGAAGGCAGTGCCAGGAAAAAAACTCAGCAAATCCTCTCAGGTTTCTGTTAGGGGCTGAAATACTTTCCTCCCTTCTATGCCTGGCGAGAAGCTCCCCCCCCCATTGGGCATGCCGGGCAGGTCCACCCTCAGCCCAGAGGGGGATCCCACTGGCCAGGGACTCAGGGCGGATGGATCTTGCAGGGGAAGGCATCTCAAAGTACTCCGCAAACCCACCGGCAGCTGGGGAAAGCTTGATAGCCTGCCTTGACCAGGCCCTGGAGGACGTCCCGAAGGCGAGGCACGCCATCACCCCCCTCTACCTGGGTGCCACGGCTGGCATGCGGCTGCTGAAGTAAGTTTTGGTGGGCTTCCAGCCCCAATGGGGAGACCCCGTTTCCCGAGCTCAGAGGGGCTGAGGTTGGCCATCCTGTCCCCTTCTCAAGCTTGCTAAGGTAGTGGTGCCCACTTGGTAATGGCTGGTGCAATTCCTCCCGTCCACTCTTCTCTTGGGGCAGAACCGATTCAACCGATTCAACCGAGTCAGCCCCGGTCCAAGCCATCAAGCATTTCATTATTTGTGTGTGTGTGTGTGTGTGTGTGTGTGTGTGTGTGTAGCATTTCTAACCCCCAGGCTTCAGGCAGCGTCCTTGAAGCTGTGACCTCCACATTGAAGAAATACCCCTTTGACTTCCGGGGAGCCAGGATTCTGAGTGGGGAGGATGAAGGCTTATTCGGGTGGGTCACCGCTAACTACCTCCTGGAGAACTTCGTAAAGGTAGAACCGACCGGCTTCTCGCCCGTCCTGTGCCTTGCCTTTAATCGGGGGTCTTTGCAAAATGGAAAGCCTCTTGCGTGCTGTTCTTCCTCCGAGTCCTGTGTGATTGGCCGGTCTTGCTCTGATGTCACCGCAAGATCACAGCCTGATTGGCCACTGGTTTAGCTTCGTGATGTCACAGAAGGCCTCCTTGTCTTCTCTTCCCAGTACGGGTGGATCGGGCAGTGGATCCGTCCCAAGAAGAGCACGGTGGGGGCCATGGACCTGGGGGGCGCCTCCACCCAGATCACCTTCGAGACCACGGGGGCCATTGAGAGCCCTGCCAACGAGGTGACCCTGAAGCTGTACGGGCAACACTACAAAGTCTACACGCACAGCTACCTCTGCTACGGCATGAATGAGGTCCTCAACAGGCTGATCTCCAAGGTGCTGAAGGTATGGCCTGGGCAGGAGCTGCTGTGGTACGGTTGTGGTGCCGACATGCTGGGACTGAGGAGCAGGGAGCGAGGGTCCGGTTTTATAGGGCCCCTCGGCTGGGATTGGCTCCTGCAGGTCAGCTGACAGAACGTTCCCAAAGGTGGGTGCTGCAAGGAGCCCCCCGAACCACCATGGAGGGAAAGGGCCTGCCCACCATCTTGGTGATGGCAGATACCGAGTGTGTGTGTGTGGGGGGGGGTTGCCCCTCTCTTCTGCTTAACCAGCCCCTTCCATCTATTTTTCCCTGCGCAGGCTAAAGCTTACGCCCTCCGACTGGAGAACCCCTGCTGGCCACAGGGATTCAAACACAGCTTCCCCATGGAAAGCATCTACGGGTCGCCCTGCGTCAGCACCGAGAAGCCCCTCAACTACTTCCCCATGGCCACGGTGAACATGAGTGGCTCCGGGGACCCCGCCCAGTGCATGGTGCACGCAGAGAGCCTCTTCCGGTTCACGGGCTGCACTTATTCCAGCTGCTCCTTTGACGGGGTCTTCCAGCCCCCCGTGGAGGGAAACTTTATTGTAAGTCTCACTGAGGGTTGGGCCCTGGCGGTCCTGGGACAGCCGCTGCAACTGAAGCAATGGGTGCTCCGTCATTGGAGGGTTTCAAAAAGAGACCGGACAACCATTTGTCTAAAATGGTGTAGGTCTCTTGCTCGAGCAGGGGGTTGGACTAGAAGACCTCTGAGGTCCGTTTCAACTCTTGTTATTCTGTTATACGATTAAGTCTTTTCTCTTGGCAGGGATGGAACGCTACTGCCACCCTGTGGGAAAAGGGTGGCATGACATCCCTTTTCCTTTTGGGGCAGGGTGTGCTCTTAATGGATTGGTTGATTCCCTGCTTTCCTTCACTTCCACCTGTGTCAGCTGGCGGGACTTTACAGCGTTTCTCCATTTTTTTTTAAATGGCATCTCCCTCAAATATGATTCATGCCTGTGGCAGTAATCCAGAAGTGGGGTGCCCCCCCCCCCATAGTCCTGGGGATGGACTGAATCACTTCATTTTTAAGAGAACTCAGTTTGGGTTGGCAACTGCCACTCCTTCCCCTTCTGAAAGAGAGGTGACACCCATTATCCTATATATTTGACTGTCTGTTTAAAAATGTGTTGTATTGACCCCATTGGTCATATCACTTTAAGGATCTTGAGTGAATTGCTTTCTTTCTTTCTTTCTTTCTTTCTTTCTTTCTTTCTTTCTTTCTTTCTTTCTCTCTCTCTCTCTCTCTCTCTCTCTTTCTTTCTTTCTTTCTTTCTTTCTTTCTTTCTTTCTTTCTTTCTTTCTTTCTTTCTTCTTCTTCTCCTTCTTCTCCTTCCTCCTCCTCCTCCTTCTTCCCTTAAAGGCCTTCTCTGCATTTTTCTACACGGTGGATTTCCTCCGTTCAGTGATGAAAAGGCAGGTGGCCACACCAAATGACCTCAAAGAAGCTGCGGAAGCCCTCTGCAGCACGCCCTGGAGTGAGGTGGGTTTGTCTCCCTGGACTTTCCTTTACTAATGCAACCAGGGCCAAATTCAGCTTTGTGCGTCATGTAAACATCAGGAGTTCCCCCCCCCCAGAACCTACACCCAAAGTCCTTTTTAAAAAATGGGCTCGCGCTTGAATTGAAATGGGGAGTGCTGTGGTTTATGAGTAGGACAAGAGATGGTAGTTTCAGGGAGGTCGCCTGCCACCTCCAAACCAGGTCTACCTCACAAGTCTGTTGTGAGAATTAAAAAGGAGAAGATGGAAGCATGGAGATTTCCTTCAAAGAAGGAAATGAATGTAATTCGTATCTAAAAGGAGTGCCATTTCTTTCTGCCCCTCCAGCTGCTCAAGAAGGCACCAACACTGGAGCCCCATTTGCAGAACTACTGCTCGATGGCCACCTTTGTCTCACTGCTCCTCAGCCGGGGCTACTCCTTCGGCAACACCACCTTCCCCAGCGTATCTTTCCAGAAGAAGGTAAAGCTTTCCTGGTGGCTTTGAGAGTGGAAAGCACGGAGGCCCAACAGGCCTGGGGAGGGCCGGTGTCCTGCAGTCGCTGTGGGTCGGCTGTGGGCCCTGAGAGCAGCTGCCGGATTGGGGCATGCAAGCGAGGCTCAAGACTGGATATATGATGGAGTCTTTATGCAATTGTGGGCTTTCCCTTTTGCAGGCCGGGGACACGACCATCGGCTGGGCTCTGGGCTACATGCTGAACCTCACCAACATGATCCCGGCAGAGGAGGCCGGCGTCCGCAAGGGCACTAGCTTCGGCCCCTGGGTGGGCCTCATCTTCCTCTTTGTCGCCATCCTCCTGAGCAGCTTAATCAGCCTTTTCTGCCTGCTGAAGTCCTCCAAGGGGCACGGGGGCGTCTAACCCCTGTGGGAGCCCTGGCCTCGTGTGGGGCATAGGATACTAGTTCTCTTCTATCCCGCCTTCTCTGGCCTCGCACACCAGGAACGCCAGCGTTTTGCCAAAACTCAGGAAAGAAGAAATTGGCAGCCCACCCCCTTTCCTGCCCCCTTTTTCCTTCCCGGAGGTGCCACCATGAGGGCCCCACCTTCAAGGAAAAGGTGCCACCGTTGGCAAGGAAAGCATCTGGAGACCTCCAGGACTTCCGTTCGTCCTGCTCCTTGTTAGACTCGGGAATTTCTAATCAAGGGCCCATCCTAAACTCTTGAGCCAGCAAGACACCGCCCCCACCCCAGGGCAAATGACCCTGGGAGGAAATATCCTCATGCATCTCTTTAACTATGGACGCCAGAAGGTGTGACCATCCCCAGGATCTTACTGCCTCTCAGCAGACACCAACCGCCTTCAAAAACTGAGGTCCTCAAAAAGCAAATGGGGTTGTCCAAAAAGTGTACTACGGAAACTTTAATTGGGCCCAATTCCCACTGGACTTCACTGTGGGGTGGGTGGGGGGGCTCCCATCAGCCAAATTGGTCCAGATGAGCTTAAGACTTTGTGGAGAGCTGTTTGAGGCAGCCACAAGGATGTCTGAGTGTCACCCACAAGGGCGGGAATTATAGAAACTAATTGTTATTGTTTGTAAATATAAACCCAGATAACATGCTGTTTACCAAATATTAAGGTGATTGTTAAAAAATTAATAAAATATATTTAAAAAAATATACCTAAATACTGTCAGGCGCAATAATTAAATTCAGTGGAGAGATGCCCAAGTTAGACAATTCCTGCATAATCATTGGGGCACAGAGGCTGCAAAACTGAAATTGCCTATTCTTTTACCTAAAAATAAATCACCCAGGTTGCACTGGAGACAGCCGGTTCCTGCCCTACCCCATTTATGGAATGTCCACACATGGGTGAATTTGGGTAACTGTTTTTATTTTAATGGCAGATCGTTGTGTAATATAAAAAGCTACAGGATTTGGGGGTTGTTTTTTTTTTTTGGTATTCTTTACCTTCACAGTGCAACAATATTAAAGTCTCCCATAGTTGGCTTCTGCAAAAAGGAATATTTTCTGGGTAGGCAGAAAAATGCCTCTAGCACTGCAAACCGGGGAGATAGGAAAGACGCGGATGTGACGGGAAGGGTAGAATTTTTAAAGAAAATGAAGTTGGGAGGTTACTGCTGTTGGCACCCTGTTCCCCACGTCCTGTTTTTCCCGTTTTGATACTCAATTCCTACCAGTGTGTTTTGCCTTGCACTTTTATTCGGTGCTTTTGCGCGTCTGGCCCTTGACTGTATTCGGCCTGTTTTCCGTGTAAAGAAAACAAAGTGATGTTTGCCTTAAAGAAATTATAATAAAAGCTGGCTTAGCGATTGACCGGGTTGATCAGGAGGGCGCCGGGGCCGAGGGGGGCGCGCGCAGGCGACCCGGGACCGGCGGGGGCTCCGCGCGCAGCCGCACTCGCTCGCCAGGCGCCCGGGCAGCCTGCGCACCTGCGGCCGCGGCAGGTGGGCGGCGCGGGCGGCGGCCTCGGGAGGGCGGCGTCATTGGCCAGCCCGACGCCCGCCCCCCCCGCCCCGCCCCGGCTCCGCCAGCGCCCCGCTCGCCTCCGGTGCCGCAGCCCGGCAGGCGCCTCCTCTTGCGCGGCGCCGCTCCTGCTGCTGCTGCTGCTGCTGCGATGCTCCGCCGAGGGGGCCGCCGCTGAAGGATGAGCGCCGCCGCCCGCCGCCGGCCCTGCCCGCCCGGAGCCCCGCTGCTGCCGCCGCTCCTGCTGCTGCTGCTCTTGCCGCCGCCCGGCGCCTGGGGACTGCTGGCCACCCCCGGCGGTAAGCGCGCCCGGCCCTTCCCCGGCTGCGGAGCATGGGCCGGGCAGCCCCGTCCCTGCGGGCCTGGATTACGGTTCCCGTCACCTCCGGTCACCTCCGGCCCCCGCGCAGCCTTCCCGCGGCCTCTCCCCCGCCATCTGGCTCCCCCGCCCTTCTCTCCTGCGCGTTCCCTGGCTCTCCTCCCGCAGGCTCGGCCCAGCGTGCTGAGGTGGGGATGATGGGAACTATAGTCCAAAGGCTGCGGAAGCCTGCAGGCTGCCCTTTGCAAAGCCACCCCCCGCGCTGCGGGTTCGGCTTCCTGAACTTTGCGCCTTGGACCGGGGCTGCCCAGCTGTCGAGACCCTTTCGCTCCCGGGGCTCCGTCCCTCTTCGCTGCCGCTGCCCTTTGGAAGGCCTTTGGGGTTCTGGCTGGGGAGACCTTCCAGCGGCTGCCCCCTCCTCTCTCTCCCCCGAGGGGTCAGCCAGCCCGTTGCCAGGGAGCTGCCCCCTCTTCCCATGACATCATTTCTGAAAGCTGTTGGCAACTTTTCTCCCCCCCCCCCCAACTCCACCTCCGGAGAGTTTGTGCTAGCAAATGATCCAGGGGCGGAAGGGGCTCCGCTCCGCCGGCCTGGAGGCTTTGCAGCAGCTGCCCAACAGAGCCAGCTCCTGCAGCCTTTCCTGGGCTTCCCCTCCCCAAATCCAGAACAACGGGTGGTTCTCTGCCCCTCCCCATGGCTGAAAAGTGGAGTGTGCCTGGTTGTTTGTGGGGGGTCTTGTAAAGAATGAGATGGCTGACATGTGGGGGATCCTCTCGGTCTCCAGGCATTTTGAGCAGCTGGTGGATGATGCTTCTCTGACTCAGCCCTTCCCCAGCAATGCTGTTTGGGGGCTGGCAGTTTGGGGTAGCGGTGTTGGGAAAAGCCAATTGCTGGATCTGAGCAAGCTTGGGGGTTCATCCCCAGAGGCGGCCCTCTCCCCTTCATCATCCTCTTGGGAGTTTTGGGATGGCTGCCCTCTGAGGGTCCCCCTGGCATGGATGAAACTGGGGCGCCTGTTGGAAAGAGATACTTTACAGGCGCCTTGGAGTTTGGCCCTGGGGGGCTTTGGACGCAGTTCAGCAAACGTCCCTTTTTTCCTGTGTAATCTATTGTCTAAAGCGGCCTTCCTTTCTAGGCAGGAAACATTTTTCCTCTCTGGCTGGTTTCAGTTTGAGCAACCGCTTCCTTTCCCTCGGCGAGGAGGGGCTGTTTTGGGACCGTCCCAAAGACGGTCCATTCCCTGGGCAGAAAAACCAAGGCTGCTCCCGTTTGGTCCTTCTTGTCTGACCTGGCCTTGACTTTTAGCCCCCTCAAGCCATCTGGGAAAATTGTAGGAGGCTTGCAGCTTTTCCAAGATCCCTAAAGGGGGTCTGGGGGGAGGGGTCTGCAGATGTTTGGGGGGGGGGCTTTGGCTGAGTGCTGGAGCAAAGCCACCCCTGGCTGGTGGGAGGGGGATGTTATTTCACAGGAGTGTTGAAAGCAAGATCAAGTAGCTTGAATGGCTCCCTCTGAAGATCTCTGGATGGTGTGTAAAAACAAGGGATCTCTGTGGGGCTGGGCCCACTTAATGCTCTTTCTGGAGAAAGAGCCAGGCTGCCGAGGCCCCTTCTCTCTTTCCTGGGCAATCGCAACCAGTGTGGAAAACCCATGTAGGGCAGGTGGCACCTGCTGGCTGGCCTTTGCTAGGCAGATCTCAGGGCCTGTTTCCTCCCCCCCCCTTCTCTTCCTTCATGCATTGCTGGTGCTGGAGGGGCCGAGAGACAGGCGGGTTTGGCCTTGGCGAGGCTCTGAGCAGGCGGTGTCAGGGCCAGAGTCAGAACTGCCACCCTGGAATAATCTTGTGGCCGATTTACAGGCGTGCATGAACACACCCTTCCGCACTTCAGGACGGGACAACTCGCCACGGGACAATTCGCTGTGGGACAATTTAACAACTCTATTTAATTATTTAAAGTAAATAAAAAAGATATTTTCATTTCTGCCGTTCCCATTTCATTCTGTCCCTCCTCCTGCATCCTTTCTTTAACGATTCTATTCCACCATTTCTTTGATCTTAGGGCAACTCTTGTCCCGCAGTGAGTTGGCCATGGCGAGTTGTCGTAGAGCCTTCTGGGCTGAACACCAGGTTGCCTCTGAATTCTCTCGCACACAAACGGATGCCTCGTGTTCAGGAAGGCTGTCAGAAGGAAAGGAAGAGACCCAGGGGAGGATGGAGCCCACCGGACGTGCTGTGCCATTGGGTTCCTTAGGGAGGAGGGTCTCTGGAGTGCCCTGTGGGGGTGATGGGTGGGATGCCAGGAGACCGAGATGAGCTGGCAGGCTTGGGTGGCCTTCTTCCCCTCCCTCTGACCATCAAGCGTGGAGGGAAGGAGTGAAGGTGGTGAGTCTCCTCATATGCAGGATGCTTGGGAAGCTGCCAAGCCCCCCCCCCAGTTATGGAAAATCATAGCCCGATGACTCTCCCCACCTGCCACCAGCCGACCTGCCTGCCCCATAGCCAAGCACAGAGTTTTTAAGGGTCCCACATGCAATCTAGGGCGATGCAGAGACCTCCCTGTCCGCTTGTGATGCGTCTCCGTCATGCTGTGTGGGAAGAGAAAAGTTTTCCGGCACACAGAAAGAGGAGACAGATGTTTCTTTCTATCTCTTGGCCCGTTCCATGTGTGCCGACAAACCTGCTTTTCTTGAAAACCTTTCATCGGAGGTCAAAGGTCTGCAGGCTGGGAAACATTCCCGCACACACTTGCCGATGATTGACAGGATTTGCACACAAGGGAGGTGTGTGTTGTTCTTTTTCAGAGGCCGGGTGCCAGAGGTTGGCATTCTGCTCCGGGCCTGTTGTTGGGCCAAGAGTCCTGGGCGGGACGCTTTCCCCAAAACACCAGCAAGGCTGGCTGCAGCGGGCGAGGGGAAGGAAGGGAGCACAGATGCTCCGCAGCCAGAGCCAAGGTCAGCGAAGGGGGAAGGCCACCTTGAGCTGAGCTGGGGCTGCTGGGGTTTTTTTGTGCTCTGTCTTTCTCGCTCTGTCCAGTATGGTAATTTTTGCACACTTATCCAATTGCCAGATGCTAAAATGAAGGGACGGTTGTGATTCCTAGCTGACTCTCTGCCTTTTGGGAACTCTGGGTGACCCAGCTCCCCCCATCCTTTTCTTGGACAGAGGGGGGTTTCACCCAGCAAGGAAGCGACTGAGCTGGGAAGAGGCATCAGGCGTGGTAGCCTTGCTCTCTTCTGGTTCGCTGGTTGGGAATAAAATGGAGGAACGAGGCTTGGTCCCAAGTGCCAAGGAGTTCATTTATTTTAAAAAGTAGATTTTGCTCTCCAAGGATTTAGGGGTCTCTGGAGCTCCCCGTGCAAAGCAATCATAAATTTGCAGAGAAGTTTCTTCCCAAAGCTTTTATTTACTTCATTCCTTTCCACACGGATGCTGAAGACCAGGCACCCCAGAGGCCTCTTTTGCCCTTTCTGTAGTTACCGGCTCTTCCGGAATAATCCTTTAAGCAGACTAAAAAAAACTTCCCTCTCTTCTTGCCCCCCACCTCACCAAGCTCCTGTCCCTGTTTCAGAAACCAGTTCTAATCCAGAGTGGAAATTCAGCCTGTAGCCGTCGGCATCCTCTTAGCCATCTCTGATCTTGGTTTCAAGGACAAAGCCAGTGCCTCTGTTTTAGGAAGGGCTTGGGAGGCATTCAGACAACCAGTTCCAGGAAATGGTGCAGAAAATGTTTGGCATTTCCGCCTTTGCAGAAGAGGTTCTCCAGGAGACATTTCTGCTAGAAAATTCTTATAAGCAGGCTGCCTTTCTGGTGCTTTTCTCTTGTTCAGACCCTCAACCTGAATTCCTGTGAATTCTGGTGCCCCTGCAGAGTTGGGCTCAGTTCTGCAGTTTTGAGCTCGGATCCTGACCAGGCGGCACCGGCACTCTTGCTGCAGTCCTCTCTGACATGGCAATGTTGTGGCTGTCAATGTTGTGCCTCTGCACAGGTCAGTTTTTCTTCCGAGGCCTGGCATGCCTGGAGCTCAGCAGACGGTCCTCTCCCAGCCCTGGCTGCTGCCTCTTCCCCGCCCGCAGCAGCCCCAGGAGTTGCTTAATTTGCTGAGGGAGACAGACTCAGCCGAGGCAGAGCGTAGCGGGTGGCTGAAGCATCCGTGGAAGACGGGAAGAGGTGAACGGACTGAGGGCGAAACCTGTCTCACCCCATGTGGCTCCCACCGGCAGCAGAGCCCGGAAACAGGTCCCCCTGGTCTTCTGAGAGTGCCAGGCCCTTCCCTTGCCTGGGCTCCAATGGGAAAGGCCAGCTTGTCCAAGAAGGCAGAGGTCACATGAGGTTGCCCATATCTCTGCTGACAGGCGTTGGCTTCTCAAGCTGTGGGACTCTTTGTGCAAATGGTAGAGAACATCTGAATACACACAGCATAGTTTCCAGGAACTGTGTGTCTCCAAACCCTTAAAAATGCAGCCAGACCTGCTGGGATCTTTGGAGGTTAGCTTGTGTTTTCTTCTTTTTTCCTTCCTTCCTTCCTCCTTCCTTCCTTCCTTCCTTCCTTCTCTCTGCCTGGCAGAGAGGCCATCAATAATTCAGAGCGCTCGTGTTCCAGGAAGACATTTTGCCACGTTGGCAGCCAGGCTGAGAGCAGGAAAGCTTCTCGTGGCCCAGCCCAGAGAGCAACAAGGACCCCGCAGAGGCCCCTGGAGGAGGAGGAGGATCCCTCGTGGGTCAGATGGAGGGTTCCTTCGCCTGGCACCCCCATGCAATACAGCCAGCCAGCAATGCTGGAAAAACCCCAGGGAGGCTGTCCTTCCCCTGCCTCTTCAAAGCTGCTTTGAGCAGGCCTGGGCAGAAAGTACGGCCAGCGGAGGGCTGTGTGTGGGACTCTGGAGTTTCCGTGTTTGGCTGCTGCAGGCCAAAGTTTGCTGCTGGCAAACAGTCCGGCTTCCCGGACCAGACTGGGCAGGACCCGCCTTTCCTTCAAGCGCCAGCAGAGCAAGGAGAAAAGGACTCATGTGATTCTGTTTGCAAACTTTGCCACCACTTCCCTGACCAGAAGCAGGCAGGCAGAGATGGCAGAAAGGAGCTTCCTGCTTCCCTGCCTCCCTCTCCTGCTTCTCCTCCGAAGCACAAATCTTCCCTGGTCTCCCCTCGGCTGTTGCTTCAGGTCGGTTTTGCCAAAGCGAGGAGGGCGGGCTCTGGGCAGCATCTGCAGGGCCACGGGGAGGGAGGCGCAGGTGAGTTTTGGCATCTGACGGGTTCCCTGGCACCGGTCTTCTCAGAGGGCTGGAGGGCTCAGTGCCTGGAGGAGTGCTCTCCCGTTTTGTTACTCAGCGTCTGCTTCTACGCTCCTGGGTTATCGCGTCTCTCCTGCTTACTTTCTGGGTGGGGGCAGATTGATCTGCACTCTCCCCTCCTGCATGAAGAGAGAGGTTTGAATTGTGCCACCTGGCGGCTGAGTCTCCAAACGGCAGACTGACTGGAAGAGCCAGGCCGTGTGACCCCTGCAGCCGCCCGTGGCTCCTGTTGGAAGGCCTCTTTGTGGGAAAGAAGCAACCTCCGCCTTTTATCTTTTTTTAGCGCAGAGAAATTTAATAATTTGCAGGGAGGGGCCCCAGAGAGAGACCTGGCTTGGTGCAGAGGAAGCTGGTGGGGATCAACTGAGGAACAGGACAGTCTCGTCCACCTTTGTGGTGCTGGCTGTTTGGGAGCTGCCCGTAAGGAAGGGCATCCCTCCGTGTCTCTCAGCCGGGTTGGGCAGCCAAGTGTCCTTCGTCTCGGGTTGAACAAGCGGCCCTGATCCGCTTCCTGCCTTTTGGACTGCAGAGCTGTGTCCTCGGCACCTGGACTGCACCCTTCAGCGGCGGAAGGAGTGTCCCCTGGGGTCCCATGCCTGCGGCCCCTGCCTCCCCCAGTTCTTCGAAGACGGAGAGGGAAGATGCGTGACCAAGACAGGAGCGCCCAAAGGTAAAGGGAAGGGGGGGCTCAGCTGGGATCCCGGATGCCCCTTCTGCGCCTGCACTTTCGCCTCCCTGGCAGGAGAGAGGCCCCCTTGTCATATGGTGGGTGGGGGGCTTTATCTGAACTGCAGCAGGGTCTTCCGTAGACCCTGGAGCAGGAGAGTCCACATGGGTTTTCCCTGGGTGGGGCTCCGGCTACAAAGTCACATCATTCCTGGAAGACTTAGAGAAAGAAAACTGAAACACGATCCACTCCAATGTGCCAGTGTCCCCCAAGAGGGAAAGAGGCGCCAAGGTGGCTCTTTTCAACGGAGGTTATAGTGAGCAGAGGGTTGGGCTAGAGGACCTCTAAGGCCCCACCCAAACCTGTGATTCTATAGACCGCAGGGTAGGGCCTCCCCTTGCAGGCCGCCCGTGTTCTGCCTGCCCACCCTCAGAAGGCGAGGGAGGGTGTGGGAAGGGAGAGCAGAACAGGCAGCTGGCACAAGGGGGGAGCCGGCTTCTGGCGTGACGTGGTGCCAAGTGGCTCCTTTGGCAGACAGATGGCAGCTTACACAACAGCTCCCTTGCGAAGGGATTGTTTTCTCAGGGGCTTTGGAGCCTCTTGATGAAGACCCTCCCCCTTAAAACTGGGAGGGTCTGGTGCTTCTCTGCCCCTGTGCAAGGCAGTTGCCTCCGTTTTTAAACTGATATCTTCCCTTCTTGCTGAAATGTTTGCTAAAATTGCATGTTCTCTCTCTGTGTGTTTGTTTACTTATTTTGCTGAATGTCCTTCGTGTGGGCCCCTCCGTCTCCAGGGCAAACCGCTGTGGTCCCCAACCCAGAGGAGGAGATTGACTTGGTGTCGGATGCCCTCGCCAAGCAGGGCAGGGGGCCTCTGCCCCACAGCCAGGAAGGTACGGCTGCCCCGGGCCCAGAGGGGTCCCCTGCCTGGCACAGAGCAGGGGGGCATCATTGATTTTGCAAGGGAGGCGACTCTCCTGCCTCTTCCGCCTTCTCTCTGCCAACCGGCCCTTCTTCCTTGCGCAGAGAGCCTGGCCCCCACTGGCCAACACTCCAGGAACGGGGCATCGAAGGCCGAGTCCTCGCAGAGTGGCCGGCGGGGGTAGCCAGACACGTCATCTCACCCCACCACAGAGCCGGTCCACAACCCCCCAGTGGAGTCGACCCACATCTCTTCCAACGATGCCCTCGTCCTTGGTGAGTCTTCACCCAGACAGCATGGGTGTACCCCGAGAAAATCATAGGGGTAGCAAGATGTCAAGATTTTAGTCCTCAGATCCGAGATGGCTTCAGGGGCAGTCTATCTTGGTGGGGGCAGCTGCCAGAGGCCCTGGGGTGGGTAGAACCTCCCTTTGCCCGGGGTGGGGGTCTCCGACTGCCCTTCCCTCTCCAAGTCTCTGTCCTCCCTTGCAGGCCTGATTGTCGTCTGCACGGTTGCAGGGGTGGCGGCCCTGGTGGTGGCGACGATCTGCTGGTGCAGGTCAGTCCTGCGGGTTTCCCTCGGGCACCGGGGCACAGCGGGCAGCTGACCTCCTTGAGGTCACAGCTTTGAGATCTGCCCTGGAGCCCTTCCGTGCTGCCTCCAAATGGAACCTCCATGGCAGCAGCAGTATATCCTAGGAGGGAGGGGATGCCCAGGCCTGTTTGGGGGCTGCTGTGCTACTTCCCTCCTGGATGTCCCCTCTCCCCACAGGCTGCAGAGGGAGATCCAGCTTGCCCAGAAAGCGGATTATCCAGCGAATAAGCTGCCCCAGCTCCCCTCCGACAAGCTCTCTGTAAGTGCCTCCTCCGGGCGCTCCTGGGCACGGCAAGTTGGCAGCTCCCAGTTCTTTGGCCAGCCCAGCTCCTGGGGGCTGCCTTGGGCCAGGCTTCTCCGTGAGCCCGACTCTCCCTGCGGCCCCTTTGCTGGTGGCAGGGAGCTCTTTCTGCCCCGACCGGGCCTGGCTCCCTGGCACCAGGGCCAGGAAAGGGCCCTCTCTGCCCTTCGTTCTGGGGAAGGCCACGTGGGTGGTGCCTGTTCTACTGGCATGACAGTCTCTGCGCTCTGGGTGCTTCTTGCCCTTTCCTCCAGCCTGGCGATCGGAAGCTGGCGCAGAGTGCCCAGATGTATCACTACCAGCACCAGAAGCAGCAGATGCTCTCCCTGGAGAAGTGCGTCCCTCGTTGCGGTGATAGGTTCAAAGTATTGCAAGCGTGTTGGGTTTCCCTGACCTCTTCCTGGTTTCTCTTCGACCTACCGGTGAATTGGGCCCAGAAGCAGGATGGGAGGCCGGGGGCTCCTTTGTGCATCCTCTGTCTCCGCTTAGTTGGGCACGAGACTGCTTGCCTTCCGGGGGCTTCTAAACAGGTTCAAAAGTGCCATGAAGGTTAGGAAGCCCCGGATGAAATGAGCCTCTGGCGGCCGGAAGTGAATGCCAGCTGGAAGGGGTCTGACAGCCAGGTGGCAGCGCCAGGGCTCTGTCCATTCGCCCATGTTATTCTTGAGGTGTCCACTGAACAAAGCCTGGTCTGACCTGGGGAGCCTGGCAGGGCCGGGTTTCCAGGGACCTCACAGAAAGGGCTTTGGGTCGAGATGCCCCCATTTCTGCCTCAGCTTTGGCCGGACATCCCAGTTGGTGGGGAGGTTGGCTTGCCATGGGGTGGGCTGCTAAGGGGGCAGGTGAGGGAGGGCACCTTCTGCCCCATCTCACTACATTCTGCCTCCCAAAATCCATAGGAATAAGGAGGAAGCCAAAGCTGCTGAATCTGTCTCCTCGGACGAAGAGAATGAAGATGGAGACTTCACGGTCTATGAGTGCCCTGGCCTGGCCCCGGTAGGTGTCTCTCTACGGGGAGGAGGGGTGCACAGACCTTCCCCCCCACCCTGTATCTGAAGAAGACAGCAGGGCCGAGCCCTGGGGTGGATCCAGCCCTGGAGCAGGTCGAAGAGATGGGAAAGGCAATCGCTTCCTGGGGGTTCATTTCTCTGCCATGGGGAGCAAGGTTCCCGTGGGCTGTGGGGCTGCCCTGCCCAGCGTGAATCAGAGCAGGGCCCCCGGTGCCCAGAGTGCCATGCCCCTTCCTTGTCTGGGCAGTGCCAGGCCACTCCTTGAGGTAGTGAGTGTGTAACGGATGGGTCTCTCTCGTTCTTCCTCGCTGGCTGTTGCAGACTGGAGAGATGGAAGTGAAAAACCCCCTTTTTGATGACTCCACTCTGCCCCCAAAGCTGCACCCCTGACCGGGAACTGTGGACTGTGCGCAGGACCTGTCCGAGGGCCACCTGACCCATGGCTCTCCTCTGCCCTCCTCCGCAAATTCTTGGCTGAAATAAATCCGCCTTCTGGGCAACTCGCTTCTGCTCGGCTCATGTTCCCCCCTGCACCGGCCCTTCAGCTGGCTCCTGGATGTCCCGAAGAGGCTCTGTGGACCGTCTGGACTCAGGGGGGAAGAGATGGGGGGCCCTGAGGCCTGGCTTGCCACCTCCTGCCCCCCAATCCCTGCCAGCCCTGCACAAATCAGATTTCAGAGTGGAGGGGTTCCTCTTTTCTCTTTCCTTGTTTTGCAGCCGCCAAGCCAAGGTTAAAATAATCGGGCTGGGGAGCTTCTCCCTTTGGGAGGGAGCTGCAGCTTCAAGAGGGAGGAAGTGTTCGGACAGGCGCTTCCTTGCCCGGCCAGTTGAGACGCCTTGGGAAAGCGGTCCATGTGCCCATTTCGCAGGTGGGAACCAGAGGCAGACTGAGGCTGGAAAAGGTGCAGCTGCCAGTTTAGTAAGTCCTGATCCATTTCACACTGTTTTCAGCACTTTCCCAAGGGAACTGAGTTTTGAGGCTTTGTGGGCCAGATTTTAGTTCTCCGAATTTCAAGGGGAAGCAATGTTACAAAACAGCATTAAGGTCCGCAGAGGGACCTGTTCAGAGAGGGGGAGGCAGGCTGACCCCCAGAGTTTCTCCCCTTGGGCCTGGGGGCCAGACAGCCTTCACCCCTTAGCTTTCTCCGGCTGTGCCCCCCGTTCTGCCAGTGTGGTGTCCCTACCTGATGAAGGGAGGTGACACCAGTTCTGATTCATTGGGCATGTCCAAGGAATTCAGAACCTTCCACCAGATCGACTGAGCAAGAGCTAGGATGGCACTGAGCCAAGTTTTGTTTTCTTTTTCAATTAAAACCAAATCTGGAATGTTGATTTTCTTCATACCAAATTCAGAAGGTTTCCGAAGTATTTCTGAATTCCTTAATTAAATGGGATGGGTGTCGAGGGAAGAAGAATGAGATTGATGGAAACCTGTGTTGTCTGCTTTCAGAAGACAGGATGTTCGAAGCATTTGATCTCCTCTAAGAATTGGGGAGGGGGGAAAGTGTGGAGAGGGTGAGTTGTGTTAGACAGCAATCAAGGCTGACTCCTACCTTCATCTTCGCAAGTCCAAAGATATTCCTAACCACCTGGGTAGCTGTAGCCTATTTCTCCTTGCCCCTGCTGTGAGGTCTACAAGCTTGATGGAACACAATAAACAAACAAGGCTCACTGCTGGGGGGGGGGGGCACAAGTGGTTTGGAAAAGGGGCCTTTGGTTATACAATTGTACTTTGGGATTGCGATGCATTATTTTGAAGAGGTTTGCCAAAAGCCTCAAGAAACCATTTTTGGAGTGCATTAGAGTTGCATCAGGAGCTCCCCCCCCCCTCCCGGCACCTCCTCTATGAGTTTTGCAAAGGTGCCCCCTCCTTCCCATCAGTGTCTCAAGAGGGTTTTCTTGGGCCAAAACTGAAGGGCCTGAAGCTGCAGCCGGAGAGGCCTCCAAGCCTCCAGCTGCTGGGCCCTTCGGCTACGGGTCCCCTACCTGAATCGGAAGAGTCGGGGGGGGGGGTTAGGGGTTGCTCTGGCTGAGTGAGGAGGGCAGGACCACCTTCTTAATCAGAGAAGAACAGTCCTGCCTGCAGGATGAAGAGTATCAGGGCTGTTTCCAAAGCAGCTTTAGGGGGGGCAGGGGAGACCCCTCTGCGTTCATCCTCCTGTTTTTGAGTTTGCACAGCACTTTTGCACTTATCCCGCTGAGTAGTTTACTCCCTACTTTTGTATTCTTTCCAAAGAGGAAGCCACACATAAGGGAAAGAGACCTGAAACCAGAGCTCTTAAGTTCTGAGTTGCCTCCTCTGCTGCCTGGACTGTGTCCATTGCTAATATTGGAGGAGGGAGAGGAATTCCCCCCCCCAAAAAAAAACACACTGGTGACTTTGCAGAGAGTTTCTCCTTCAGCCCTGCTCCAGGTGGGGGGCTCTGAAGGTGCCCCTGGAGCTGCCAGCTCTTAAACCCCAGAAGTGATGGTGGGCTGTGGGGGGGGGAGGGAGGGACAATGCCACATGGGGATAGTTTATTTTTTTTCTTGTTTTGTGGTTATTTTTGTTTCCAGACCTGTATGGACTGTGTTTAATAAATTTTATTAAATGACCAATTCTCAAGCTAGTTCCTCAATGCTTCTTTGGTGCCCTTTAGTTTTAAATGAGCCGTTTTCTTCCTGGATTTAGGGGTATCTTAAAGGAACAAGTCTGTCCTTGCAGTCTCTATCCCAGGGGACCCACGGCCATGTTGGTTTGATCCCCAAATTGTTCTGTGTCTGGGAAGTAGTTAGAGGAAGGCAGATAAATCTCATTACCCCAAAGTGCTCCCAGCCTCCCTCTTGCAGTGTGTTTAATATTCTTTCGCAGAAGGTGGAGAGTGCCAAGGGCCGATTCTCCAGGATGGCTCAGATCCCATCCAGGCCTGCAGAGTGGTGGCCAGCGCTGTGGCCAATGGTCACTCTGCCTCCCATCCCCCATTAGGCCAGGCAAACCGGCCGCCTAGTCCAGCCCTCCTGCTTGGCCGCTGCTCGCCCACCACCAGGGTGAAGGGTGGGGCCGAAGCCGAGGCACTCCCTCCCCAAGGGTGCCCAGAGGATGGCTGCCTCCCCACTGCCAACCTGGCCCTGGAAGCACTGCACCCATTGGCCCCTTGCTTGAGATATTGCGCAAGTGATAATCCCATCCTGACTTTGCAATTAAATTCCACTCTGCACATATTTTGAGGAACATAATTTACTATTAAGGGAGTTCTTTTCTTAATTAGGAAACGATATTCAAGTAATCTCAAGTTAGAATTGGAGCGATGCTCGCTGGGGATGAAAGAAGAGTTATTTTGACTCTGCATGCAGAGATTGAAAGATCCAAGAGGAAAGAAGATTTCTAGAATATAGGAGCCCCATCCTTGTGTGCCAAGTTGTCCAACAGAGGGGCTCACAGCCTCAAACCCTGAACACCCCCCCTGAAAAACTCTGATCTATTCTTAAAGGTCCTTTTTTAAAGTGCTCCCAGCGATTGCCCTGTTAATCTTCCTTCCTCCAGTTTAGACTGTCATTTAAATTCCTGTCTTCCTCCCAGGTAGCATACTGCATGGGGATTTTCTCCACCCCCCCAGCCCTGCAACGTAGGTCAGTATAAGATTAGGATTAACTGAGCAATTTTAGACTGGGGGGGGGAGTGGGAGGGAAAGTTGGGGAAATTAAGAATGGCTCTTTCTCGGGGGCTTCCAACTTGGCACAGGGCTCAATCCGGTGGTTTCAGTAGAATTAATGGAGATCAACTCCACAGGGATCCAGTGGGACCACTAGAGGGGGCTGATGGCCACACGAGGCTGGCACCGGATTGGCACTGTGCCGAGAAAGGGCAAGATTTCGCCAAAGGCAGAATTAAAAGGACGTTAAATGATGTTCACAGGATGTGGGGAGCGCTTGTGACTTGGAGGGCTGAGGGAGGACCGAGATCCAGGCTGGGGCAGCCAGCCCTCTGGCCAGTGGTCACTCTGCCTCCCCTCCCCTCCCCCATTAGGCCAGGCAGACTGGCCCTCCTGCTTGGCTGCCGCTTGCCCACCGCTGGGTGAAGGCTGAGGGTGTCCAGAGGACGAGTGTCTCCCTGCTGCCAACCGGGCACTGTAACCACTGCACCCGCTGGTCCCTTGCTCAAGACAAGGAGGGGCACTGAGGTTTCTGGCTTCCTTTCTTGCCAGCTTCACTTGGGTAAACAGGAAAGGGTTTAAGGTCAGGCCAATCTTCTGCTTCGCAGCTTTCACGTCTTCCTCTGCCGTTGGAATAGCTTTCTTCTCAGCCCCTGCCTCCCATCTGGCATTCCATGTGGGTTCAACTACAAATCCCATCATCCATCCCAGATGTGAGGTTTGTGGGGCTGAGGGAGCAGAGAAGAAGCGAAATGTGATTGACGAGCACTTGAGCAAAGAAGGAAGGAAGGAAAGGAAGTCGAAGAAAGAAGAGAACAAAAGAACGGAACCCTGGGCTAAGAAGGGAGGATAACTGGAAGAAGGAGAGACCCCGTGGGTGGGCACTGGTGCCAACACAGGGGATCCTACTTTGGGCAGCTCTGCAGCAGGCGAGGAGCCACGGAGAGTCTGACTGTCCCAGGGACATTTCTGGCTTTAGCAGCAGATGCTAGTAATCCCAGTACCAGCGCTTCAGGTCCGGGTAGAGCTTCTTCCGGGGCAAATGGGGGTACTGCCAGCAGATGGAGCAGAACCGTTCCCGCCAGTCCTGGTGGAGTCTGACCGCGTAGCTCCGCTTCCAGGCAAAGAAGCTCCGGTAGTGGCTTTCGTTCATGGTAGTCAAGAAAGTGGCCAGCTCCTGGGCTGAGCGGAAGTCGTCCACGTGGATAAAGGCGTTGGCGGGCATGAACTGCTGGTAGTTGGCACGGGAGGGGCCCAGGACGATGGGCACAGAGCCGGCGAGGAAGGCATTCCTCCAGAGCTTCTCCGTGATGTAGTCCCGGTGGATGGAGTTCTCAAAGGCCAGGTAGAACTTGTACTTGGAGATGGTTGGTAACAAACAGTCGGGGCACAGCGGCCTCCTGCTGGCCTTCCCAAACACGTCGATTCTGAGGTGACTGGACAGGTTGCGGTACATCTCTGCCCTGGCTTGGGAGTGATGATAGTTGCTGATCACCCAGGAGACTAAGCCGGTTTTCTCTGGGATCTCCACCACCCCCAGCGAACGAGGCACCAGCTCCCCATAGGGGAGAAAGAGATCAGCGTCTTTCCTGTACGAGAGGACCCAGTTCCATTCATTCCCCATCCAGCCCTCCAGGGCTTTGGTGTGGCTTGGAGACTCCAGGGAGACCCAAACCCAGTTCTGCCCAGGGTGGGCCTTGGACGGTGGAAGGCCCTGCCTTTCGTGCTGGAGTTCCTGGTGATGGAACACCACAACGTCCGCTTGGCTGAACAGGATTCGGTTCGTGGTCAGTTGGCAGCCTGTGATGCCATAGAGCCTGGAGCAGACGTCACCGGTCAGGTCTGTGGCTTCCCCGAAGGGCCAGCTCCAGATCAGGAGGGTCAAGGTAGCGTTCTGCCTTGGAGACCTTGGAGGGTTATCGAACAGCGTGAAGAGAAGCGGGGCATTCAAGAACAGGACGATGCCAAGGAGAGATGCAGCGGTCCAGATCTTTGCCACAGGAGCCATCAGGTGGGAAAGTGACCAGAAACACAATTGCTGCTTCGTGTGAGGAGCTGGCTTGAGGAACTGGGGTTGCTCAGCCCTCTTCCTTCCTTCCTCAGTCCTGGCAGTTCTCAGAGCTGCAAGAAAGACAGAAGAGGTCAGGTTGCCCAAAGGATTGCAAAATATCCCCTACTGAATTAAAGGAGGTACAGAACAGCTCGGACGTCTCTTGTTCCGGCCCTTCTCTGCCCTTTGACCCGAGGAGGCTGGGGACTTATAAAACCTTAGCCTGATGCAAAGGAAGTTGCTGAGATGGGAGTCTTGGGGGTTGTTAAAGGTGGAAGTGATGAATGAGACTTGAAAACCTTTGGGTTTTGGCACTGCTACCACCATCTGCAGTGATGCCTTGGTGTTGTTGCATACCAACTAGATCACTGTGGGGTGTGTAACCTGCTATGACTTTGGAAAATATGGAGCATTGTGATGCATGTAATATTTCATAAACAATATTTCTGTCTTGCATTTGGCAGCAAACAAACAGAATCTCCCTCTCCCTACCCCTCCTCTACTGCCTCCTCTCTCTTAATCCAAAACTCAAGATGAGAGAAAGAGGGTCTCTGAGCACTGGTGAAAAGAGAGGGGGGTCTGACGGATATGAAAATAGATGGGTCCAAGCAGGGAGATCAAGGAAGAGAGACAACTCCAGAGAAAATCTGTTCCTTTTTCTACAACTTTCCCATTATCGTCCAACCAGCATTAAAATCTGACTGAGTTAATATCACATTATTTGGGAGAGGGTTAGAAAATTGAGTGATTCGTTAAAGTTCAGCGGGATGTAACGGTGGTATTTTGTGGATGTTTTGATCTGAATTGCTTTCGCTTCTCACTCAGTCAGATTTTGTTCTGGAGAGAAGTTGTTCCTTGAAGTTAAATAGAAAGTCACAAAGCAGCCTGAAAGCAGTAAAGCTTCAGACTGTCCGTGAAGTGGGGCGGGTGTTGGTGGGGCTTTAAAGTTTTCTATTCTGGAAAAGGAGTTCATGAGAAGTATCTGAGCAGAACTCTTATAAACAAGACATTTGACTGATAGTCCTACTAATTATGCAGACTCTGGATCTTTTAGTTGATAAGGTTTACTGCTTTCATTTGCATTCCTCTCCCCACGTATTCTATTTTTGGCTCATGGTGTGCACTTCTATCTAACTGCAGAACAAAGAAAGCAAATGGGTAGTGCAGGGTAAACAATGATCAAACTTGAACAATGTAATAATCAGTTTAGGACACTCTGCAATCTGCCTTAATTTAACTGGCATCGAAACCTGCACTGAAAAAGAGAATCTTTCAGATTCATAAAGATCCTGTGGGAGGGAGAAAAAAACCCAAATGTTTTAAGGACCTTTAAAAACCTTAAAATATCAGTCTCCAAGCAAAGTTGCAGGGAGCCAATTCTGAAGCCAGATGAGAAATGTTTGAAGCCTGCGGTGGTCCGTCTAATCCCAACAACAACAACAACACTGATTGTGAAAAAGAAGATGAACCGCTGTGCAAGGAATGGAGGATTCTGCACAACTCTTTAAAGTGGCAAAGCGCTGGCTCCCTTGACGAGCAAGAGTTTAAGAGGAAGAGATGGGCCGCTTCAATCATCAGGGATGCCAAATTGGTTTCAATCCAGTTTGCAGGATTTGCTGCTTTAAAAAGTGCTTTCTCGGTTGGGTATGAATGACCCAGTGCAGCTGGGTCACTGCTTAGTGCTTGCTTTTCACCGAGTTTTCCCTGTATGTACTGGGGAGGGACCAGATCCTCCAAGCTAGGATGGTGAGGGAGAAGAGAGTCAAGGGTGAACTTTGCAAGTGAGTCCAGCAAGCTTTCCCCACGCTGCAGGACTGGTGCCAATCAAACCCAGGAATGATTAGGGATCAGATTTTAGCCAGGAGCCTGGAAAGCATCTGGACTGAGACGTCCCTCAAGGGTGCTCAAGATGGTTGCTTGAAGTCTTGCAGAACTATTTACCGAGCATCTCTAAATACGTTTTTCTCCCTGCTGCTAATGACACAGATGGCAACCCACCACATTTCATATGCCACCGACTCCTCCCAACACGATGCGGCTCTCAGTGCCACAAAGCACAACAGAAAGCATCTCAGGAATAAAGCTCATAAAAACCACAGCCCCCCTCCAGGGGTCTTCCTGTCCTTTGGGGCAGAGCTGTTTAAACCCTTTTCCAAAGAACACATGGGGGGGGCACCTGGCTACGGAGGGGGGGGGGAGCTGCTCCAGAACCAGAGTTGTGCATGTTGAAATATGAGGGGCCATGAGAAGAAAATGGTGCCACTGCTTTCATTAAATTCAGACGCCTGTGAGTTCTTCACCAGCACCACCCTGGGACAAAAGCTGTGGATCCCCAAACTCAGATTAAGCCAAAACAGGAAATGATGGCAGAAATTCATAATGAGCTTAGTTAATAAGGGGAAAATGTGAAGCAAGCAGATGATGCAGACTGTGGCAGGAACGAGAGAGGGTGAAGACATATTCTGAGTAAACATAGTAACCTTATGAATTGGTACTGCTGAGCTGGTCAAAACTGGTTGGTCAGAGGGAAAACCAACATTTGAATGAACCTGGCTTGGCTGTTCATAACTAACCGCATAAAATTTAGCTTAATGAAATTTGTGTGCATCTGTGTGTGCATTCATCTATAGTTTCATTCCGTCTGTTTCTTCCTCCTTTTGGAAGATGTGCCCAATGAGCATGGTTTGTTTATTCCTAATAAAAGTGCATTTTGTTAACTTTCTCCAGCTTCTCAGTTGGTTCTCTTGAGACATTTCATGGGCGCCAGGCGATGTGGCTGCTTCTAGTAATTCTGAAAGTGCCCTGAGTTTAAGGAACCAGAGCTTTCATATCCTTCCAGCAATTAAAATCAGTGTTCTTCTAACTGGCAATTCAAACTAACACTTCATTAAATTCAGACGCCTGTGAGTTCTTCACCACCCTGGGACAAAAACTGTGGATCCCCAAAGTGGATCCCCAAAGGAGGAAATAAGAGTTTGCATGAGCGGTGTGCAACGAACATTTCAACCCTATTGAAATGCAGATTAAAAATTGCAGTATCGGGTTAGCCTTGAAAACGAAATTAATTTTAATCTTAATTTTAAAATACAAAAGAGATTGGATTAAGAGAAATTTATGTCTGTCCCCAGAAAGTTAAGTTTTAGATTTTAAAATACTAATTAGGATGGTGTTCGTTTTTTTTTTTAAAAAAAGCCTTTACAAAACATAAAAAGAAACTGTTGCTACTTCAGCTAAAATGTCTGAAAAAATATTGAATTTGAAATCTATGCTTATAACTTCTGTTTTGGGGGGCCGGTGGTAACAGCAGGTGGCAAGAAGCTATAGGAGGGGAATTTTTGTCAGAATGGTTAGTGGGAAAGAGAAAAGGTAGAGGAAATACAGTGGAAGAACTTGGTTCATTTTTTAAAAAGGCTTTCATTTTGTTTCACTTCAACTTATCTTCATCAAAAATCACCGCTTTCTGTAAATCTTATAAACTTGCGCAGAGCTGTCCAGGTGTTGCTGAGAGCTGGGTAGCATGAAAATTTAGTAACTATATTTTATTTATTATAAATCAGGACTATTTAAAACTCCTGCCCAAGTGATATGGATTTATTTATTGATCAAAAACTAGCATGAACATAGGCTGTGACTAGTCAGAGAGAGACAGAAATCTTTTCCTTACTCTGCCAATAATTGTCCAAAATACTGTTCGTTCTGCTCCACCTTTGATTACTGATCAGGGCCCCCTGGCAATACCCGCCATTCATGGCATAAATGAACCGCCTGGCTGACTTACCCTGCCTGCTGCCTTGGTTCTGCCCGGGAGGAGCTCCTGCGTTGAGCGGAGGCGGAAGGCGAAATACCCGCTTGTGGTCTCTCCTGCTTATCAAAAGAAACCCGTCCCTGACACTTTTCACACCTTGGTCAGACACAGCTGTATTGTGGGAAGTCTCTCTTTCTCTCTCTGTGGGCCCAAACCACATCTGGAACAGCTGCCTGAACTGCTGGGCTCTGCCCCAGAAAGGCGCCCGGTGTCTCTGCTGGAGGGAGGCTGCAGCCGAGTTCCTTGCAGGAGGAGCTTTCCGTTGGGTGAACACAAGACAGAGTTTCCTTTCAGAAGGGGCCATTCCCCTGTGTAACTCCCTGCCACCAGATCTGGCCCAAGATCTCTCTGGAAGGAGATCTGGGGCATGAAAGCAAAAGGGGAACCCAGCTGGGGTGGCCCACTCAGTGCCAGCTGCAGGTCTGGCTTTGGCACCCCCCATCTCTGGCTGCCCTCCAACAGCTGGGTTTTGTTTCCGCAAAAGTCTTGACTTTTGCAGCCTTTCCCCCCTTTCTTGGCTTCAGCTGGGCTGCACCTGTTCCTGAAATGGCCTTTATCTTGCATTCTGATAACCTTTGCCATGCTGGGTGGGGATAATAGATGGCGTGGTCCGGCCAAGGGGCACAGGGGAAGCGTGGCAGTCGGTCCCAGCAGCCGCGTTGGCACGGTGTCCCCCGGGGGCCCTCCTGGGGTTTTGCACAAGCCCAGGAAAGGGCCCGTCGGGGAACGTGGAGATGCTGACAGGAACTGCCGTATCAATGACTATTTGCAGAACGGGAGCAGCGACAGGGCATCAACCCAGCAGGGGCATCATGAAGTAGATCGTAAGGGGGGAAAGGCGGGAAAAAAGGAAACGCCCCTTTACTTTCACAGCAACCAATCGCAGCCCAGACCCTCTCCTGCGGGGGCCCGCTCTCGCCCACCGATTGGCTGCTTCCCCACCGCTATTGAAAGCTTAACTGTCCTGACAAGGCCAAACTCTGGGCTGAAGGAAACTCGCGTTGTGGGATCAGCACAGGATTTATTTTATTTTATTTTATTTCGATCCTCCCAGCATTGAAAAACGTTTTTATTTATTTATTAATAGTTTGCCGATCTGACGTTTCTCTCCAGGGGCAGCTCTTGCACTCGCCCCGGGCTCCGCGGGTGTCCCACCGTTGCGAAGGGGCACCTTCGGCGTGTTTGTGTGGCGATGACGGACCCACAACGCCAGGGCCCGGGCAGGGCGCTCCCGCCTTCCGCAGCATCCTTCCGCTTCAGGCACCGGGCGTATCGCGGGGAGGCGGTGAGAGGAGCCGGGGAAACACGCGGCGCTCCCGCAGCCACGGAGCTTCTTCAGGCGGCTGGATCGGTTCCCGAGGCAGCCTGCAGAAGGGGAGCCTCGCTCGGATTTGGAGCCGGCCTCTTGGCCGAAGACTGGGCGCCTCCGCTGCTGCGCGGCCCAGACCCCTTTGATCCCAGTCAGGGGAAAGGGGAGGACCTCCGTCCTACATCTCCCAGCAGCCCACAGCGCGCTCAGAAGGAATTGTGGGAACTGAAGTCCTAGCGACTCTGCCAGCCTCAGCCCGCTCAAGGCAGGGGCCGGGCGTGCCCCCCCGTCTCCCCCCGGGCTTCTGCGCCGCCGCCCCTCTCCACGACGGACGGGAAACGCGCCAGGAGGCCTTTTCGGTTCTTCCAGGGGGAACCCCCCCCGCCGCAACATCTGGAAACTGGATTCCAGCAGCAGTCCACCCAAGACCCCTGGACACAATATCGGAAGTGCGATGTGAGCTCTGGGATCTTCCCCCAGGGCCTCTTCTCTGGGGGTCTCCTGCTCCTGTACGTGGAGGCTCCATTTTGTACTGGTGGCTTTCGGCCGGTGATCCTGCATCGCCCTGGGGCTCGATGGGCAGCGGCCAGCTGCTTCCAGCTTGGAGGAGACTCTCCGAAGGGTGAGCCGTGCCAGCCTTCTGCAGGTGGCGTCTGCTCCTGCCACCGAGCCCCGGTTTAGCCGTCGTCTGTCGAATGAGCCCCAGTTCCTTGGGATCGCCCGCCCTGTGCTGTCAATAATCTGCAAATCCGCCAACGTGCCCTAACGCGTTTGTTTTTTTAAAGAGACTGGCGGAGGAAGGAAGGAGGAAGGCGCTCTCCGCTGCGCCCGCAAGGTCTCCGGGCCGGCTGCCGCTCTAAGAGACCGGACTGAGCCCCGCCGAGGTTGGGGGCGGCGCTGGGCTCGCCGGCTTTGCGGTAGCCGCGGCGGCGGAGAACGGGGAGCGCCTTGGCCGGGCGGGGGCTGCGCGGCGCCTCCCCGGGAGCAGCAACTGTGCGGGAGCTGGGTTAAGGCCCGCCGCCCCGCCCCGCCTCTCGGGCGGGTGTGTGCGAGGCTCTGCCCGCCTCTCCCCCCGTGTGCAGCAGAGGGAAAGGACCGGCTGTTGCTCCGTGGAAGCCGCCGCCTTGCGTCCTGCAACTGCGCCCCCGTCCCGTCCTGCAGCTGATGCCCAGGGAGGGGCGACGCGATGGGCTTCCTGCACCAACTTTACCTCCTGCTATGGAAGAACGTGACGCTGAAGCGACGCAGCCCGGTCAGTAGCGGGGGGGAGGCGGGGGATCTGGAGGGGAGAAAGGGGACGGGGGCTGGGCGCCCTCCCCCTCGGCCGGCGGGGCTGCCCAGAGGCTGGCAGCCTTGGGGTGGCCGAGGTTTCCTTGCGCTATTTGTCCAGGGGCCGGCGGCGGCTTAGGAAAGGGTCCCGCCGAGCAGCTGGGGTGGGAGTCCGGAGACCCCCTCCCAATCTCTCTGCTTCCACACTGTGAGAGAGGGATCTGCTCGGAAGACCCTCTGCCGCTCGCTGGAAGGGCAGGAGGGGAGCTGGAGGGCTCGGCCTTTGTTGGAGGGGATAAAATGCAGAGAGGGCCAATCGGGGCTCAAAAGCCCCCCCCCTTGATGATCGCATTTGGAGAGCCTGCAAAGAGGCTGGGCAGAGGGCTGCCTCCACCTGTCCCCCAAAGGTGAGCCGTCTCTGCCAGCCGCCCTTCCCTCCCGTTTCCAGGTCAAGGGCGGAAGAAGCTTCAAAGGTCTTTTTGTAGAAAGAGACAGAAATCCGCAACAGGTCCTGGTGGGGTATCCTGAGCGTCTGAGCCTTCCCCAGCTTCCTCTGGCTTGGAGATGGGGCAAAGAAAGACCATCTCTGTCAGACAGCCAAGGTGGGAGTTGTAGTCCAGCACATCTAGAGAGCAGTAGGTGAGGGAGGCCATGTGTGCCTCCCTTCTGGGGCCCTCTGTCTCCAGCCAGGTGGGCCAGTTTGTGGGTTGTTTCCCAGCCCTTAGAGATGATCAGGGGGGCCGGGGCCAGTTTTCTCTGAACCAGGGTTGTCGGAATAAAACCCTGGCAGTGTCCGGCTTCATGTGGAAGGCACAGCCAGAGGCAGGAGGGTTCCCAAATTGTGCTAAGCTGAGCCAAAAGCAGTTCAACTCTGTTGTTGACACAATTTTATCTCTGCTCCCCTATTTAAAAATAAACCTGGCATTTATCCCTCCTTAGCACCAGCCTCACCAGGGAAGGCTTGGTTCTCGCTTTGCAAGGCGCCTTGCAATCTGTGTTGTGCTCCCAGCTGCCTGGCATCTGCCTTTCAGGAGCTCTGCCCACTCCCTGGCCTGTGGAACTCATGGCCACAGTCTTGCACTGGCATGAATCATGATGCTAGTTGTGGAGAAAACTGTCCTTTCCTGCGGTAGCTAATTGTGCCGTCCTGACTATCGTCTAGGAGGGGGGTATCCTCCTCATGGTGGGTGGGGGTTTGGGCAGCGAGGAGTAGGAATCCCCCTCCTGTTTGCTGGAGGAATTTAAGCTCTTCACTGGCATAAGAGTGGTCAGGCAGAGGCATCGCCAGGCTTTAAGGCACCAGGCTGGCATGAAGGCGGGGCACTGGCATTTGATCTCCTGCCCTTTTCCTGGTGGGGACGGAGGCCGAAGCCTGCAGGGAGCTGACCAAGAGAGTTAGGGGCAAAGCGCAGAGACGCTCCCCAAAGTTATATGAAGGCCTTACGTGAGCTCTGCGGGGTTTATCATCTGCAACCCTTTTATGGGGCAGCTTCATCCGTGGCTGCTGTGGGGTTCAGCCAGAGCTTGAAAACCAGAATTGCAGTCCATAACCCAGGAGTGGATTCCTCCACCTGTGGAAATCAGCACCTGCTTGGTTTTTCTTCCCTCAGCTCAGGACCAGGGCTCCGACTGCACAGTCTGGGGCTACCCAGGCACCGTAGAAGCAGGGGATGTGCAGGCATTTTTGTGCCACCCAGGGATGGGGGGGGGGTTGTCTTTAATTCCCCTCCCCCCCGCTGCATGATGATTAGACCATTAAAGAGATTTTCGAATATATCTTGGCTCTCTTGGAAGCTGGTGTGTCTCAGCCCCTCGCTCTCCTTCCCTGTGCTGGGCTCTCCCCACTGCTTCTGCATCCCAGAAAGACCCTGTGCTGGTTTTCTCCAGCCTCTTCCCAGCAGGGATGATCTCCCCCCCCCCCAAAAAAAGGGGCCCTTCTTAGGAAAGGGCTGGAGGAAGCCCTGGATAGGATTTTGGTGTTCAGAGCTGGGGCATCCCTGGTCATTTGTTATCTCGGGGCAGCTTGATAGCCTTGCAGAGTTTGGCTGCTTCCTCTGGCGTTGCTTTCTCTTTATCTTTGACCTCCCTTTGAACAATTCAGCAATCTGCCCGTTCTTGGAACCGTAATTTCATTTGCAGCCCTGGCTCCTGTCCTCTGCAGAAGAGAGCCTCCCCGGGGCTTGGCTCCCCCCCCTAATTTATGCCCTTTGTAATGTGGAGGATCTGGCTAAGCCCTCTGCAGCAGCAGCACCACCAGCTCAGCAGCTTGGTGGGGGGGGGGGTGTTCGTATAAATTCCGCAGAAGCTTCTGCTGCGGAACAGCCTTTGCTCCCTTTCCAGCAGAGAGGCTGGATTTCAGCTTCCTGGGCAGGGATGTGGCCCCTGGCAGGAAAGCCCAACCTTGCAAAATCTCCTCTCCATTTGTCTTGAGGAGACAAAACAGTTCCCCAAAGGCAGGGGAGGCTTTTGTGTGGATGCTGACAAACCTTGCAGGGATGTGTCCATTTTGACACCAAGAGCTAAGCTGGGCCTGACCCAACGGAGAGCTCCTTCTTTAGCTCTGGCCAGATTTAAAAAAAAAAAAAAAACCTGTGCTTTTTCTGGAAAATTCTTCTGTTTTTGTTCTTTTTCTAATGCAGGCCCTCCTGTCTCTGTGTTGCATAGCAAAATAGACAAAACCCTGTCGGTAAACTGATTTTCCTAAGAACAGAGCAAGCAAACTTTGTGTTGGGAGAGAACCTGATTCCCAAAGCTGGCTGGGGAATTCTGGGAAGGGAAGTCCAGCCATCTTGAGAGTTGCTGCTCTAAAGGGAGTGGCTGCATTTAAGCCCCTTTTTTGCCCCCCTCTAGGAATTCAGGCTGGTTGGGTTGAACAATCTGCATAAAGCTGGTGCAGCCTCAAAAGAGGGACTCCTAGTCTGGCCAGATTTTGGCTAAATTCGGGGGGCTTCACTCCCCTCCTTTCTGTACAAGCTCCTGCTGGATCCTGGTGAGAGGAGCGGAGAGGAGGCTCTCTCATAGATGTGTCACATGTGTCTCCTGAGCATGGCAAATTTTGCTGGATTTTATTTACCTCCAGGGTCTTGAAAGGATCTCCTTGCTTTCAGATCCATGTGAGGGAAGAAAGGCTGCCCTGAAGGGTTTGGGAGCCGTGTCTCTGTATGATGAGGCCCCCCTCTATTGCTCCTCTCCTGGGGTCCCCCGTCTGGTCCAATCTGGGGCCCAGAACAGCCTGGTCCTGCTTGGTGCGCATCAGCCCAGATGGGTCTTTTTTTAGCATGCTGGTCTGTTTAGAGAGATCTTGCAGATCTGAACCTCGGTTAAGGGACATCTGGTGGGAGAAGAAAGCCCTTTAGTTGCAGCTTTGACACAAGCCCACACTCCGCTGTGGGTCTTTCCATTGTTCTTCCTGCTTGAAATGGAGAGATTTTGCTGGCCTGCTGAAGCTGACCTCCCCGCCTGGACAAAGGGGGATTTGTCCACTAGGACGTCAACGCCACCTCGGCTGCGAGTTTCTGGAAGCATCTTCTCTGTTTGATGCATGGATTTTCTTTGCCTGCCGTCCTCCCACCCTCCCACCCAGCCACCCTCCTGCTCTAAAGCTAGGAACAAGGTGGGCAGTTCTGCTCATCTTTTAATCCTCTTGTGCATGAGAATTTGGGGAGGCAGAAGGGAGGTGACTCTCTTGCAGCTTTTGACTATGTGCTGAAGATAGAGGGAGGGCTAAAGGCTCATGTAAGCAAAAAAAAAAAACAACAACCCCAACCCTGAGTGAAATAGCTGCTGTTTTTTGGACGCCATGAATAAAGTTTCAGGTTTTAATTTTAGGCACTCAACTGGGTGTCATGCTAGGCATCCACCCACCTTATCTTTGGGCAGCTGTTTCACTAGGCCCATAACGTGAGCTGTGCAGATTAATTTCCTCCCACCCCCCCCATCCCATGCTTTTTATCTTTAAGTGAGAGGGGAAGGGGGCTAAGAAGAAAAATGCTGCCTTTTAATCTCACTTAAAGCAAAGCACCCTTTAGACTACAGGAGAGAGAGGCGGTTTGTTGTTGTTTGATGCAGAATTCATATATTTAGAAACAGGCACAGATTTGTTACAGGATGTGTTTTAAAAGTTGAAAGGAAAATACTTTGTAATTAACTCTGAGGCTGGACATTCTGTCCTGATGAAATCTTTTCAGATCCATCACTCTGGGGCTGGTGAGGAAGCGGCCAGGCCAGCTTCGGATCCCATGTGGGGAAGGTCTGTCTTTCCCCAAGCGGTGTGGGGTCTCTAGCAGGACCCCCGTGGTCACATCCCTGGCTTTTCTCACAGCTGAAGGCAACGAGGCTGCTTTCTCCGGCAGGGTGGCTTTTGACACAATGAGCTACAAAGAGGCTTGGATGGTGCAAACTGCTGGGTGCTACTCCCGTTCCGGATGGACTTTGAACTGGTCCAAACTGGGAGTTCAGGTCTTTTCATCCAGCCAGTCATTTCCTTCTCAGCAGTGAAGGCACCCCTGCCTTGCGTCAGGAGGGCAGGTGGTGCTCGGCATCCAGGGCAAAGTCATAATTTACCAGGAACTCTTTGATTTACCAGTCCGGAAGTGAGAGAGAGAGGGAGATGTGGGCAAGGAAATAGGCCAGATAAATGGCATTTCACCCCCAGCAAGAACGCTAACAGGAGAAAGAACATGAAAAGTCAGTTTGCACCTGCGTGATAGTTCTTTATTGCCGAAGGTATCCGAAGCCTCCAGTCTGATCCTCCCCTTCCTTCCCAGACACCTGGCTAGGCCGGCTTGGCGACTTTCAGAGGCGTGGGCTGGCTGGGGAATTCTGGGAAAGAAAGTCCCTGCATCTTGGTGTTCTCATGACTGAGAAACACAGCTCTAGACTTTAGTCAGTTCTCCGAAGCGTCCGAATTCATCCCAGCAAGCGGCTTGGGGAATTGTAGTTCACACATCTCAAAGTTGCCAAAGTGGAGAAACACTAAGATAGGCAGCCCCTGAGTGTCAAGATCAGTTGAGTAATCTGTAGGTGGGTTTCCCTAGTCCTCTTCCTGTGTCGGTTGACGGTTGTTAGCCCGTGTGTGCCACTCTGAGTTTTGCAAGAAGACGAAAGGCGGAAACCAGGCGGTCCTTTTACTGCCCGTGACTTTCACTGGAGGGGGGAGGCGCTCCCTCTAGCTCCTTCCTCCGAGCCCTGCACAGTTGCATCACAGCTCTGTTGTCCTCTTCTGCTAAACAGCCAGCCCCCCCCCTGCCCTTTCCTGATAGGGCACAGGTGAGCCTGGCAAACACTCCTGGGAGTGCAGAGCCAGGAGCCTAGCCACGGATTTTTTCCGGAAAGAGCTGAGAAGTGCCTGGTGGACCTTTGTCCCATTTGGTCATTGCAAAAGAAAAAAAAAAGAAAACAAGGCAGCTGCCAACCGGCCTGTCCTTTAGCTCACAAAGAGCACACGTGGGATGTTGAGCCTGAAGGAAAGAGAAAGGCCTTGTTATCCACCTGTGCAGGAATAGTTCCTTTCCCCTCCGCTCAGCTGCTCTCTCTTTTTCACAGATCCTGCTCCTCTTCCAAGGAACTTTCCCTCTGGGAGACTCAAAAGCAGAGGGGGGGGGGGAATGAGTGGGAAGCCCCTCCCATTGCTCCTCTCAGTGACCATCTTTGTGGGGATTGAATTTGCAGGGGTTTTTTTTTGTGTGTGTGTGTGTGTGTAAAAGAGAGCGAGCAGGGTCTGAACCCAGTTACTGTCGAGGGGTGATTCACTCCGGCATGGTGTCCTGGGGGGGCAGAACGGCGTGCCTGCTTGCAATGCAAACCCGGATTTGGTTTCTATGGAAACGTAGCAAAGAGGATCTTCTTCATAAGGCGATTTTTTCTAAAAAATAAATTGCAAAGAGGTCCAAAAGGGAAGGGGGGAGCAAACTGGATCAAAGGCATGATCCACTTGCCTCCTCCTATAAAGGGGCAGCGGGCAGCCTCCCCTGCGCAGGTAGCCCGCTCTGTGAAGACTGGATAGGGCTCTCTGCCCTGGGGTTGTGTATCTTTCCCCCTTTCGGTTGTTGTGTGTTAACAAGAAAATTCTCTGTTGCTGGGAGACTTCGATGTTTTTAACTGTTGAGGCAATGGTTATTGCTGCAATTTTGCTCCAGGAAATCTCTCTGCAAATATATAGGCAAAGACTTCCTGGATTCCAGAGTCACAAAGAAGGAAATAATAACGTGTGAAATAAATACTCTGCTTTGGGCTGCGGTAAAGCAGCCCCGTCTTGCAGGGGTTTGGCCCGAGGGTCGCTCACTCGGCCTGGAGAGCCAGGTGGGCTGCGGGCAGCACCACCCTCTTTGCCTGCCCTTTTCCAGTTGGCCAGCTTGAGCCAGGAGCCGTCCCAGGGCCCAGGTGTGGCTTCCTCCTCTTCGGTCTGCTTCAGCAGTCCCCAGCTGGCTGTTGGGGTGCCACAGGTGCCGATGGCCCAAGACCTTCGGAGGGACGATGCCGTCCAGCGCGTTCCACGGTAAACACCACCAGGCGTGGCAGCTTCCTTCCAAAATGTTAATGGCTGAAGGCAAGATGCCATTCTGACGCCCGAACGCTTGGTGCTGCCTGGTAGAAACCAACTAATAAAACAGGGCTCATGTTTCTGGTAACAAAATGACAATTGTGAGTTTCCCATCAGTAAACAAGGGAGGAGGGAGCCAGTGGGGAGACGGCTGCCCTCCCTGGAGGAAACCTGCCCTGTGGCTTGACTCGGGTTGGGTGTGAGAAGCTGGTGGATCTGAAGCCCGAATGCGTCTCTGCCCCGGGCCTTTCCCAGCAGAGGAAGCTTCCCTTAGTGTGGGAATCTGGGCGGGGGGGGAGGGAGGGGGGACTCTGTTGCTCAGATGTGGCCTCCGAGTTTCAGGCAGCCTCCAAGGAAGGCTAGGGCTGTGGTGCTGAAGCTCCTCCCCTCGGCTCCCCATTTTAGGAAGGCCTCTAAGTCAACAACTCCGGGGAAGAACCAGCCGGTCAGTCGTGGTCAAGGGCACCTTTACAGGTGGACCCTTCTGAAGAGAGAAAGGGGTCACTTTTGTTGGGCCTGGAGGGGAGTCAGGAGGTGTTTGGAGCTGCCCTAAGCATGAAGAGCAAAATGGGGGTCCAGGTGGGCAGACGGGGTGGGAAGGGGTGCTGGAGAGGCAGGAGGGTCTGAGTGGGGATCTTGCTCAACAATGCTCCCTCCCTCCCTCCCCATTTTCACAATACTCTGAATGCTCCATTGCCCGGCATCCTGGGTTTGCACTAGTTAACCTCCTTCGAACAGAACAAACATGGGATGTTGCCCCCAGAAGAGCTGGAGGTCGTGTGTTTCGAATCTAGGTCCGTGAGTCAGGAGGCCTGGCTGGCATTCCCAGGTTGTCTTCCTGATCCATTTCCACCCCCTTGCTAGCCGAGGGGCGGGTGACATGGGGGATCCTAAGCCACTCTCGGATTTGGGAGTCTTCATCAGCCTGTTCCTTCGGCACAGAAGATGCCGGCCCTCTGCCTTCCAGCCAGCTCCTGGGGACGGAGGGCTCTGCCTGGAGGTCTCCCCCTGGCCTTTGACTCATCCAAGCTCTTTCCCCCTCCCCTCCAGTGGGTGCTCTCCTTCGAAATCTTCATCCCGCTGGTGCTCTTCTTCATCCTGCTGGGACTGAGGCAGAAAAAGCCCACCATCGCAGTGAAGGAAGGTAAGCTCCTGGCTACCCAGAGGAATCTGGTAAAACTGGTGAGTCTCCCCGATGGCCGCAGGCAGAAAGTCCACAGGTGAAGCCTTTCACCAGTGGCAAGAAGGCCTCCCCGGGAAGACAAAGCCGAGGGAGGCTGCGCCCTGGAATGAGCCAGCTATCCCTGCCGACGTCCTAGCTCAGAGGGGATGCCTGGAGCGAGCCCGCCTGGTGCAGAAACTCCTGCAGGGATGCAATGGGCAGCCTCTTCCCAGAGCAGCTGCCCCAGCCAAGCCAGATGGCAAGGGTGCTGGCTTTGGGGCCACGGGGGCCGGAAAGGGATTCCCACGCGGTTGCAGCTGATCAGGGTTTGTCTGAAAGGAGCCAACCTCCTGCAAAGGGGCAGGGTCATACGTCTTAATTGAGCCCATTGTAATGGGGAGCGACCTTCAGGTGCCCCCTTTGGCAATGCCCCCTGGCCAACCGTCTGGGGCCTTCCTTTGCCCCCCCAACTGACCAGGGCAAACGGCCCAGATTGCCAGTTCTGCCCTCTGAAGCATCGCCATGATCCGCCTGATTTGCTTTGAGGTTTGTTTTTCTTTTGTTTCTGAAACGTTTTTTTCTTCTTTTCCCCCCACTCTTATTTTTCTTTTCTTTTCCCCGACCTGACTTCTTTCTGTCTTCTTTTGCGCCCGTGTTACCTCTAGTCTGTAAGTTGGTTTCCTTTGGGCTGAAGCCAAGGCTGTTTGCCCTCTAGTTGACTAACATTGTTTTAATCCTGGCTTTCCCCAGTCTCCTGTCACGTTCGTAGCCCTCCCAGTCATGGTGGCGGGTAACCTTTGGGAGTGCCACAGGGTAGAAGGTCCTCTGCAAATTCAGAATCCAAGGCCCTTCCCTAAACACCACCAGCTCCTTTGCAACTTTGGGAATCGCAAAACCCTCCAAAATCAGAACAGCCCCCCAAAAAGGCCGCAAAGGGTTGTTTGCCACCATTGCGATCCACCTCCCTCTAGATCCATATCTAGCTTGTTTATTCCCCCCCCCATCCTGCTTTCTTTCCTGCAGTTGATCAGAGTTGGGCACTGGAGGGTGTGATGTGGCTTCATTCCCTCCTGCCCCACCTAGTCCACCCTCCCCGTCTTTTTAACTTGCCCCCTAGGATGTGGCTAACAGGTTGTCCAAAGCCATCTGCCTTTGGCCATGGGGGATGAAAGGTCACTGGTTTCCTGGCTTCTGAGCTGGATGGGTCACCAACTCAGGCACTTGCAGAACCGCCAATGCCCCCAACACAGAAGCACCGGACAATAAACACAACTAGATCTCGGTGCATGTTTGTTGAGAGACTAAGCGTTCTTCTGAGTAAACCTTTCGTGGAGGGAAATGGTCGGATCAAGCTGCGTCTTTTGAAATCTCTGGAGATCCAGGAATTCAGGCCGGACATTTAAAGTCCAACTTTTTAATGTCTGAAGAAGGGCACCTAAAGATCTAAAACAAAATTGAATTTTTTTTTTTTAAATTGAGTTATGGCGAATTTATCTTTGAGGATTGGTTTTAAACCTCCTAATACTGGGGAAAGTTTTGTTTTGGCTCCAAATTCCACTTGATAAGAGGCTGCCAGCAGACTGGAGTTCCACCTTGGGACAGACACGATGCCAGCTTGGTTGTGTGCAAAGGACCAGCTTTTCCATGCTGGTGTTCTCCTGAGGTGCTGGACTACAGAACCCATACCCCCTTACCAAGTGTCATGGGCCATGTGATCCAGCGCCTCTCAAGAAGGCCAATTCTGAGGGGGAATTTGATGGAAGGACCGCTGACCTTTAACCCTCTGAACCGTCCCTCTGGCTAACTGGAAGGAACTTCCCCAAACTGATCTGACTTTCACGCTGCTCTCTGAACTGGTTGTACGTCTTCTTGCACACCCTGCCAGCTTTCCACCTATCCCTCTTTTCTCACGCTCTTCCTTCTCTAGCTTACTACACGGCATCGCCCCTCACCTCGGCCGGCATCCTGCCCGTCATGCAGTCCCTGTGCCCTGACGGGCAGCGCGACGGGTTCGGCTTTCTCCAGTACTCCAATTCCAGGTGGGTCCGCACGCCCAACGCCCCGGTTTCCGGCATTCTTGACAAAGATGGTTGGCGGCTGGGGAGAGGAGCCTCCCGAGGGAAAAAGGGCTTCCTTGGCCAGCCGAGGCCCCCGGAGCCCTTCAGGGAAGCCTCGGTCGCCCTTCCGGTTGCAAGGGGCGAGTTTTGGCTGTCGTATTTCCGGAGAGCAAGCGTGGGCAAGGCTGGGCAGACTTCAGGCTGTTTTCTCCACCAACCTGGCAAGGGCAAAGGGCTGAAGGAAGCCAGGGCACCTCTCAGGGCGGCCCCCATTCACACATGCCTCCTCCCCCCCCCATCTTCCCTGCAGGGTGACCCAGTTGCTGGAGCGGCTGAATGAGGTGGTGGAGAAGAGCAACTTGTTCCACCCGGATCATGCCGGCCCAGAGGAGGAGTTGGAGTCTCTCCGGCGCCACCTGGAGTCTCTCGGCAGCAGCAGCGGGCCCAGCGCGGTGGAGACTCAGTTCACCAGCCACATAGGTGGGTCGGGGTCCTCCCCTGTGGGGAAGGGCAGGCCAGGATGCAGCTGCTCGTCTCTTCCGGTTGCCCGAAGGTTGCTGCTCTGGGGACAAGCTGAGCTGCTGCCCGCCTGAGGGCGGGCTCTCCCTGCCTGCGCTCCCTGCCCTGCCCTGTCTCCCCCTCCCCATTTACCTCCTTTTGCTCCTTCCTTGGCAGCCCCCGGCTTCTCCCTAGACGCCATCGCCAAGGACAAGACGGAGCTTCACCGCTTCCTCATGCAGAACCTCTCCTTGTCCAACGAGATGGTGGGGCTGCTCACGGGCTCCAGCATCAACCTGAGAGAGGTTGGTGGGGAGGAGCAGAGGCAGAGCGTGGGGGGGGCAGGGAGGGTGTCAGCTGCAGGCACAGACCTGGCGGGACAATCAGGCTGCAGGCTTGGGGGAGGGGGAGGGGGGGGGAAGGGAGTTCAAGGGGGTCAGAGTTTGAGAGTTCTCTCTGTAGGTATACCGGCTTGTCTTTGGCATGTCCCCCGGCTCTGCCGATGGCTTTGGCCCAGTGGACAAGCGGCATCACCCGGAGGTGAGTCTTTGTGTTGCTGGTCATGGCAGGCGGGGGAGCAGAGAGGGAGGATGGACAAGGGGCTGGCTGGGGTGATGGGTGGACTCTGGCTGGTTCAAGAAGGGGGCGAATGGATCGTTCCCGTTTGGTCCAAAAGCCCGGTCCATCTGTCAAAGATCTGGGGGAGGGGGGGGGAAGCATTGCAATAACCGAGGCAGGGAGGGGGCCGGTGGTGTGTAAAAGCCCCGAGAAGAGGGGGATGAAGCCGCAGAGCCTGAGGGGCATCAGCCAGATTTGGAGGGTCTCCAGTTCCACTTCTCCACTCTTCCCCTTCCCAGAAAAGCTTCCTGGGTAGCCTGAAGATGATGGAAGATGGGCTGGTTCGGCAAGCGCTGCGCCACCCCCTAAAAGGCGCCCAGCGGAAGGCCATCCTCCAGCTCTTCTCCCACGCCATGGGCCTGGCCAGCCCCATGGCAGAGACCCCCAGCTCCAACAGCCCACAATCCTTTGTGAGGGACGTGGAGGTGAGGGGGCCAGGAGGAGGCCAGCTGGGGGATTGGGGAGGGGGCTTCAGGAAGGCAGGGAGGGGGCAGCCACCGGCCTCCCCCAGCCCCAACAATCCACTGTGCCCTCACGGCCGGTCTGCTTGCCTGGGGATTCCGACTGGGCCCTCTGGCCATTCCTTCGGTGACCACAATTGTTTCCTTTCCCCCCCCCCAGAACATCCTTTTCACACCCCCTGTGCTGGAGAACCTGACGTGTGGCCAGAACCAGGACGAGCTGAGACACATCCTGGTCATCCCGGAGAGCCAGGAGCCTCTCCTGAGGGCCTATCGCACTGCTGTCTGCAACCAGAGCGCCGGCCTCCGGGCCGACTACTTCAGGCAGCTGGCCGTGGAGATGAAGGACCAGCTGGAAGCGGGCAAGGTGGTTGAACAGGTGAGGTGGGCAGGGGAGACTCTTCTGCGCTCCCCAGCCCTCGGGCATCCCCCTCCTGCCCCGAGAGCCTCATCTTCGCGTCCGGTGCAGGGTCGGGATGGGCACGGACTGCCGAGAGCCATTGCCCCGAAGGGCCTTCCGAGGGGGAGGGGGAGGTCCTCGGCTGCAACCAGGTCTTTCACCCTGCAGCTGAAGCTGGACGAGGTGAACCACACCATGACCCAGAGCCGCCTCCCTGCCCTGCTGGAGGACCTGATGGAAATGGAGAAGGTGCTGAAGGACCTGGACATCCTCTCTGCGCTGGCTAAGCTCCTCCCCAAGGGGGCCTGTGTCGCAAAAGCGCCCCCCATCGCCCCCAACGGCACCGGCTCCGCTGCGAATTTTACCTCTGGCACCAATTCCAGCTCCGAGGAGGGCAGGGCCGAGAGCGAGCTCCCGGCCGAGGATCCCCAGGGGCAGTGCTCGGCATTCGTGCAGCTCTGGGCCGGCCTGCAGCCCATCCTCTGTGGGAACAACCGGTGAGGGCGCCGGGTGCCTGGGCTTTCCCTTGGGGTCAGTGTCCGGAGCCGCTGCTCTGAGCTGGCGAGCGCGGGCATGCCAGTGACCTTCCGAATCTGACCTTTCAGGACGATTGAGCCTGAGGCGCTCCGGCAGGGGAACATGAGCTCTTTGGGCTTCACCAGCAAGGAGCAGCGCAACCTCGGCCTCCTGGTGCACCTCATGACCAGCAACCCCAAGATCCTGTATTCGCCCGTTGGCACCGAGGTGGACAGAGTCATCCAGAAGGTGGGCCGGGCGCAGGAGCAGGCGGCTTCTGCATTCGGGGTTTTGCTCAGTTGATGCGTCCAGGGATGCCTCCTGCCCTCTCCACAAATGTAACACACAGACACACACACACACACACACACCTGGACATCTCCACTTTTGTGTATTGACCTTTGGAGAATCACAGCTAGCGGAGTCTCCCCCGGGCTCCCTCAGCTGCCCTGCCTTTCCCTGAGTTGCAGAGAGATTTGTTTTCATCCGGGGGGGACTCGGCACCCAAAGGAAATTGTCCTTCCTTTGAATATCCCACCTGCAAAGTCCTTGAGGTCTCCTGCTTAATCCCCCCCCCCCATCCCCGCACTACAGGCCAACGAGACCTTCGCCTTTGTCGGGAACGTGACGCGCTACGCCCAGGTCTGGCTCAACATCTCCGCTGAGATCCGCGGCTTCTTGGAGGAGGGCAAGTTGCAGCAGCGGATCGCCTGGCTGCAGCAGGTACGGGGGGGGGGAAACATTGGCTTGAGCCCCCACCCCACCCCGGGCAGCAGGGAAGAGGGCTGGCGAAGGGAATCTGGATTCCGCCCAGCTCAGCTGAAGCCAGAGTGGAAGGGGCTGCCACTTCTCACAGCCCGCTCTGTTTGTCCCCCCCCCCCAGATGGCGGAAGATCTTCACAGGCACCCTGAGATCCTGAACGTCTCTGACAGCTCCCTCCTCCACGGCTTCACGGAGAGCAACCTGTCCCTCTCCAACACCAGCACACTTCTGCAGCAGCTGGACACAATCGACAACGCTGCCTGCGGCTGGATCCAGTTCATGTCCAAGGTGGGTCAAGCTGGGCTCCTCCTTGGAGATTTCACGGTTGGAAAGTCAAGAAAGGAGTCCCAGAAGAGGGCATGGCAGGACTTTTTAAAAATACCTTGAAGATTTAAAGTGTATTTTTGGCATGGGGCCGTTCTGCAAAAAGTCATGGTTTGAAAAAGAAAGGAAGGATTTAAGATTCAGATGGCTTAAAAATACAAACTTCCAGAATAGGCCTTTCTCGCAGAAACTGAGCAGGGGCTGCGGGGTTTTCTGAGCGTCTCCGTCTCTGTCCCCAGAGGCAGGGATTGCCTCGACTTCCTCACCTCTGGGGTGATCACCCCCCCCCCCAGGACTGGGGCAGCCACAAGCAGCCTCCCCTCTGGGGGGACCCTGATTGTGGGGAGTCCAAGCGTCTGACTCACACCTGCCTTTCCCCAGGTCAGCGTGGACATCTTCAAGGGCTTTTCGGATGAGGAGAGCATCGTGAACTACACTCTGAACCAAGCCTACCAAGACAACGTCACCGTGTTTGCCAGTATGGGCCTCACATCTTCCACTCAAGTACTGGGACCAGCAGTTGGGGCACTGGGGTTTCCGGGCAGGACTGGCCTCACTGTAGCCGGGGTGTGGGTGGGTGGGGAAGAGTTCCTAGAAGTGGCCTTCTAACACCCATAATCCCCAGAATTGGTGGAAGAGGAAGGATGGCACCAACAGCTTCAGCACTGTGGACAGCTCCTAGCCTAGTGATTCCATATATTGCAGTTTGCCAACCTTGTCAAGTATTGAGATTTGCAGGTGTCCACTCCCGGAATTCTGGGAGGTTGAGCCTGCTGACTGGGAATTTTGGGAACTGAAGTTCACGTGTCTTTTTTTTTTTTATTAAAAAAGTTTTTATTTTCCATTTACTCATACAAAATACAATTCACCATTGGTACCGCCTGCCCATTCCCCCCAGGCTGCGTCCACCCTCTCTAAACCTTCCCTACTTCCCTCCTCTTTCTCTCCTCCCCTCCTACTCTCTTCCCCTCCCCATCTCCTCTAACCATCCTACTTCCTCCCTACTCCTTCCTCCCCTCTCATCCCTCTCACACACATGAACGCAGCATAGGGGAAATGCCCAAGCATTTGCCATGACTATATAATCATTACCCACCCACTCACCCACCCACCCACCCTCAAACCTACCCCCCCTCACTTCCCAGAGCAGAGTACAGGGTTGTTAATAAGAAGGTTAACAATAATAAAAAAGGGGGAAAAAAGAAAGAAAAAAGAAAAATCATACTTAACCTTTAACTCCCCTTAAATTAAGACATATAAACAAATCTCTACAACAGTTACTATAAAGTTCATGTGTCTTAAAGATGACAAGGTTGAGAAACACTGGTGTGTTGACTTCCTGATTGCAGAACGTTGCGTCTCAGAGCTCCTTCTGTGTGTAAGGCTAATGCAGTCGGTGCTGTAGAGAGATAGAAATATGGATTTATGGGTATGTTGACTTGAGAGCCCACCTATTATTTTAGAGAAGATGGCCTGTTGGTTGAATGCCTCATCCCAGGTCAACACCTGACCCCCTTTGGGGCCGAGCCAGTGTGCTTGCACTTCTGTTGCCTCCCTTGTGGACTGTCTCCTTTCTCCTTTTCTCCCAAAGGTGTGATCTTCCAAACCAACAAGGATGGCAGCCTCCCTCCCCACGTCATGTACAAGATCCGTCAAAATTCCAGCTTCACGGAGAAGACCAACGAGATCCGGCGGGCGTATTGGAGACCCGGGCCGAACAACGGGGGCCATTTCTACTACCTGTATGGCTTTGTCTGGATCCAAGGTGAGCCCAGCTGGCTTCTTCAGGGCCTGAAGAGATGGTCCCTTTTCCCGTCCCAAGTTCTGTGAAGGTGTGTCCTTCGGCTGTGGGTTAACTAAGCGCACACTTCAGCAGCAGTTCCTGGCCCTTCGGTTTTGTTACCCATGCGCTGTCAAGGCGAGTCACCTCTGGGGGCCAGTTTGGGGGCCACAGCGCTGGCCCTCGCAGCTGGAAGAATAGATGCCCTGAGAAGCATCGGAATAAGCCTCAATGCTTCTCTCTTTCCAAAGACATGATGGAGCGCGCCATTGTCAACACCTTTGTCGGCCGTGATGTGGTGGAGCCTGGCAATTACGTGCAGATGTTTCCCTACCCCTGTTACACCCGTGATGAGTGAGTCCCCGGCCTTGGGACGTGGCGCTCCCTGGGAGAAGGGCAGGGAGGGTCTCTTCCCTGGAAAGCCGGAGGCCAAGGAGAAGGCCCAAAGTGCTGTGCTCCAAAGAGGAGCTTCTGTCGGCCCGGCCCTTGACCCACTCCCTCCTCCCTCCCTGGGGGGCTCCTGGGCTGTGGACGAGGCTCCCCTTTCCCCTTCCTCCAGCTTCCTGTTTGTGATTGAGCACATGATGCCCCTCTGCATGGTCATCTCCTGGGTGTACTCGGTCGCCATGATGATCCAGCACATCGTGGCGGAGAAGGAGCATCACCTGAAAGAGGTGAGGCTGCAGGACTGCTTCCTGAGGCCAGAAAGAGACCCAGAGGCAGGCAAGGAAGGGGGGCTGGGAAACAGTCCAAGGGAGCGGAAGGCCATGCTGGAAAGCCAGGACTTAGCCGGACGCTGCAGCTGGGCTCTGCCCAAGCCAGCCTCCTCTCTTCTGTGGCGTTCCCTGCGGCTCGCCCTCCTTGTCTGTGTGCCAGGAAGGCCTTCCCTTCCCGCCGCTGCTGGCGTGGCCGTGTCCCTCGGCCGCCCTGCTTAATGAGACCAGGATGAAGTGCCGGGGCAGAGAGCCAGCCAGCAAGCCTGCCTTTGGGCGGGTGGCTGCATCCCTGCCAGGGAATGGAGAGTTGGCAGGGGTGCCAGCTGCAGGGAGAGATTCCACCCAGGCAGGCAGGCAGGGAGAGGCCCTCACAAGAAGCCCCCCTGTCCGCAGCAATTCTGCCTTGGAAAGGCAGCTGAATTCCCATCCACCCTAGTGCTGAAGATTCAGAACTTCAGAATTTATGAGAGTTTTTGGCCTGCAAACAGGCACTTATCCCGGGGCTGATGCTGTGCCCGTGCCTTGCAGGTGATGAAGATGATGGGGCTGAACAATGCCGTCCACTGGGTGGCGTGGTTCATCACAGGCTTCGTCCAGCTGTCCATCTCAGTCACTGCTCTGACCGCCATTCTCAAATACGGGAAGGTCCTCATGCACAGCGACGTGCTCATCATCTGGCTCTTCCTGGCTGTCTATGCCGTGGCCACCATCATGTTCTGGTGAGGAGGGAAGGTGGCCTGGCTGACCCTTGACCTTCATGTTGAGGGCCTAGGGGCTCCTCCTCTGGCCCAGATTATGATGCTTTGCAAAAGAAGGAGATGTGGTCTCCTGCCTCCCCTGGAGATGCCCTGCTGAGCAGAACAACCTCAACCTTCTCCCTCAACGTAGCCCCTGGCTGAGGATGATGGGCTTGGGAAGCCTGCTTAGTTAAGCCCATTGTTGCCCCAGCGGCAGAACTGCGGCCTGTCGCTGACCTCTCCCCCTCTCTTCCCGCAGCTTCCTGGTGTCCGTGCTGTATTCCAGGGCCAAGCTGGCCTCGGCCTGTGGTGGGATCATCTACTTCCTCAGCTATGTCCCCTACATGTATGTGGCCATCCGGGAGGAGGTGGCCCACGACAAGATCACCGCCTTTGAGAAGTGCATTGCTGTGAGTGCCCGGGAGGGGTGGCAGCAGAGATCTGTCCCTGTGGGGCAACGGCTCCTCTTCCAGCTGGGGGGCCTGGGCTGCTCGTGGTTGGGCATCGGCCTGGCAGAGCAAGGGCATGACCAAGGCGCTTCCAGATTTTTCTCAGCCCCTTGAGGAGTTTTTCACCCTTGCCCCTCTCCGTTTCTCCCCAGTCCCTGATGTCCACCACAGCCTTTGGGCTGGGCTCCAAGTACTTTGCCCTCTACGAAATGTCAGGCGTGGGCATCCAGTGGCACACCTTCAGCCAATCCCCCGTGGAAGGGGATGACTTCAACCTCCTCCTTTCCATGATGATGCTGATTGTGGATGCCGTGGTCTACGGGGTGCTGACGTGGTATATTGAAGCCGTGCACCCAGGTGGGGTTTCGGGGGGGGGGCTGGCTTGCTTTCTCTGCCCCTGCTGGCTGCAGCTAACACACTGGCGGGGAGGGCTCCCGCTGTGCCAACCGGTGCTTTTCCCCCAGGAATGTACGGGCTCCCTCGGCCGTGGTACTTTCCGCTGCAGAAGTCCTACTGGCTGGGAAACGGGCGCACCGAGGCCTGGGACTGGTCGTGGCCCTGGTCAAAGAGGACCCCCCTGAGCATCACGGAGGAGGACCAGGCGTGTGCTATGGAGAACAGAAGGATGGGTAAGGGGCTGGGTGGGAGCAGAGCCATCATGGGGCATGGTGTGCTTCGTGGAAAGCGCTCCCTTTCATTTGCCTGTCTTTTGAAGACTGGCACGGGGGCCCCCGGCCAGGGGGGCTCTGGAGAGGCTGTGCTTTTTCCTCAGACGCCTCAGAGGCAGGACCCCCAACCCCTCTGTTCTCTGCTCTTTGTTGTAGAGGAGAGCCGGGGCATCGAGGAGGAGCCCACCCACCTGCCCCTGGTGGTCTGTGTGGACAAACTGACCAAGATCTACAAGACCGACCAAAAGCTGGCGCTGAACAAGCTGAGCCTCAACCTCTACGAGAATCAGGTGGTCTCCTTTCTGGGCCACAACGGTGCCGGCAAGACGACCACCATGTGAGTGTGGCAGGAGGCAGGGGGAGGCTGGGAGAGGGGGCCTCGGTCTGACCCCCTCCCTGCGCCGCTTCCTCCCCACGCAGGTCCATCCTGACGGGCCTCTTCCCCCCGACCTCCGGCTCCGCCACCATTTACGGCCACGACATCCGGACGGAGATGGACCAGATCCGGAAGAACCTGGGCATGTGCCCGCAGCACAACGTCCTCTTTGACAAGCTGACGGTGGAGGAGCATCTGTGGTTCTACTCGCAGCTGAAGGGCATGGCCAGGGAGGAGATCTGCAGGGAGATGGCCAAGTGGGTGTCGCCCTCCTCTGACCCACCCCCTGGAGCCCCCAGCGGTCTCGGATCCCAGCTCCCATGCTCCCCAGCCGGAAGACCCACTGTGCAGCCTGTTGGGCAGGGGGAGCTTTGGGCTCAGATCCGGGGCAGGCCGGGCGAGAGTCTTCCCAGAGGGATCCCAAGTGAGCCCAGCTGGCTTTCCTCCCCACAGGATGGTCGAGGACCTGGAGCTGACCCACAAGTGCCACTTCCTGGTGCAGATGCTGTCCGGAGGGATGAAGAGGAAACTCTCGGTCGCCATCGCCTTTGTGGGGGGCTCACGGGCCGTCATCCTGGACGAGCCCACAGCCGGCGTCGACCCCTATGCGCGCCGGGCCATCTGGGACCTCATCCTCAAGTACAAGCAAGGTGGGTCTGTCTGGGGGGCAGTTGTGGTGCCTAGCAGGTCCCTGGTCTCCTCCTCCCCCCCTTGATGGGCTCTTCAGCCCCCACGTGGCCCACCTCCCCTTCTTCTGCTGCCCCAGGAAGGACCATTCTCCTCTCCACGCACCACATGGACGAAGCTGACCTGCTGGGCGACCGCATCGCCATCATCTCCCACGGGAAGCTGAAGTGCTGTGGGTCGCCCCTCTTCTTGAAAAGCACCTACGGGGACGGGTACAAGCTGACGGTGGTCAAGAAACAGTCGGACGCCCGGACCAACAGTGGTCAGTGCCCCTCCCCACAGCCCTCCCACGTCCAGGGCAGGATTGAATCCTCAGGCCTTGAGCTGGGGCAGCCGTGACTCTGCCTTGGTCCTCTGGCGTCCTTGGCCTTTCGTGCTTAGGTAGACTTCTTCTGAGCAGAGAGGCTCAAATGGCTGTCAGGCCCTCTGCAGCCCCGCCTCTTTTCCCCAAAACTGCTGGTTTCTTTTATAATCACCCATTTCCGCAGCTATTATGGTGGTGATGCTTCAAATTCTGAATTTTTCCCTTTGGCCCGGCTGACTTTCCCCTCCCTCCCCAGAGACGGGGCTCCCACGCAGCCCCCCCTGCCCCTCGGCCACCAGCCCCTGCTCCGAGGAGCGAGTCACCCAGTTCATCAAGAAGCACGTGGCCTCCTGCCTCCTCATCTCCAACACCAACACGGAGCTCTCCTACATCCTGCCCAGCGAGGCTGTCAAGAAAGGTGGCTTCGAACGGCTGTTCCAGGTGGGCGCAGGGGCTTCACCCAGAGCCCTGGCAGTGCCAGGGGGCAGCTGGGGAGGGCTGCTACAATGGTTTTTAAGTTGAGGGCGTCTTCCTTTCCTCAGGGGAGGGGTGGAAAGACATAAAAGTTGCTTTAAAGCAGTTGGATGGTGATCTCTGGGTCGCTCTTCTTCTCAAGAAGCTAGTCCTCTCGAAAGTGGGTCCTTGCCAACCTAGGTGACCCTGTTCTGCCTCCGTGGGACTTGTAAGCAATTCAAGCCCCTGAAGGAACTGGAGGGTGCTGTCATTAGCCCAGACGGAGCTGATAGTAGCATCCCTTCTGGTTACACAGGTAGACTACCCCTGAGCTGGAAGCTCAGGGTTGATATCCACTGATAGCCTCATCCTGCCCCCCTTTCCCTCCTCGAAATGGGAAAGTGATTTAAAGCCACAAATCTGCAGCTCCTTCTGGAGCGGAAGCAAGAAGTCCTTCTGTCCCCCTGGAGGGAGGGATGGCGGCTTGGCTGAGACACGACTTGCCCAGAGCTCTTCCGGGGAAGAGGCTTGCCAGGCCCTCTCGGAGCCCGAGCCCCAGCGAAGGGGCTGCAGTGGGCCTCCGCCTGATTTCCCCCTGCTCCCTTCTGCAGCACCTGGAGCACCACTTGCAGGAGCTGGACCTCACCAGCTTCGGCCTGATGGACACCACCCTCGAGGAGGTCTTCCTAAAGGTCTCGGAAGAAGACCCGTCCCTCGAGAACAGCGAGGCGGGTACGTGGCAGGGGAGCCGGGCCTCCCTAGCCCAGGGGGTCTCCCGCAGCCCCCGGCAGCCCTTCTCACCCTGCCCACCTTTGCAGATATCAAGGAGTCCGAGAAAGACGCTTTCCCACTGCCCAGCCCCCGCCTCGGCCCCAAGCCCCAGGCCAACGGCCACCCCCTCCCGAAGCCAGAAAGGCCGATGAAGCCCGAGGTGGATCTGGGGAACCTCCTGACCTGCTCGGGCTTGGCTGAGTCCCAGGGGTCCTTGCTTTCCTCCTCCTCCTCTTCCTCGGCTGGCTCCGTACGTGGCGAGGACAGCGGGGCTTATTCGGACTACTCCCTCTTGTTTGGCAACCCGCAAGACCCCGATAATGGCAGCCTGCAAGGTGGGTAGCACGGGAAAAGCCTGGCTGTGTCGGGGGGCAGTTTGAGGTAAGGGGGGACCTTATGGAGGGGCGGGAGGGGGAGAGCCCTTGGTTCCCAATAATATTTTAATTGGCTGTGCCTGTAAGCATCCCAACGGCTGTCCCTTCACGGCTGTGGGCAGAGAACCTGAGTGTGCCATGGGTTGGGGGGGGAGGGTGCTGCCTCCTGGTGCTCGGGCATTCGGGTGGGGGAGAAGAAGAAGGCAGAAGGAGAAACTGAGGCAGGGACCCCATCCGGAAGGTCTCCAGGAGGACAGAGCAGGAAGGGGGCTCCCTCCGTCATGCCTGTCCCCTCTTCGTGCAGAGCCAGAGGCTGACCTGGAAGAGGCGTCCCTGACCAGACAAGGCAGTGTCAAGCTGCAGGGCTCCTGGCTGAAGCTGCGCCAGTTTCACGGGCTGCTGGTCAAGCGCTACCATTGTGCCAAACGCAACAGCAAGGCCATCTTCTCCCAGATCCTGCTGCCCGCCTTCTTCGTCTGCGTGGCCATGACGGTGGCCCTCTCTGTCCCGGAAATAGGTAGGGGGCATCCCTGCCCCCCCCCCGGACAATGGCTCCAGGGGAAGGCTTCTCTGTAGTAAAGGGGCATTTTTGAACCTCGCTGGCATTTTTGCTTTGAGCAAGTGATGGAGCCACTGTGGGGAGGGGGGGGGGTTCAAATCTGAGCTCTTCCTGCCCCTCTTTTCTGCTGCTGAAATGGGGGTGTCTTTCTTATTATGCCCCCCTCTTGTTTTCCAGGTGACCTGCCTCCCCTCATCCTTTCGCCTTCCCAGTACCACAATTACACTCAGCCCAGAGGCAACTTCATCCCCTTCGCCAACGAGGAACGTGGCAGCCAGTAAGAGACTTTGCCCCCTCCCCAAGCCCAGGGCATTTCCCAGGATCTGGTCCAAGAGGGTCTCGGACCTTAAAGCTGAGGGCGCAGCAAGGAGACCCTTGCCCATCTCAGGGGAGAGGAGAGAGATGGGGTAGGATCTGCCCTGGTGACCGTTCCCCTGGGAGGAACCTTTCAAGGTTTGGTTGGAATGAATACCTGCTTTTCTCCTTCACACGCCGCAGATCCGCACAGCGCCCGTCACTCCCAGTCACACAGACCCCTAAGGCCCCCCTAATTCCTGCACAGGTGGGGAGCAGAACGGGCAAAGTGGTTCTCCGCTTGCGATCAGGGCAGTAAATGTGGTCAGCTCTTCAGCCCTTTGCAACAGGAGCCTAGATAAGTAGAGTGGAGCACCCAGTTACCAAGGCATTATATCTGCTCACCGGATGAAAGGACAGGGCAGTAAAAACAGGCCCCTGGACTCTGCCAGGGAGTTCCTGGGTCTGGAGGGCTGGAAAAAAATCTCCTCTTCCTCCTCCTGCTTTTAGCCAGCCAGCGCCAGACGCCAGCGCCCAGCAGCTGGTGAGCACCTTCTACCTGCCCTCCGGCATCGGGGCCACCTGCGTGCTCAAGTCGGCCTTCAACAGCACGTTGGACCAGCAGGTCCAGTCGCTTAACCTCAACAGCAACGAGTCCAAGATGTTGGCGGCCAAGTACTTTGATGCCATGTGCCTGGACTCCTTCACCCAGGGCCTGCCCCTCTCCAACTTCGTGCCTCCCCCTCCGTCCCCGGCCCCCTCCAACTACCCCTTCTCTCTGGATGAGGACCTGCTGCGGGCCTGGAATTCCACCACCTTCCCGCCCACCGTCAAAGGTGAGGGCGGCTCCGGTTGGGAAGCTCCTTCCCAAGGGCTGGCTCAGAGGCCCAGGGGCAGGCTCTGAAAATGGCACCGCCTGCGTCTCTTCTTCGGTTGAGGGGGGCCCCCAGGACAGGCTCCCGGCTTGCTTTTCGTCCTTTAAACCGCTTTTCTGTGTGGCACCTCCAGAGTGCTGGGTTTCCTCGGTGAGTGACACTGCTGTTGGTTTTCTCCCTGCCAGAGACGGTCACCTCCACCCCGGCCCAGCCCAGCATCGTCCATGAGCCCATCAGGTGTACCTGCTCCATGCAGGGCACCGGCTTCTCCTGCCCCAGCGGGGTGGGGGGGCACCCTCCCCAGACGAAGGTGGTGACGGGGGACATACTGGTGGACATCACGGGGCGCAACGTCTCCGAGTATCTGCTCTACACCTCGGACCGCTTTCGGCTGCACAGGTGTGTGTGTGTGTGTGTGTGCGTGCAGGGAGGGGACGGGGGTGTCCCCTACCCCCCAGGAGGAGCTCAGGCAGGTGTCTGTTAGTGAATGTGGCTGCTGCTTTCCTGTCCCAGGTATGGAGCGGTGACCTTCGGCAACATCCAGAAATCCATCCCGGCCTCTTTTGGGGCCAGTGCGCCCCCCATGCTCCGGAAAATTGCTGTCCGCAGCACTGCCCAGGTAAGGGCTGGCTGATGCCGGTGGGCAGCCCAGAAGCACCAGCCGGATGGGCTTGAACGGGGGTTCCTATTCCAGTTGCCAGGGGCCCTTCTCTCTGCCCCCCCCAAGCCCCTGGGCCAACACTCCGCCCCCTGCGCCCCCCTCCTAGGTGTACTACAACAACAAAGGATACCACAGCATGCCCACCTACCTCAACGCCCTCAACAATGCCATCCTCCGTGCCAACCTGCCCAGCAGCAGGGGCAACCGCGCAGCCTATGGTGAGCAGTGGGGGTGGGGGGAGAAGAGGGGCGCTGGTGGGCCAGGCAGAGGGAGACTCTCAGGCACTCATGCTGAACTCTCTCTCTCTGCCCCCCCAGGCATCACCCTGACCAATCATCCCATGAACAAGACTAGTGCCAGCCTTTCTCTGGATTACCTGTAGGTGTTGTGTTGATTTATTTACTGGTTTGTTTATTTTACTGGCTTGTTTCTGCACTGTTTTCATGACTTGGGGTGGGGGGGGGTTGAGTTTCGCTTGGATCCCACCTGTCCCCTCTGGCAAGTGATGAAAGCTGCTGTCGGGGCAGGGAGGCGAGGGCTCTCCTGAACGGCCCAGGGCACTCGTGCAGCTCAGCGGGAAAACCATCCCAACCTCGCAGGGGCATCGCCAAAGCTTTGGGGCCAGCGGGGCCGGGCTCTGCAAGGGGGGCGGGGTAACCCCGAAGCAGAGGGACATTTACAGGCTCGTCAACCTCTCCTCCTCCGCTCAGCCTGCAAGGCACCGACGTGGTCATTGCCATCTTCATTATCGTGGCCATGTCCTTCGTGCCGGCCAGCTTCGTCGTCTTCCTGGTGTCCGAGAAGTCCACGAAAGCCAAGCACCTCCAGTTCGTCAGCGGTTGCGACCCCGTCATCTATTGGCTGGCCAACTACGTCTGGGACATGGTAGGCTGGCCGGGGCGTTCGTGTGTGTGTCTTTGGCTGGGACCCCCAAGCCATTGCAGGTGTGGAGGGGGTGACTTTGGGGGCAGGGGGGAGCACTGCCATGCTGAGCTTCTCCTTCGCCCTTCTCTTCTCCCTCTCCAGCTCAACTACCTGGTGCCAGCCACTTGCTGCATCATTATTCTCGTCGTCTTTGACCTGCCGGCTTATACCTCCCCCACCAACTTCCCTGCGGTGCTGGCCCTCTTCCTGCTCTACGGGTGAGGGGCGGCTGAGGGGGGAGCGATCGGGCCCTGCTGAGGGGGGGGCCTCCCCTGACTCACTTGGGGGGGCTGCTGGGGGGCGTCTCAGCCTGAGGCAAGACTCCGCTTGCTCTCCACGTTGTGCTGCTTTGGGCAAACGTGAGTCTCACGGAGTGAGGGTCTGCCCTGGAGGCCACCGCAAGGGTTAGGAATAGAGCCTCCACCGTGAGAGGAAGTCTACCTTCTGGAGGAAGGAGCCGGATGGGAAGGTCTTTGCGCCCTTTCCCCAGGTGGTCCATGACGCCCATCATGTACCCAGCCTCCTTCTGGTTCGAGGTGCCCAGCTCGGCCTACGTCTTCCTCATCGTCATCAACCTCTTCATCGGCATCACGGCCACCGTGGCCACTTTCCTCCTGCAGCTTTTTGAGCACGACAAGGTGGGTGTCAGCAGGGAGCTGAAATCAGGATGTCAGTGGATGACTGATGTAACCCCTTCCCCCAAGTGGGGGATAGTCTCTGCCTTCAGGTGACCCTTTTCTTCAAAAACGACTAAAGGGGTGGAGACGGTGGAGACGCTTCTTGTTCTGTGCACAGAAGCAGAGCAGCCCCAAAATCTGGGGGAGGGGACTGGGCTGGTGCTGCTGCAGCCCTTCCTTAGTGCCTTTTCCTCTGTAGGACCTGAAAATGGTAAACAGCTACTTAAAAAGCTGTTTCTTGATTTTCCCCAATTACAATCTGGGGCACGGACTCATGGAGATGGCTTACAACGAGTACATCAACGAATACTATGCAAAGATCGGTAAAGTATTTTTTTTATTATTTGTTTATTAAATTTGCTCTTTGCTTTAGCCTCGTGATTTCTCCTTCCTGTTTTCTGTGCCACAATTTTATTCCTATAAGATTGCAAGCTTTTGAACGTGTGCAGAGTGGTTTCTTAATCCTGGCTTGCTTAGTGTCAGCTTGCCTTAGATCACCTGGGAAATCCGAGAGGAAAGCAGGGCGTCCTGGCGTTCCCTCCTCTGCACCTCTTAGAGTTAGCAGGAAAACGTTTGTTAAAAGAAAAAGGCAACCTTGGGGCTTTTGTGTTTCACTGGAAAAATAGCTCTGGGAAAGCAGGAAGCAGCCTCTGGTGACCCCGAAAAGCCCTGAGCCGAATTCCCCACCCAACCAAAGAAGCCCCCACCATTGGGGGGCTTGGGTCCTCTCATCCCCATTTGTGCCTCTCTTCCTGTAGGGCAATTTGACAAGATTAAGTCTCCCTTTGAGTGGGACATCGTGACCAGGGCTTTAGTCGCCATGACTGTGGAAGGCTTTGTCGGCTTTTTCATCACCATTATGTGCCAGTACAACTTTCTCCGAAAACCACAGTGAGTGTACCAGTGTGTGTGTGTGTCCAGAAAGGGGATTTCTGGGAAGTTTCATTCCCGTCTCAGCTGGGCAGCTTGGAATTGCGGTCCTGCAAATCTCTGCTGGGCTGAGTCTGCCACTGAAGAAGCAACTCCTCTGCCCCCTCCTGCCCCCCACCCCCCACCCCAGGCGTTTTCCCGTCTCCACCAAACCCATTGAAGAGGACGTGGACGTGGCCACCGAGCGGCAGCGAGTTCTGCGTGGGGATGCCGACAACGACATGCTCAAGATTGAGAACCTCACCAAGGTGTGTGTGCGTGTGGGGGGGGAGGTGTCCATTCGAGGCAGGCTTGGCTGGAGCAGGGGGCTCAACGGGAGCAAGGGTTGGGGGCAGGAGAGGGTTGGGGGGGGTGTCTCCTGCAGGTGGAAAGGCCTGAGGCCCCCAGGCTGAGGAGAGGCTCTTTCCCGTGGCACCAGGTGTACAAGGCCCGCAAGATTGGGCGCATCCTGGCCGTGGACCGGCTGTGCGTGGGCGTCCGGCCGGGGGAGTGCTTCGGCTTGTTGGGTGTCAACGGGGCAGGGAAGACCACCACCTTCAAGATGCTGACGGGGGACGAGACCACCACCAACGGCAAGGCCTTCATCAATGGGCACAGGTGCGCCTGGCGGGCAGAGGTGGGAGCTGGAGGGTCCCTCAGGGGCTTCCCTTCTTTGGCCCTGGAATATCCTGGGAATTTACTATCCCAGATTTAAAATGGGGTCCTTTGCACCCAGAGCAAGAAACAAGAAGCGTGAATGCACTGGCCAGTGGAGCCTCCCTGGACAGACAATACTGTTCTGATGGACTGGTTGCAGGAAAGCAACATGAAGAGAACAATATGTCTTCCTGCTAGCTGTTAGAATCCTCTGCTGATCTTAGCTTCTTGTAATTTTTCTCTAAATCCATTTATTCTCTGCTTCATTTTTCATTGCTGTTTGCTTTGAGCGATGGGTCCCGTTTTCCTTTGAATGGGGCTGGGCTGCTGAAGCCCCTTTCCTTCCCACCAGCCTTTCGGGGGGGCTTCCGGGGACCCCCTGGGCAGTGATGAGCGCCTCGCCTTCTGCTCAGCCCGGCTCTTGGTTTCCACAGCATCCTGAAGGAGCTTCTGCAGGTCCAGCAGAGTCTGGGCTACTGTCCGCAGTTCGACGCCCTCTTTGACGAGCTGACGGCCCAGGAACACCTGGAGCTCTACACGCGGCTGCGCGGCATCCCGTGGAAGGATGAGGAGCGGGTGAGGGAGGGGCCAGAGGAGGCGGCTGAGACAGACACAAATCCCGCCCATCTTCTGGGTTTTCCTTAAGAAGGAGAAGGCAGCCGCTGCTTCTTCCGTGTAGACAATGAGTCTGTGGAACTCACCCCCACAGGACAGAAGGGGCTAAGGCCAACCCCCTCTGCAGGGGCTGTGGTGGAACTTCTGGCTGGCCACAGTGGCGGCTGTTGGGTTGTTCTTTGTGAGTGTGAGACCCTTTTTCCTTCACGGCCCAGGTGGTCAAGTGGGCGATGAAGAAACTGGAACTGGCTAAATGTGCCAACAAGCCCGCCAGCACCTTCAGCGGTGGCAACAAGAGGAAGCTGTCCACCGCCATCGCGCTGATCGGCTACCCTGCCTTCATTTTCCTGGTGAGGAGCGAACGTGGGGCAGAGACTCGGCCGGAGGGTGGCGGGTGATGCTTCTCTCCTCTGCTCTGGTGCTCTGACGCCACCCTGGCCTCAGGAGCCTCCCCAAGGTGGTGCCGAGCAAGGGAGGCTCGGCCAGCCTGGGCCCAACTCTGTCCCCTGGTCCCCTCCATCGCCACAGGACGAGCCCACCACCGGCATGGACCCGAAGGCTCGGCGCTTCCTCTGGAACCTCATCCTGGACATCATCAAGACGGGCCGCTCTGTGGTTCTGACCTCGCACAGGTAGGCTGGGCACACAGACAGCCGTGGCTTCCTGAGATGGGCTGGATCAGGCCGCAGCTGCAGGGCGGCCAAGAGCTGGGGGAGAGCCGTCCCCCCCGCCCTTCCTTTCAGCTGCACCCGTCTTCCCTCAGCATGGAGGAGTGCGAGGCGCTCTGCACGCGGCTGGCCATCATGGTGAACGGGCGCCTCAAGTGTCTGGGCAGCATCCAGCATCTCAAGAACCGGTGAGCCAAGGGCGCTGGGTGGGCAGAGCACGGGCACCTCAGAGCAGCTTCTTCCTGGGCCAAGCCTGCTGAAGCCCTCCATCCTGGCCTGGGGGCAACGCCCCGATGTGGAGCAGAGCCTCAAGTGCCCCGGTCCAGGAGCAAAGGCCTTTTGGCCCAGCTGCCCCATCCCGGATGGCCGTTTTCACCTCCACCCCAGAGCTGTTCCCGTACCTGGCCGGGAGGGCGGCTCTTGCAAAGAAGCCCCCTTTCCCCCCCTTGTTCCCGGACAGATTTGGGGACGGCTACATGATCACCGTCAGGACCAAGTCCAGCCTGAACGTGAAGGAGGTGGCTCACTTCTTCAGCCGGAACTTCCCGGAGGCCGTCCTCAAGGTTGGGGCAATTCTTGGGGGGGAGAAGGAGGGGCTTCATCTGGCGGGGGGAGGAGGCACTGACTTCCCTGCCTTTCCTCCCTCCCCCAGGAGAGGCACCACACCAAGGTCCAGTACCAGCTGAAGTCGGAGCACATCTCGCTGGCCCAGGTCTTCAGCAAGATGGAGCAGGTGGTGGACGTCCTGGGCATTGAGGACTACTCCGTCAGCCAGACCACGCTGGACAATGTGAGGGGCCACCGGGGTCCCCTCTTCCCTTTGGCCACCTGCTTCTGTCCGAGGAGAGGACTCGGCCAACCCTGTGCTCGCTGCATTGGCAGGGCAGCGTCACTGGCTGGCTGAGCATGATGGGAAGGCCCACCCAGAGTTACCAATCCTGTCCACGCCACCCCAATCCCTGACCAGGGGAGGCGGGTCAGGCGCCACCCCCGTCACGGGGTCCAGCCTGACTTGGCAGCCTCCTTTGCAGGTGTTTGTGAATTTTGCCAAGAAGCAGAGCGACAACCTGGAGCAGCAGGAGAGCCTCCCGCCCTGCTCGATGGAGTCCCCCCTGCAGCGCCTGCTGGACCTCCTGCGGCCCCGCGGGGCCCCGACCGAGCTGCGCACCATGGTAGTGGAGGAGCCCGAGGACCTGGAAACGGATGACGAGGGGCTGATCAGCTTCGAGGAGGAGAGGGTGAGCCAGGCCGGGGCAGAGGAAGGGCCGTGGGGGGCAGGGGGGCTGGCCAGGCGGCCTGTGGGGACGGCAGCCTCCCCGGGGCAGCGCCCGTTACCTTTGGTCTTTCCTCCTACCCCTCCCCCCAGGCTCAGCTCTCCTTCAACACGGACACCCTTTGCTGAAAACGGAGGGGACGTGGCGCTCGGCTGTGCAGCCCCCCGCCCCTTCCCGCTTGGCGGCTGCCATCCTCGGCCTCTCTGCCCGACCGGACCAGTGAGCGGGACGTCCCGGAGGTGGCGAGAGGAGGCACTGCCCGAGCCTTCGACCTGGGTGGCCCCCAGGATGGAGCTGGCCTCGTGTCCTTTCGCAGATGGCCAGGCCTGGACGTGACGCAGGCCAGCCGTGTGAGAAGACTTGGGGAGGACCGTTTATGCAGAGGAGCAGCTGCCTCCACACCCCACGAACCCCACAGTTTTGGGCATTTGTCCTCGGAGAGACTGCGTGCCGTTGGGCCTCACTGCCCCTTCTGCCAGGTTGTGTTGGATCCGACTGCGGAGGCGGCTGGGTGGTGCCGGCCTTTCTGGCAAGGGAAGCACGTGATGCCAAGGGGAGGGGATCCCCTGGGACAAACCTCAGGGTGGCGTCCAGGGGCTTCTCGATCCCTCCCAGGACATCCGCTCTCCTCTTTCCCCTCTCTCCCTCAGCCCCAAGACCAAAGCCCCCGGGCGGCTGCCTGAGGCTTGGAAAGGGCTGGGCCTCTGGTTCCCTGCTCAAAAGGGAGCCAGCCCCCCCCCCCGAAAGCAGCCCAGGGCCGTGCCCGTTTCCTCTAACCAGGCTTGGAGCTTTTTGCTTCCGGATCTGCTTTTCAAGGCATCCAGCACCACGACTGGGCCCAAAGCTTCCCAAGTGGCCGAGGCCCCCCAGGAGCCCTCCCCCCGCTCGGGAGTGGGGCGGCAGCTTTCCACGCCTCTGCTTGCGCCCTAATCCGGCATGGCATGAACCGGAAGCCTCCAGCGAGATCACGAGGGCCTTTCCAGCTCTCGGCTCTCCTGCTTGCGGTCCCGGTGAGCCCGTGGATCCGTACAGTTGCCTCTTCACCAAGAGGAGCCGAGGGGGTCTTCTCCAGCACCCGGGATTGCCTCAGATGTGTGGGACTCCAACTTGTGATGCCCCAGCAGGTGGCTGGGGAAGATGGGAACTGTAGTCTGAAGTGCAAGGTGGGGCTGCAGTTAGAGAAACCTGGGGCACCCTTTCCTGCTGGGGAATGGCACCCCCCCTCCCCCCGTGGCAACTTGCCCTCCCCCCTCCGGCTGTCCTGTTTGCACTGACCTTCAGAGAAGCCAAGAGGCCAGCAGGGCCCCCCCCCCAACTGAAGAGGAGGGGACACCTTGGGGACCAGGGCCAGGATGGCTCCCTTGCCAGCGAGGCAGCTTCTCAGCACGGAACAAGCGCAAATCGTATTTTGGGAAAGAGGGAGGTTTTAGACAAAGATTGCATCGGTTTATTTTGGGCTTAGCAAGCACAATGTTGTTTTTTTTATTTATTGGAGCGCTGGGGAGGGGTGTGGAGGAGAGTGTGTGCCTGGGCGGCGTGTGGAACTGATTGGGACTCTGCTGAGTTCTCTCTTTCCCCACAACAGCTGTGGGCCTTTGCCAGTCCCCTCTCGGGGTCCCCCAGGATGGGGGTGAAAGTGGGCCCTGAAGCCCCGGCGCAGAGGGAGACACCAGGCCAGCTGCAAAGAGGCACCGGCTGCGGAGGGTGCTCTGGTGAGCCGGCCCCTTCTCAGCCGGGGTCTGGTCTGCTGGGCCCTCCGGCCCTTCTCTCTTGAGCCCCGCTGGGGCGGCTTGCTCTCTCGGCAAAGAGCCTGGCTGTTGCTAGAACCGGAAAACCCAATGTGAAAAATAATTACTGTTTTAATAAAAAAGCGACAATAACCACTTGTTGTTTGGCAGAGATTTTTGTGGGGGTCCTGGGATTTGCCTTGCAAGGGTGAGCAGGAGCAAAGAGCGAATCCCACCCCAAAAAACACGCTCGAAGAGGAGGCGGACTGCGGCTGGTTCGGATTTTGTCTGGGCAAGTTGTGAGCGGGTTTAAGAGCGACACCACCATCCCTCCTGCAGGGTGGGGCGTCTTGGTTCAGCCCCTGTTCACTTACCTGTGTTCGGTTTCTTAAGTCATTTCCCCCTCATCAAGACAGGCTGGGGGCGATGGGGGCAGGGGGGCTGCTTCGAACCCCGTCTTTCGGTCCTGGGCGTGGCAGGCTGGCATGTTCCACGGAGCCACCCAGCCGAGGGTTTAATTACGCCCACGCCGGGAACACCTCCTTAATCTCACGGCAGGCCTTCAGCGATCAGGGGGATTGTCCTCCTGTCAGAATACGCCCGCTATTTTAATATTCCCGGAAGTGGGGTTCTTTTTGAAAGGAGGCACACCTTGTCCCTGCTGCCCCAGGCCTGGGCTTTCCAGAGACGGGGTTAAGAGATGTCAGCGGGAGGGTGTTGCCGGGCCAAGGGGGCGCTTCAGCCCTGCAGGAGGAGGTGAAAAATGGGCTCGCGGCTGCTCTCCATGCCAGCCGTTTGCAAGGCTGCCTTGCTTGCCCTGAGCCCCGCTGGGCCCCCCTGGATCTGGGTCTCCGAGAAAGAAAAATGAAATTCAGCCCCAGCCTGAGAAGGATGAGCAGGGGGTGTACAGTACATACCTTTGCAATCAGCATTGTTGTTGTTTTTTGGTTTCCCTTTACAAAACCCAGCCTTCCGGCCACCTCAGTATCTATCAGACCAACCAGGCAGGATGGATTCTTCCTCCCAGTGCTAGTTTTCCATTGTCCAGATCCCCCTCCGGCCTTTCCACCCGGACGACAGTCTCTGGCGTGACACGATGGAGGGGCTTCCCGGAGCTGCCCAAACTCTCTCCGGCTGCCCAGGGACCCTCGGCTCGGACTCTGCCCTTCTGCCGGTGCCACCCAAGGAACCAGGGAGTGGCCGGGATTGGGTGGCTGCGGAAACAGGGCGTTGGGAGGCGAGGAAGAAAGAATGCGGCTGGTGAGGCTCACAGGAGGGTGTGTCGAATTTATAACGCAGATCCGAACGGGTGCTGGACAGCTTTCCCTGCTGGGGCCGAGAGAGGATGGCGGAGGGCTCCAAGCTCCAGCTGTTTGTCAAGGTAAGGCTGGCTCTTGGGCTGGGGTGCTCCAGATGTGGCCCTCGGGTGCCGTGGCCAAAGTCACGGATTGAAAATGAAGGAAGAGCCTCAGGAAGGTCCCATCTCCTAACCAAGGTGTTGGAGAGCCGATAAGCTGAAGGGCAGAGGGGAGAAGCCTCCCCTGACCGTCTCCGGCCTCTGGGCTTGGAGGGGCTTTGTCTGGAGAGGGCCCTCCTGTCCTTCTCCTCACCTGGACCCCAGCCTTCCTTGGGGTCCCAGCCTCTGCTCTCTTTCCAGCTGGGAGGCAGGCCCTCTTGGTCCAAGCCACACCAGGACCTGCCCAGCCATCCTCCCCAGACTTTCCCCTCAACATCTGGCCGGGGGGAACCGCCAGCCCTCCAGTGGGGACCCGGGGTGGGGTGCATCTTGCAGGGAGGCCCTGGGAAGACTGAGTGCAGCCTTTCCATGCACGGGCGGCTGCAACGGTCTTAATTCCCCCCCTTGGAGCCGATCTTTTGGGGTGCAGCTGTGCTCAGAGGAAGCCTTTGCCCAAATCCATTTCGTAAAATGCAACTGCCAAATCTCTGCCCTGAAGTCCTGGCGGAGGGAGCCTCTCCCGGCTAACCTGAAATGCTGCCTGAGTTTTGGATTTGGCCGGGCACCAATCCTGATCCCCGCCGAGAGACGGGCCAAGGGAGAGCACTCTGGTGCTCCACTGGGCGCAAGGCAGCTGGCTGGGCGGGTGGGAGCACATACCCAGCACCCGCGTTCCCTCCAAAGGCAGGCCAGGAAGAGGGTGGGAGGCAATCGTCTCCCCATCCCATAATTGCCTGCGCTTATAACTTGCCTAATGGGACGGAATTGACAAAGGTTGATACTGGACTGCAATCCTGGAGAGTTTTGACAGCAGAGCGAAAGGCTTAAAGGCCTGTTTCTGCTGGCTGACCTACTTCAGTGGCACAGTCCTGGCCGGGAGGATGGGATTTGTAGTCCCACACATTCGGTGGACGCTGTAAGGAAAGATGGCATGCTGGTTTTAAATCTGGTCGGCCCAAAAAGGCCGTGGGGTTTGCAGGAGCTCATTCCTCCTGCCAAACGGCCTCTCCCCTCCCTGCCCCATCTAGGCCAGCGCTGACGGGGAGAACATAGGGCACTGCCCCTTCTGCCAGCGCCTTTTCATGGTCCTGCTGCTCAAGGGGGTCCCCTTCACACTGACCACAGTGGACACCAAGAGGTAAGGGCCACAGGAGGAGCCGGCGTCTTGCCTGCTGACCGTTGGCAGCTCTCCTTTGCCCCAGGCAGGTGATGGGGATTGTTGCCCCACCCACCTGGGGGCCATGGGGTTAGAAAAGCTGCCCTAGAGCCTGGTGTGGGGTGTGGGGAAGGTTGGGGGCTGTTGGGGAGCTGCATCTGAAAAAGGGGGGTCTGTGTCTTCCTGGCTGCTGGGAATCTCCCTTGTGGGGCTGCAGAAGGGGCAGAGCCCTCCAATTCCCAGGCTCAGCCCCCTTTTTGACACCCCCCCTTACAGGTCCCTGGACGTCCTGAAAGATTTCGCCCCAGGAGCCCAGCTGCCTGTCCTGCTTTACGACGGGGATCCCAAAACAGACACCATCAAGGTTGAAGAGTTTCTGGAGGAGACCCTTCCCCCCCCTGAGTAAGCGGTGGGGGGCCCCAATCCAGTGAGGGGCTGGAGCCAAGTCCTCCTTCCGGGAGGGGGGGTTCAAGAGAAAAGAGAAGCAAGAGCTGAGCCAGAATGCCTGCCTGCTCTGCTCTCCTTTCTGTCTTTTCAAAGGCAAGGCAGGATTCTGCCCACTGTGCAGATAGGGAGACTGAGGCAAGGAGCCGCAGCAGTCAGCATTCCTCTGTCTTCTCCGGCAGGTTCCCCAGCCTGGCACCCAAGTACCAGCAGTCCATCTTGGCCGGGAATGACATCTTCCACAGGTTCTCTGCCTACATCAAGAACCCGATACCAGCTCAGGACAAAAGTGAGAGAGAAGGGGCTTTGGACTACAACCCCCATCCTTCCTAGCCAGCATGCTCCAGTCCTTTGGGGGACTGTGCTGAGCCACTGAGGCTCCGTTAGAGCAGCACAGGGGAGGCCCAACTACCTTCCTTTAAATTTGCACCCGGGGCAAAGTGGGGAAGGGCGGCACAAGAAGAGACACGGTCCCTTGCCTGCAAGGAAGGGGTCTGGCCAGGCTCAGATCAAACAGGAGAAAAATCTCCCCTTGGTCAGCGAGTTGAGTGGCAGCCAGTGGGGGTGGGGGATGTCCACCAGCAAAATGGCCTCCTGTCTCTAGAAAAGGGGATGTGAGCAAGAGGTCAAGCGACAGGGACGCGGCTTTGAGCATCTCAAATACCAGAGTAAAACCATCTTTGGAAAGTGTGTGTATCTTTAGAAGCTCAGCCCTGGCTGGGCTGGGAAACAAGGCGGGCTGAATCTTTGGTTTCGGAAGAAATTGCTGAGTTTCTTATCTGTCAGAGGTTGCAGAGTAGCAGACCAAGCCCCCACGTTAGAGGCAGTCTATCTGTGCACTGCCATCTGCCCTAGAGGATAGCTTATTGGGGTGTTTTCCCCACAGCTTTGCTCCATGCCCTTCTCAAAGGCTTCCATAAGCTGGACCAGTACCTGAGCACCCCTCTGGACTACGAGCTGGTGCGGGACCCCCAGCTGATCATCTCCCGCCGGCGGTTCCTGGATGGGGACCAGATGACCCTGGCCGACTGCAACCTGCTCCCCAAGCTCAACATAGTTAATGTGAGAAGACCGTGAGGAAGGCAGAGCCCCCTTCCTCTCCTCCCCCCCCCAGTGAATCCCCCTGGCTGCCCTGGGCACCCTTTCCCCCCCCTGGGCATTTCCTGGGGCAGAATTCTCCGCCACGTCTCCTCTGGGAGCACCTAACGTATTCAAGGAAGGAAGGGCCTCTTCTCCACCCCACCCTCCATGGAGCCATAATTATCCCAAAACGCAGCACAAACAAAATTGGGTATCCCGGGAATCTCGACCTTCCAGTTTGGGATCATCTTGAAAACAAAGTCAGCGGAACAAAGGGACGGCTGGCACAGCCACTCTCGACTGACCTAGGCTTCCCTCCCCTCTTCTGCAGGTTGTGTGCCAGCACTACCGCCAGGTGAGCATCCCCAGAGAGCTGCGGGGCATCAGGCGCTACCTGGAGTCTGCTGCCGAGACCAAGGAGTTCCAGTACACCTGTCCAAACCCCCAGGAGATCATCCAGGCCTACCACGGCGTGGTCAGGCAGCCCCAGTAGCCCCCTGGCTAAAGTCGGGGTTGGCTAGCTCTGCCTGGCCCCCACGACGCCCCCTCCTTCTCTCTCAGAGTCACTCAGAGGGGAAGGAAGCAGGGCAGGTCCAGATCAGTGGGACCTCCGTGGGCACGGTCTTCAGGCGGGTCCAGCATCGCCATCTTCCCTCCCGCCAAGGCAGTGGGTGTCACGCGATGTGGTCAGGCCCTGGAGCCCTTGGGCAGTGCTGGCAGTGCCCATGTGCTGTGGTGGTCCCTCTTCTCTGGAGGGCTCTGCTCACTTCCTCTTGACCAGATTCAGCCCGGAAGATTTGAGGGAGGAGAGTCAGCTCCCTTCACCCCTGCAAAGCTGGCTTTAAGGCCTTGAAGTGGGGCTGGGGGCTTCTTAGGAAGCTTTGCTGAGACTGTGAGACCCTCGCTGGAGCAACTCTGCACACGATCTGGCTCTTGGGGGGTGGTGTCACAGCATGTCTGCATTTCCACATTCTCTCTTCATCCATGGCTCTTTTTAAATACCATATCCACCCCCCAATGTCCAATGCTTTAAATGTCTTTCCCCAAAATTAAATAGATGCTAATATACCAATAGAGAATATAGAATCCGTCGGTTTTTGTGTCCTAGTCAGACTTCTTTCCCTGGAGAATCAGTTAGAATTGAAATATTCTCTCCCTGTTGTCCAACCCCCCAACCCCCCCAGCAGAAATTACCCCCCTTAGTCCAGACTTCTGTTCTCCCCCCCCCATCCAAAGAATTTGGCCCAGAAAGAACAAAATGGAAAGTGAGTAAAATCACTTAATCTTCTTTCTATACAGCACATACAAAAATATACTTGGCATAGTTTTAAGGCTTAAATAATTTTAAAAACATCCATGATGAAGTAGTTCTTTCCCATTTGATTTGGAAAACAGTTCAGGCATCTTCAAAGTCGACCCCCGTCGGGGTCTTCTTGCTAGAGCAAAAGGGGAGACCCCGTATGAGCATCCTTCATGCCTTCAAACGCCCCTCCCCCCCTTTTGCCCCCCCTGCCCTGCCAGGGAGCTCAGCACCGCGAGCGAGGGTTCCAGCCGCCCCTTTTCTGTTAGCAGAATTGGCATGAATCCTCGCAGGAGACGTTCCCGGGGATGTGCATGATGGGTCAGCTCCCTCGAGCAGCCCAGGAGTTACCTTCTGAATCCAGGGTTAATGAGGGACTCCCCAGGCAGACGCCACTTGCTCGGACCAGCCCCTCCTCTGGGCTTCCGCGGACTGAAGTCTGGGGGGGGGGGCAGAGAAATCACAGAGACCTATTCCTTGGGTAACCCAGACTTAGGGGTTTGGGGGGAAATTGCTACTTTTCCAGCAGTTTGGAGCATCCAAAGAGGGGGGTGAGGGCCTCCTGGGGTGGGTGTTCCCAGAGGGCGGCACCCACCAGACCCAGGGACCGTTTCTCCCCGAGAAGGCCACCTTTCCCCCTGGACTGCTTAGGCATCAGTACAACTGGGTTTCTACAGTCTGGTTTTTCCGGCCTGGGAAGCCAGATCTTTCGAAAGGGAGGGGCTGGGGGCAGGTTGTGTCAGCTTTCTTCCCTCTCTTCCAGACTGGTTTGGCTGGGAGGGGCGGAAGTGCCCCCTCCCGGCTGGAGGCCGCCTCTTACCTGCTCCCAAGAGGCTCTGGCTTGGTGAGATCTTCTCGGGGCTCCTGTGGGCCAAGGCGGCGGCTGTGCCCTCTGGGGAAGGAGGGAGACGAGGAGAAGGGGTCAGGCCCTGGGGCCCCTGAACCCGGAAACCCTCCAGGCCAAAAGGGGCCTTTTCCTTTGGTGTTTTGGCCGGGCTCGAACGTCCCTTCAGACGTGCTTGTGCTTAAGCTGCCTTGGGCAGTTTATACCGAATTTAACAGGAGCTCCATTCAGGCAAGAACCCCCAAACGCCGTTCTCTGCCTTCCCTCCACTCTTCGCTTCCCCTGGCCCCTGTCCCCAGGAAGAAGTGCATCTCTCTGCCTTGAGGGCTGCGGCTCCCTCCCTCGCTCTTTTTCTTATGTGCCAGGATTTGCAGCCGCCCAGGCCCTGTCCAGGAGCCCGGCTGCACCTTCCAGGCGTTTCTCCAGCGTCTGCAGCTGCTCCACCAGGCCGAAGGTGAGGTCCTGCAGCTGCCGCCTGGCCTCGGGGAGCGAGGCTTGGTCCAGGTCGAAGGTCACGCTCTGCCCGCCGTCCTGGACCTGCAGCGTGGCCTTGCTGTCGTGGAGGGCGAGGATGGGCATCTGGCCCTGCAAGATCTCCCTGCAAAGAGGCGAGGCGTGACCGGCTCTGCCGTGAGGAGGTGCCCAGGAGGTGCCAAGAGGCAGAGCTGGGCGGGCACTGCAGCCACTCTGAAGTAGGAGGACAAGGAAGTGGATCCGCTTCCGATCCGGGGAGTCAACGGTGGCAGTGAATAGAAACAAGGGCGCCACCTCTCAGCCCCGGCCGGCATTTCCCCTGCCGGCTCTGCCCTCTTCCCTCCAGCTGCCTTCCTCCAAAGGGGTCCCCTCGGAGCCACGGGCTGCTGAAAGAGCCTCGAGGAGGGGGGAGGCGGCGGCCGAGCTGCCCGCCTGCGGAATCCGCCCGAGGAAGCCAGGGAGGGCGCAGGACCATGGCCAGCAGCCCCACTCACCGCAGTCTGGACAGGCAGCCGGTGGCGGGAGAGCCCGGCTCCTCCTGCGCCGAGAGGAAACGACAGTCAGCCCCGCAATCCGGGCGCCCGCCGGGCTCACCCAACGCGTAGGGGGCGCGAGGGGAGGGGGGAGCATTCTGCGATGCAGTGCAAAGGACCCCCGACCCAGGGAGGAGGAGGGGGACCCCGCGCACCTGCCCGCTCAGCTTCTCCGGAGGGACGCTGCAGCTCCAGAACTCGCAAGCGTCGGTCAGGCTGCAGGCAGGGAAGGAGGGGAGAAAGAGGGTTGGCCAGAAGGGGCTTCTCGGAGGCAGGAGCCCGGCGGGGAGGGGGGCGGCGGTTCCCAGATTCTCCGGGGGAGCGCAGGCTAGCCTCCAGATCCGAGAATAAAGTGGCAGAGAAGGGGAGCTTCGGAGACATTTTTGAGGGCCCTTTTCCAGGCCCTCTGCACACGCTCAGGGGCCAAGGAAGAGGTGGCCGGGGGCAGATCCGAGCGCAAGGGGATCCCGACGCCGAAGGGCCGTTCAGCACTTACTGCAGCCGCGGAGAGGCGCCTCCGTCCCCGCAGAAGCAGAGGAACCGCCGCCCGCCGTGGCTCACCACGCGCAGCGGCCCCGGCGGCGCCATCGCTCCCGGCGGAAGCGCCCAGGACCGGCGGTTCCCGATGGCCGCGCTTGGTCCTCGGAAGGGCGTCCGGCCGCCGGTGGGTTCCCGCTAGAGCGGCGAGGCAGCGGCGCCTACCGGTCGAACTCCGCGGCGGCGGCTCCGGCCCCCTCCGCCGGCCCTGCAGAGGGAGCTCTGGCGAAGGGAAGGGAAGGCGCCATGCCGCCCGCCACGGCAGCCAGCTCGGTGAGTGGCTCGGCCGGCGGCGTCTCGCGGGGGCGCCGGGGGACGGGGGGCAGCAGGCAGCGGCCGATGGGCGCGGCGCGGGTGGGGGGCGAGGCGAGCGAGGCGGGCGCCTGGATGGGGAGCGCGTCTGACAGGGGCCGTCTCTTCCGCACTGCAGGAGTGCGCCCTGTGCGAGTCTTTCGTGCGCCTGAAGGGGCTGGCCGTGCTCGCCATGGGTAAGCCCCCGCCGTCTCAGGGGGGCCTGCCTGGGGTGTCCTTGGGCTGCGTCTGGATAAAGAGTGAAGGGCGAAGGGGGGGAGGCTAATCCGTGCCGGCCTGATCCTCTGCTTGTGTCCTTGCAGGTACCGGAGTGGCCTTTGTTGTTCTCCGGAAGCCCCTTCCCCTCCCCTGGAGCGCCCTCTTCTCTCTGGGTTGGTATTTCTAGGGAACGCTGTGCGCGCGTCCCCCCTCCCCAAATCCCAGAGGCAATCCGGCCCTTGGGGTGGGAGGCCAGGCGTTGCCCCCTAAGATCCTTTTCCCTTCGGTTAATCTAGCAAGCCCTATAAAAAGCCCCCTGGGGCATCCTCCGACTGAGGCCCCTGAGGGGGTCCCGTCAGAGGGGAGATGCCCCCAACTCTGATCGGATGACCCCCTTGGATTGGGAATAAAGGCGACTTGAGTGGGACCTTTCTCTTCTTGGCCTCCTGCAGCTGTGGCTGCCTTACCCAGCTATGCAATTACCCGGAGGCAGCTGAAGAAATGTGCTGACTTGTGGGACTTCCAGCCCCCCCCCAAAGGTAGCCCATAGGTGAGCAATGGGGGGGGTTGAAGCTGTTCAAAGACTGCAGCCCCCCTGCAAATCCCTGAATTTCGAGCCCAACCAGGAAGACACCGACGGCTGCTTAGGAGAAGCCATGCAACCATTTGGAACTTCGTGCAATGTGTGAACAAAGTCGCAGGTGCCAGGCCTGCATTGCCCTCCCCCTGGCAAAGGCTGGCAGATTTTATGCCCTCGGTATAAAGGACTCTCCCTTTGACTGGATTGCAGTTCATTTATTTTATTTATTAATTTTTAATACTTGGTTCCTCAATTCCTGCACAGATGAAGGGGGGCAGATGGAAAATGCCCCAAACTCTGCTAAGGCACGTCGAAGTAACTGTTTAAAGATCATTTAATCATGTAAATGTTGTAAAATGCAAAGTTAGCTAATCAAAAGCAGAGGGGATGGACTAGATGCCCTTTGGAATCCCTCAGGGGAAATCCCCGTCAGCTGAAGGAGCCCCCTAAGCCACAGGCCTGATTTTCATTTCGGTGCGCTTGTAGGAGTAGTGGAAGCCTTTCCCCGTTCTCCAGTTGATGCCGTCCGCATAAGACTGGTGTGCTCCCAGCCAGTATTGCCCGTTGAGGTTGGAGTCGTGGCACTCGTTGTACCCCCAGGCCCCTTTGCGCTTCTCAGCACAGTTGAGCTTTGGCGGGTCCTGCTGCTTCTCTCCGGTGGAGAAGGGCATGTGGTTGTGGTAGGAGAGCGAGTCCCCTGGGGGAAGGGAGGTGGGCGAGTGCCCAGAAGGCCAGCCCAGGGCATCTCCAGGGCATTGGCCAGCCAGGGAGGGTGGTCCTTGGCCTGACTGGCACTGCCCAGCCGGGAGATGTTCCTGGAGAAGGACTTTACCTGCAGGGCCCCCAAGGAAGTTGCCCAGAGTCAGCCGATACTGGTCATGTTCCTCTGCCACCTGGAAGGATCCATACTTGGCGAAGGAATGCCGATTCTCAAAATCCATGAAGTCAATACGCAGCTCGTACTTTCCTAGGGAGGAATTGAGAATCAAGTCCACACCTGTATAAACTCACGTGTGTGTGTGGTTCACACAGTGCGTTGCTCAGTCCCCGAGACCCACAGCCCGGAGAGAAGGGCCAGGCAGCAGTTCTCCCCAGCAGGAGGGTCCAGGGCTGCGAGGGAGAAGCCCCTCACCCAGCGAGGTCAAGAAGTGAAGGTGGTCGTTCCCCAGCCAGAATTTGCTCAGCTCAGCTACCAAATCCCCTCTTGTAGGCAGCCCAGTCCTGGAAAAAGTCCACTGAGTCATCCGACCGTCCCTGGAAGACCTGCGGGAGACAGCCGGGCCCCTTAACCTTCCCGCTGGGCAGGCCCCCAAATCATACCCTTCCCTCCCTTCCCAAATGGGGGACCCCAGAACTGCCCGTCTCCACCCAGAGGTGCTGGGCCCCCTCCCGGCGTCCCTCCGGTCCCCCTCCTGCCCCTGGGGGAGCCTCGGTTCCTGCTTCCTCCCGTTCCTGGCAAGAGACGGGCGAGCAGAAAGCTTCCCTCCCGAGTGGGTCTGCCGTGGGCCGGACGCACAATCCATCCGCCTCCGTTGGTGTGTGTGTCGCACAGCACCCGCAGGGGCCGGCAGTCCGGGGGTAGATGGTGTGCCAGCCGCTGAGGACCACGCCCTGGGACAGGAGCTCCTTGCAGCTTCGGGCACCCGGGCAGAAAGGGAGGCAGGAGAGGGTGGCCCTTCTGACTGAGGCAGTCCAACCCCCCCCCACTTTTAGTGCCCCTTGCTTGAAGCTCCTTTCCCAAAGCGCCCTGCCTCTCCTCCTCCTGGCATCGGACTCCCCCTGGTTGCCCCATTACCTTTTGGCCCAGGGGCCCCAATTTCCCCAGGGGTTCCCTGCAAGCCCCTTTCCCCTGTTAAGGGAAGGCAGAGTGAGCCTCCAGGCTCTCTTCCTGGGGGGCAGGGGGGCAGCCCCATCCCGGCCACTATTCAGTGCAGGCTTAAACCAGGGCAGGAGGCTACGTCGAAGGAAATGCCCGCTTCGGGAGAGGGGATTTCCACAGCTGGAGCGCCAGGAAGAAAGGGGATCCCGCCCCCTTGTGCCAGTCTTCTTTTGCAGCACGTTCCTCCTGCCTTATGACAAGGGGGAGGGGCTTCATTGGGAAGGGGTCAGATTCGGGGGCTACCTTGCCCCCCCATCAAGACACACACCTTTGGCTCTGGGAATGCCTGGGGGCCCCTGGGGCCTTGATCATCCAGGTGAGCCTGCACTTTAGGATTGTCAGACAGCCTGCACTTCCCTGCAAAACAGCTATCATCTGGTTGGCATCCACGCCCAATCGGGCAATGTCATAACTTCTCAACCAGTCTTTCCGGGTTTTGCCCCTTCCAGGGATGGGGTGCCTTTTCTGGGTTTCTGGGAGCCCTTTATTTATTCTGAGATGAATGGGTGGCACTTGGGGGGCCCTGAGGTTTAGGGGTGGGAGGGCAGGTGATTAAGAGCTCCTGCTGGGCTGGGGCAAGAGAGCCAAGGGCCCCCCAGGAGCGCCAGGCCAAGCGCCTGTGAGGGAGGAAGGACCCCTCAGCCCAGGAGGCAAGGTGGCCAGCAGGCTGGGGGGGGGCACTTTCTTCGGGAGAGCAATGAGGAAAAGCACACACAATTCTTTTGTTTCCTGTGTTTTATTTGCACTTTGACAAGCAAGGCTTGGCATCGGCACTCTGGCTGGCAGGAAGAGAGATAGGCGCAGGGGCCCTTTTAGCAGAGACGGGGTCTTCGTCCTTTCCCCACTGGGATGGGGGTTTGTAATAGCCCGAATCTCTACTTCTCTGCCTTGAGCTTTTAGCAGGTTTCTGCAGAGGAGAGAAGAGAGAAGAGTCATCCCAGCAGCAGCAGGAGGAGGAGGAAGAGGAGGAGGAAGAAGAGAAGGCATCCATCTCTGAAGTGCTGATGAGCCCTAAGTATCTCGAAGCTCAGCTTGTGAACATGACTTGAAATGAAGGAAAACTCCCCCAGGTCTGCCCAGGAGAGTTTCCACCAGCCCAGAAGTGGTGATTGTGAAGGACCAAAGGGTTACCTAGCTGGACGCTGTTGACAATTTCTGGAATTATCCCCAGAGAGATGGCAACAGTCTTCAATTTCTCCCTCAAAGCCCGCGTCAGGTTGGGCTGAGTGCCTAGAAGCAAACAAGGAAGTGGGTTGGGTTGGCAGGAAAACTGAGGGATGGAGGAGGGGGCTGCTTTGGCTCCCCCCAAATTCCCTGGTTGAACTTCTGGGAGGGATGGAGAGAATTGGAGGGTGGAGATCTAGAGGTACAGGAGGGAAGGGCTTCCCTTGGGGCAGAGATTCTTGGGGGGCAGGAGGGGGAGGAGACGTCCCTCACCTCCCAGCTGGCACTCCAAAGATGGTGGTGGAGGTGGCCTAGTGGGAGCAAGAAGCAAAGGGAGGGGCCTTGGTTTGCTGCCAGCAACATTAAGAAGGGTGAGGGTCTCTCCCGACCAGCCCCCCACCCAGCTTTCTTACCGGCAAGCGCCAGGAAGGTATCCAACTTTCTGGCACCCCGTGTGAGGTGCGCAATGAAATAGGTATTGTAATCCGTTTCCACAAAGCGAACGGTACTCGGGGCTTCATTGAAAAAAGCGTGGAGAGGCTGTTTAGTCACCTTCCGGGCAGGAGCCCTGCATACCTCCTCCCCACCTGTCTCTGGAGTAGCTGCCATCTTCCCTGGGTGGCTTGGCCCATGGACTCGATTGTTTCCTGGCCTCAAGGAGAAGTGTCAAGGATGAAACTGTGGCAGCTACGTGCCTCTGCGTTTCAACTTGCCTTTAGATTAAGGGGGGAAGGTGTTACTCTAAAGTGGGTAAGATGGAGAAACGAAACTTCTACAATTCTGCTGAAGACCATGAGAGCCTGAAACCTTTTCAAGGACACCAGAACAGGTGTGGATTTGAAGCAGACGGTTCCCATAATAAAGTGAAATTGTTAATATAGAATACGTAAGACATTGGGGATTTGGCTGGGAAAATTATTTAAGGCTATGAATTGGTGTTGGAACCTCAGAGTTAGTTTTCCTTCAACATTACCATGCAGCTTATTGAACAAACAGTAAGATTTTCGGGAATGGAATGAACCTGGAGTTCTGTTTGGATTCTCCAGCTGGATGTTGACAAGAGGTGCGGGCTTCTCTTGGGCAGGAGGGGGCAGGCTCACCTCCTGCCTTGCCCAGTGGGGTCTTTCCACACTCTCCAAGGACAGGCAGATGAAGCCTCTTACAGAGGGGGGAGGGGAGAGGAACAGGTGGGGCAGTTGCTCTGGGAAATTCAGGATCACCAGTTGGGCAGAAAACTGTGACTTCGCCAGCCCAACCTGAAAACTCCCGTCAGTAAGTCCAGATGAAGGAGGGAGGGAATTCTCCACTCACCGTTGGTCACATAGTACCCTGGCCGGCCCTCTTTATACATCATTATCTCTTCAGTCTTGCATATGCCGTTTCTGTAAAGAAGAGTAAACCACATAAACCTTTGGGAGGGGTCATGATGGACCCAAGCCTGGCCCCCTTTCGGTGGGAGCCGGAAGAGAAGGGTTGCAGAGAAGAGCCGGGCCAGCTGTTACTTAGCAGCGCTGGAAAGGAAGAATTGAAGGCTGCCTTCCTTTTTCTTTCTTCAATGAATGAAATGGCCAGAGCTGCCGGCCAAGGCACAATTGCCTCACAGCACAGTCTCCTACTGTCAAATCTCAGGAACAACCCCCCCCCCCAAGTTTTGGAAAGCCTCAATTTCTACAAACGTATTTCAGTGGGCTTGTTTTCCCAGCCCTTCACTTTCTGTGCCTCGGCAAGCATCTCAGACCTGGACCCCAGACCGCCTGCCAATATTGGGGATGATGGATATGGGAGTACAAAGCGTAGAAAGGCTCCCAGCTGCACCCCCTTTTCCTCTTCCCCCACCTGCCCTCTGGGGGACAGGAACCGTCCACCCAGCCAGCGAATTCTTTTCCTTATGGCAGATCCCAAAACTTACTGGGGAATTCTAAGTCTGTACTTCAGGTTTCCATTTGGTAGGGCCACAAATTGAAACACAGGGAAGGCCACAGTCACCATCTGTCCAGTAGGAACGGACGCAAGAGGATACCAAGTCTTGGCAATCTAGAAAAGGAGAAGCCGGGTTAGTTTCTTAGCACTGAAGGGGAGGGGCTCTAAACTCAAACTCCCTTGCACCATTTGTAAGGAAAGCCGACCCTTGCGGGGCTGATGATGTTCCCTAGTTGGGTCGTGAAACACCTCCTAGCCAACCACCCAGCACCAAGGGCCCCCCAAGCTCCCCCGGGCTTCTCTCCTACTTAGGGTTGGGAGGAGAAGAAATTCCTTCCAGCATTTTCAGCTCTGACCCTTTGGTTATCGAAGTTTGGCACGATGGGGATGTCCCTTATGGCTCCAAGCCGGCAGACGCCAGCCAGGAGAAGGCTGCCCAGCAGGAGATTCATTGCTGCCACTCTGTTGCCCCCTCTGGGTGCTCCGCTTTGCCCGCTGCTTTTATCCTCTGGACGCTCAGCCAGGTGAATCCGCCCTTGTCCAGGAAGCTATTGAAAGAGGACAGCACGGACCGTTGACAGGAGAAAAGGGGCCCGGATGGCTGCCCTTGGGAACACAGCAGGAGGGGACGTTCCCTGCAGAAATAGTAGCTTGGGAGCAGCACCTTCCCTCCTCAGCAGCCGCGGAGTGTGTGCGCCACTGCGCCCTGCCTGGCCTTGCTCCTTTGGCTCCCCAATCCCTGTTTGACCTGCTGGGGAAAGATGGAGACAGCCGAAGGGGGGGGGGAAGAGACACAAGGAGGGAAAGGCTACCTCAATCTCCCTCCTTCCTCCCCCCACCGTGCCCCTCAGCATCTCTTCCAAAGGGAATCCCTTCCCTCTCTTTGTCTTGCTCTCCCCCCTTCAGCAGATTAAAGCAGGAGGGTCCAGGGCAGGCGGGAGGCAGAGTCCAGCTGGCATCATGGGCAGAGCTGGCCGCAACCTGTGGAGGGGCAGAGAAGTCCACCTGCCCAGGTGAGCAGCAGGCAGGTGAATTCTGGGGGAGATGGGAAATAAAGCTCTGCTTTAAAGAAGAATGTGCTTTTTCACCCCAAATGTTTTCCTTTCATTCCAGAATTGAAGAGGCCGGGCTTGGCTGGCAATAGAGGATGGAGATCCTGCGGGGAATTTGAGGCACCTGTGCATGCTCTCAGCCTCCGTGAACGGCTTCCTTTCAACCAGTCGTTCTGGGTTTTGCCCTTTCTCCGGACGGGGTGCCCTTTCTGGGTTTGTGGGAGCCCTTTATTTTTTCTTGGAGGGCCCCTAAGGTTTATGGGTGGGAGGACGGGTGACTAAAGGGCTGCTGCTGGGCTGGTGCAAGAGAGCCAAGGGCCCCCCAGGAGGGCCAGGCCAAGCGCCTGTGAGGGAGGAAGGACCCCTCAGCCCAGAAGAGACAAGATGGCCAGTAGGCTGGGGGGGCACCTTCTTTGGGAGAGCAATGAGGAAAAGCACACACAATTCTTTTGTTTGCTGTGTTTTGTTTATTGTTTATGTATTTCACCTGCTGATCCAGGGGAATCCGCCCTTGTCCAGGAAGCTATCAAAAGGGGACGGCACGGACCATTGACAGGAGAAAAGGGGCCCGGATGGCTGCCCTTCGGAACACAGCAGGATGGGACGTTCCCTGCAGAGAGAGCTTGGGAGCAGCGCCTTCCCTCCTCAGCAGCCTTGTGGGGGGGGGTCATTCACGCTAGGAAGCACCCCACTGCGCCCTCCCAGCCTTGGTCCTTTGTTTCCCCAATCCCTGTCTGACCTGCTGGGGAAGGATGGAGAGAAGCGAAGGGGGAGGGGGCAACAGAAAGCCAGGGACAGGCTTCCTTTGGACCACAGATGCTTAAAGGCATTGGGGGGGGGGAGAAGAGGAGATTGAGTGGGCATGGCTGGACCCTGGCAGTGCAGGGCGATTCTGACCGGGGCTGTCGCTTCCGTGCTGCAGGAGTGCGCCCTGTGCGAGGCTTTTGTGTTCCTGAAGGAGCTGGCCATGCTCGCCATGGGTCAGCCCCCATTGTCCCAGGGCTGCCTGCCTGGGGTGTCCTTGGGCGATGTCTGGTTAAAGAGTGAAGGGCAAAGGGGGGGAGGCCAATCCGTGTGGCCTTAAAGGTGCCGGCCTGATCCTGTGCTTGTGTCCTTGCAGGTACCGGAGTGGTCTGTGTTGTTCTTTGGAAGCCCCTTCCCCTCCGCTGATATTTGGTGAAGGAATGTATTTTTGAAATAAACTCAGAAAAACAAGAGTTGGCACCCTGTTTGCTCCCCTTCCCTTGAAGAGACCAAATCTGGAAAGACCGGTTGAGAAGCTATGACATTGCCTGATTGATTACTTTAAGGATTAAGGAGTGAATAATTTTAATTGCACAAGAACTTTGATCTGAAGGTCAAATGCCTCTTTCCCAATTAGAGCCCCGTTTTACCCTCCAGGTTGGGCTGAAATCAGGGAACTGAATGGATTCAGTGCTCTTAAAGATGCCAGCTGGTTTCCGCCTCCATCTGCTCACCATTCAGGTGTGCAGCAGGCAGGTGAATTTGGGTGGAGGGGGCAGATAGCATCCCCCCCTTTGGAAATGGGAAATAAAGCTCTGCTTTGAAGAAGAATGTGCTTTTTCACCCCAAATGTTTTCCTTCCATTCCAGAATTGAGGAGGTCAGGCCCGGCTGGCAATAGAGGATGGAGATCCTGTGGGGAATCCTGTGGTGAGCCTGCTGGGGGGGAGGGGGAGCTGCCCCCTGGATCTGACCCCTCCCCCCTTGTCCCCAGGCAGGAGGATCGTGCTGGGGAGGAAGAGCGCTGGGATTGGCACAAGGGGGGAGGGAACCCCTTTCTTCCTGGCCCTCCAGCTGTGGAAATCCCCCCCCCAAAGTGGGCATTTCCTTGGGCTGACCCGCTGTGGCTGGGAGGGGGCCTGGCCCAAAAGGTATGGGGTCCACTGGGGGATTCCGATTCCAGGGATTTTTGTAGGTGTGTTTTGTTTGTATGTGCAGCTGATGCAATTATACTTATTTCACTCGTTAATCCTTCAAGTCATCAATCAGGCAACATACACGACTTTTCAACCAGTCTTTCTGGGTTTTGCCCCTTCTATGGATGGGGTGCCTTTTCTGGGTTTGTGGGAGCCCTTTATTTATTCTTGGGGAGCCCCTGGGGTTTACGGGTGGGAGGGGAGGTGACTAAAGAGTTCTTGCTGGGCTGGTGCAAGAGAGCCAAGGCCCCCCCAGGAGGGCCAGGCCAAGAGAGGAAGGACCCCTCAGCCCAGGAGAGGCAAGATGGCCAGCAGGGCGGTGGGGGCACCTTCTTTGGGAGAGCAATGAGGAAACGCACACACAATTCTTTTGTTTCCTGTGTTTTGTGTACACTTTATTTGACAAGCAAGGCTTACTATCGGCCCTCTGCGGTCCTTTTAGCAGAGACGGGGTCTTCGTCCTTTCCCCATCGGGGTGGGGGTTTGCTGTCCAAATCTGCACTCCTCCGCCTTGAGCTCTTAGCAGGTTGCTGCAAAGGAGAGAAGAGAGAAGAGTCATCCCAGGAGGAGAAATGAGGAGGAGGAGGAGCTTCCTTGATGTGCTGATGAGCCCTAAGTATCTCAAAGCTCAGTTTGTTAACATGACTTGAAATGAAGGAAAACTCCCCCCAGGTCTGCCCAGGAGAGTTTCCACCAGCCCAGAAGAGGTGATTGCAAAGGACCGAAGGGTTACCTTCCAGGACGCTGTGCAAAATTTCTCCAGTTATACCCAGAGAGTTGGCCACCGTCCTGAATTTTGTCTCCAAAGCCGGTGTCAGGTTGGGCTGAGTGCCTAGAAGCAAACAGGGAGGTGGGTTGCTTTGGCAGGAGAACTCAGGGGGGCTGCTCTGGCTCCCCCCAAATTCCCTGGTTGAACATCTGGGAGGGAAGGAAAGAATCGGAGGGGGAGGTGTAGAGGCACAGGAGGGAAGGGCTTCCCTTGGGGCAGAGATACTGGAGGGCAGGAGGGGCAGGGGATGTCCCTCACCAAGGAGGTCCCAGCTGGCACCCCAAAGAGGGTGATGGAGGTGGCCTAGTGGGGGCAATGTTAGGAAAGGTGAGGACAAGGGTGAGGGTCTCTCCCGACCAGCCCCCCACCCAGCTCTCTTACCAGCAAGCGCCAGGAAGGTATCCGAATTGCTGCACCGTGTGATGTACGCGATGAAATAGGTAAGGTAATCTGTTTCCACAAAGCGAAGGGTGCTCGGGGCTTCATTGAAAAAAGTGTGGAGAGGCTGTTTAGTCACCTTCCAGGCAGGAGCCCTGCATGCCTCACCCCTCCCCCCCCCGCCTGTCCCTGGAGTAGCTGCCATCTTCCCTGGGGGTGCTCAGCCCATGGTCCTGATTTTTTCCTGGCCTCGAGGAGAAGTGTCAAGGATGAAACTGTGGCAGCTACGTGCCTCTGCGTTTCAACTTGCCTTTAGATTAAGGGGGGAAGGTGTTACTCTAAAGTGGGTTAGATGGAGAAACGAAACTTCTACAATTCTGCTGAAGACTGTGAGAGCCTGAAACCTTTTCAAGGACACCAGAACAGGTATGGATTTGAAGCAGATGGTTCCCATAACAAAGTGAACTTTTTAATATGGAATACGTAAAACATTGGGAATGTTTGGCTGGGAAAATTATTGTTTAAGGCTATGAATTGGCTCTGCCTAGTGGGGTCTTTCCATACTCTCCAAGGACAGGTGGATGAAGGCTCTTGTGAAGCGATGGGGCAGTTGCCCCGGGGAACTCAGGATCGACAGTCAGGCAGAAAACCCTCTTTTCTTCGCCAGCCCAACATGAAAACTCCCCAGGCAGCAAGTCCGGCTGAAGGAGGGAGGGAATTCCCCACTCACCTCTGGACACGTAGTCCCCTGGCTGGCTCTGTTTATTCAGCATCACCTCTTCAGTCCTGCATCTGCCATTTCTGGGAAAAGGATGAACCGCATAAACCTTTGGGGCGGTTGTGGCGGGACCAAGCCCGTTCCCCTTTTGGCAGGAGCCGGAAGAGAAGGGTTGAAGAGAAGAGCCTGGCCAGCTGTTGCCTGGACCCCAGACCTCGTGCCCGTATTGGGGATGATACATGTGGGAGCCCAAAGTGTGGAAAGGCTCCCAGCTGCACCCACTTTTCCTTCGGGTTCTTCCCCTCCTGCCCTCTGGGGGACAGGAACCCTCCGCCTGGCCAGTGAAGGCTGTTCCTTACGGCAGCTCCCAAAACTTACAGGGGATATCTAATTCTGTGCACCAGGTTTTCTTTTAGTTGGGCCACAAATTGAAACTGGCAGAACTCCACACTCCGCACCTGTCCAGTAGGAATGGACAGAAGAGGATACCAAGCCTTGGCAATCTAGAAAAAGGAGAAACCAGGTTAGTTTGTTAGCACTGAAGGGGAGGGGCTCCACAACCCAAACTCTTCGTGCCAGGGCTGCGTAAACTCCCTTGCACCATTTGTAGGGAAAGCTGACATTTGCAGGGCTGATTGTGTTCCCTAGTTGGGTCATGAAATGCCTCCCAACCAATCACCCAGAACCAAGGGCCCCACAGGGCCCCCTGGGCTTCTATCCTACTTAAATTTAGGAAGAAAAAAAATTCCTTCCAGGATTTTCAGCTCTGACCCTTTGGTTATTGAAGTTCGCCATGACGGGGATGTTCGTTGCATCTCCAAGAGAGCAGACACCAGCCAGGAGAAGGCTGCCCAGCAGGAGATTCATTGCTGCCATTCTTTGACCCCTCTGGGTGCTCAGCTTTGCCCGCTTCTTTTATCCTCTGGACGCTCAGCCAGGTGAATCCGCCCTTGTCCAGGAAGCTATCGAAAGAGGACAGCACGGACCGTTGACAGGAGAAAAGGGGCCCGGATGGCTACCCTTCGGATCACAGCAGGATGGGACGTTCCCTGCAGAAAGAGCTTGGGAGCAGCGCCTTCCCTCCTCAGCAGCCTCGCTCTGTGTGTGTGTGTGTGTGTGTGTGTGTGTGTGTGTGTGTGTGTGTGTTTTCATTCACACCCGGAAGCACCTCACTGCGCCCTGCCCAGCCTTGGTCCTTTGGCTCCCTGTTTGACCTGCAGGGAAAGGATGGAGAGAACCCAAAGGGGCATTGGGGCATTGGGGAGAGAACAGGAGGGGACAAGACAAAGCAAGGGAAGGGCTTCCTTTGGGCCACAGATGCTTTGGGCATTGGGGAGAGAACAGGAGATTGGGGGGACAGCGTGACAGCTGAGGACGAGAGCAAAGGAGAAAATAGCCGGGGAAAAACAGCCAATCTTATATGAGTCTTCCCATCTCCCAGAGCGGCTTTTGCGGATGTTTGCTCCCATTCAAAAGTGGGACCAGTGAACCCAGCAGAAGGATTCCTCAAGGCAACTAAGTCCCAGCAGGTAAAACTTTATTGTGTACAGCATTTCAGAATTGAAGAAGGAGAACCAGCTCTGAGTTTTCCCGTGCGAAAGCTTGCTTAGTTAGAGAATGGATTCCCTTCTCCCCACCCACCAGGTGTTCATATTGCCCCAAAATAACACTCCTTTTTGTTATGGGAACAGTCCACTTCTCCATCGAGCACCTGTGCATGCTCTCAGCCTCCGTGAATGGCTTCCTTTCAACCAGTCGTTCTGGGTTTTGCCCTTTCTCCGGACGGGGTGCCCTTTCTGGGTTTGTGGGAGCCCTTTATTTATTCTTGGAGGGCCCCTAAGGTTTATGGGTGGGAGGGCGGGTGACTAAAGGGCTCCTGCTGGGCTGGTGCAAGAGAGCCAAGGGCCCCCCAGGAGGGCCAGGCCAAGCGCCTGTGAGGGAGGAAGGATCCCTCAGCCCAGAAGAGACAAGATGGCCAGCAGGCTGGGGGGGCAAGTTCTTTGGGAGAGCAATGAGGAAAAGCACACACAATTCTTTTGTTTGCTGTGTTTTGTTTATTGTTTATGTATTTCACCTGCTGATCCAGGGGAATCCGCCCTTGTCCAGGAAGCTATCAAAAGGGGACGGCACGGACCATTGACAGGAGAAAAGGGGCCCGGATGGCTGCCCTTCGGAACACAGCAGGATGGGACGTTCCCTGCAGAGAGAGCTTGGGAGCAGCGCCTTCCCTCCTCAGCAGCCTTGTGGGGGGGGGTCATTCACGCTAGGAAGCACCCCACTGCGCCCTCCCAGCCTTGGTCCTTTGTTTCCCCAATCCCTGTCTGACCTGCTGGGGAAGGATGGAGAGAAGCGAAGGGGGAGGGGGCAACAGAAAGCCAGGGACAGGCTTCCTTTGGACCACAGATGCTTAAAGGCATTGGGGGGGGGGGAGAAGAGGAGATTGAGTGGGCATGGCTGGACCCTGGCAGTGCAGGGCGATTCTGACCGGGGCTGTCTCTTCCGTGCTGCAGGAGTGCGCCCTGTGCAAGGCTTTTGTGTTCCTGAAGGAGCTGGCCATGCTCGCCATGGGTCAGCCCCCATCATCCCAGGGCTGCCTGCCTGGGGTGTCCTTGGGCGATGTCTGGTTAAAGAGTGAAGGGCAAAGGGGGGGAGGCCTGTGCTTGTGTCATTGCAGGTACCGGGGTGGTCTGTGTTGTTCTTTGGAAGCCCCTTCCCCTCTGCTGATATTTGGTGAAGGAATGTATTTTTGAAATAAACTCAGAAAAACAAGAGTTGGCACCCTGTTTGCTCCTTTTCCCTTGAAGAGACCAAATCTGGAAAGACCGGTTGAGAAGCTATGACATTGCCTGATTGATTACTTTAAGGATTAAGGAGTGAATAATTTTAATTGCACAAGAACTTTGATCTGAAGGTCAAATGCCTCTTTCCCAATTAGAGCCCCGTTTTACCCTCCAGGTTGGGCTAAAATCAGGGAACTGAATGGATTCAGTGCTGTTAAACATGCCAGCTGGTTTCCACCTCCATCTGCTCCCCATTCAGGTGTGCAGCAGGCAGGTGAATTTGGGTGGAGGAGGCAGATAGCATCCCACCCCCTTTGGAAATGGGAAATAAAGCTCTGCTTTGAAGAAGAATGTGCTTTTTCACCCCAAATTTTTTCCTTCCATTCCAGAAATGAAGTGGCCAGGCCTGGCTGGCAATAGAGGATGGAGATCCTGTGGGGAATCCTGTGGTGGGCCTGCTGGGGGGGGAGCTTCCCCCTGGATCTGACCCCTCCCCCCTTGTCCCCAGGCAGGAGGATCGTGCTGGGGAGGAAGAGCGCTGGGATTGGCACAAGGGGGGAGGGAACCCCTTTCTTCCTGGCCCTCCAGTTGTGGAAATCCCCCCCCCAAAGTGGGCATTTCCTTGGGCTGACCCTCTGTGGCTGGGAGGGGGCCTGGCCCAAAAGGTATGGGGTCCACTGGGGGATTCCGATTCCAGGGATTTTTGTAGGTGTGTTTTGTTTGTATGTGCAGCTGATGCAATTATACTTATTTCACTCGTTAATCCTTCAAGTCATCAATCAGGCAACATACACGACTTTTCAACCAGTCTTTCTGGGTTTTGCTCCTTCCACAGAGGGGGTGCCTTTTCTGGGTTTGTGGGAGCCCTTTATTTATTCTTGGGGAGCCCCTGGGGTTTACGGGTGGGAGGGGAGGTGACTAAAGAGCTCCTGCTGGGCTTATGCCAAGAGACCAAGGGGACCCCAGGAGGGCCAGGCCAAGCGCCTGTGAGGGAGGAAGGACCCCTCAGCCAGGAGAGACAAGATGGCCAGCAGGCCGGTGGGGACACCTTCTTCGGGAGAGCAATGAGAAAATCACACACAATTCTTTTGTTTCTCCTGTTTTATTTATGCTTTGTTTGACAAGCAAGGCTTGGCATCGGCCCTCTGGGGCCCTTTTAGCAGAGACGGGGTCTTCATCCTTTCAGAATCAAGGTGGGGGTTTGCTGTCCAAATCTGCACTCCTCCGCCTTGAGCTCTTAGCAGGTTGCTGCAAAGGAGAGAAGAGAGAAGAGTCATCCCAGGAGGAGAAATGAGGAGGAGGAGGAGCTTCCTTGATGTGCTGATGAGCCCTAAGTATCTCAAAGCTCAGTTTGTTAACATGACTTGAAATGAAGGAAAACTCCCCCCAGGTCTGCCCAGGAGAGTTTCCACCAGCCCAGAAGAGGTGATTGCAAAGGACCGAAGGGTTACCTTCCAGGACGCTGTGCAAAATTTCTCCAGTTATACCCAGAGAGTTGGCCACCGTCCTGAATTTTGTCTCCAAAGCCGGTGTCAGGTTGGGCTGAGTGCCTAGAGGCAAACAGGAAGGTGGGTTGCATTGGCAGGAGAACTCAGGGATGGAGGGGGGCTGCTCTGGCTCCCCCAAATTGACAGGAGAAATGGGGCCTGGATTGCTGCCCTTCGGAACACAGCAGGATGGCACTTTCCCTGCAGAAAGTGCTTGGGAGCAGCACCTTCCCTCCTCAGCAGCCTAGCTCTGTGTGTGTGTGTGTGTGTGTGTGTGTGTGTATGTGTCTCTGTGTGTGTGTGTGTTTTCATTCATGCCCGGAAGCACCCCACTGCGCCCCGCCCAGCCTTGGTCCTTTGGCTCCCTGTTTGACCTGCAGGGAAAGGATGGAGAGAACCCAAAGGGGCATTGGGGCATTGGGGAGAGAACAGGAGGGGACAAGACAAAGCAAGGGAAGGGCTTCCTTTGGGCCACAGATTCTTTGGGGCTTTGGGGAGAGAACAGGAGATTGAGGGGGGCTCCATGACAGCTGAGGACGAGAGCAAAGGAGAAAATAACTGGGAAAAAACGGCCAATCTTATATGAGTCTTCCCATCTCCCAGAGCGGCTTTTACGGACCTTTGCTCCCATTCAAAAGTAGGACCAGTGAACCCCGCAGAAGGATTCCTCAAGGCAACTAAGTCCCAGCAGGTAAAACTTTATTGTGTACAGTATTTCAGAATTGAAGAAGGAGAACCAGCTCTGAGTTTTCCCGTGCGAAAGCTTGCTTAGTTAGAGAATGGATTCCCTTCTCCCCACCCACTGGGTGTTCATATCGCCCCAAAATAATACTCCTTTTTGTTATGGGAACAGTCCACTTCTCCATCGAGCACCTGTGCATGCTCTCAGCCTCCGTGAATGGCTTCCTGGCATCCCAATTCCTCCCTTCATTTTCTGCCCTCCCCCTTTTCCATGGCAAATTGATTAGCGGTGGAAGCTAGCAGGCATCATGCGATTCAAGCTTGACACTTTTCGTTTAATTCACAGGTGTGTGACAACACTGGGATAACGTGAGTGGGACGCTGAAGGGCCGATCTTCTCCAGGACAGCATCTGTGCCCAATTACCGAGTGGCTTTCCCAGAGAGCCCAAGGGCTGAGGAAGGAGGTGCCTCCTGGCTTTTTCCCAGAGGGATGGCATAGAAAGACTTCTCCATATCTGGATTGAAATTGGACCTTTTCCGTCATGGGATTCACAGGGACCTGACCAAATTTTCTCCCTCCCCTGTTGCTTTTAATCCTTCAGCCAGGCTGCCCGTATTTCTACACAAAGCAGAGTCCCAGTGACCTCCAGGCCTTCCCGGGGCCAAAGGGGGGGGGCTGCTGGGGGAGGGGGAGCTGCCCCCTGGATCTGACCCCTCCCCTCTTGTCCCCAGGCAGGAGGATCGTGTTGGGGAGGAAGAGTGCTGGGACTGGCACAAGGGGGGAGGGAACCCCTTTCTTCCTGGCCCTCCAGCTGTGGAAATTCCCCCCCCCCAAAGTGGGCATTTCCTTGGGCTGACCCGCTGTAGCTGGGAGGGGGCCTGGCCCAAAAGGTATGGGGTCCACTGGGGGATTCCCATTCCAGGGATTTTTGTAGGTTTTTTGTTTTGTTTGTATGTGCAGCTGATGCAATTATACTTACTTCACTCGTTAATCCTTCAAGTCATCAATCAGGCAAAATACAGTACTTTTCAACCAGTCTCTCCGGGTTTTGCCCCTTCTATGGATGGGGTGCCTTTTCTGGGTTTGTGGGAGCCCTTTATTTATTCTTGGGGGGGGCTGGGCTTTACGGGTGGGAGGGTGGGTGACTAAAGGGCTCCTGCTGGGCTTATGCCAAGAGAGCCAAGGGCCCCCCAGGAGCGCCAGGCCAAGCGCCTGTGAGGGAGGAAGGACCCCTCAGCTCAGAATAGAAAAGGTGGCCAGCAGGCGGGGGGGGGCACCTTCTTTGGGAGAACAATGAGGAAATCACACACAATTCTTTTGTTTCTCTTGTTTTATTTATGCTTTGTTTGACAAGCAAGGCTTGGCATCGGCCCTCTGGGGCCCTTTTAGCAGAGACGGGGTCTTCTTCCTTTCCCAACTGGGGTGGGGGTTTGCAATGCCCTGAATCTGCACTTCTCCACCTTGAGCTCTTAGCAGGCTGCTGCAGAGGAGAGAAGAGAGAAGAGTCATCCCAGCAGCAGGAGGAGAAGGAGCAGGAGGAGGAGAAATGAGAAGCAGAAATGAGGAGGAGCAGGATGAGAAATGAGGAGGAGGGGAGGGGAGGGGGAGGCAGCAGAGTCCTTCACTGGGGTCCTGGGGAGACCAGAAGAGGTTACCTTTTGGGACAATGGGCACAACTTCTCCTGTGATCCCCATAGAGGCAGAAACGTTCTTGAATTTCGTCTCCAAATCTGGCGTGATGTTTTGCTGTCTGCCTAGAGGAAGCATGAAGTTTGAGAGAGACGGTAGCAGGAGGCCTTGGGTTTGGGGGTGCTGCTCTGACTCAGAGCTTTGCCCCCAAATTTCCTGGTGGAGCTGCTTCAATGGATGGAGAGAATCAGAGGGGGGAGATCTAAAGGCGTGGGAGGGAAGTGTTTTCCCTGGGGCAGAGATGCGGGGGAGGGGAGGGGCCTACCGTGCAGGTCTCATCTGGCCCCCCAAAGAGAGTGGTGGAGGTGGCCCAGTGGGGGCGAGAAGCAAAGGGAGGGGCCTTGCATTGCTGCCAGCAACATTAGAAAGGGCGAGGAGAAGGGTGAGGGTCTCGCCTGAACAGCCCCCCCATCCCCAGCTCTCTTACCTGCAAGCTTCAGGAAGGTGTCCATCCCCCGTGTGAGGTAACTGATGATGTAGGTTTTATAATCCGTATCTATGATTTGACCGAAGGTGGGGCCTTCCGTGCAAAAGAGGGGCTGCTTAAAATCGCCTTCAGGGCAGGAGCACCGTAAGCCCCCCCCCCTCCCTCCTTCTGGGAAAGTGGCTCAGCCCCAGCCCGAATCCTCCAAGGAGGGGCCTATGAATCCTCTTGTGGAGCAGGGGGGAGGGAAGGGGGGCTGTGAAAACTCACCGATCAGCAATTCGGATGAACGGGGGGGGGGGGATTCCCACTTACTTGAGGTCTTGAATTTCCCGGGCTTCTGATATTTAGCGAACCGGAGCTGTCTAGTCTTGCACTGGCCGTTTCTGGAAAGAAAAGGGAACAGTACAAACTTTAGAAGGAGCCAAGCAGAGACAGGCCCAATCATCTCCCAATATCCAGGATGATGGATAGGGGAGTCCAAAGCTGCACCCCCTTTTCCTTCAGGCTTTCCCCCACCTGCCCTCTGGGGGAGAGGAACCCTTGGCCAGGACAGCGAGGGCATTAGAGCCCCCAACACTCACTCGAGAGACTTAAAGGTGTACATCAGACCTCCTTTTGGTTCGGCCTGTAATGTGTATTGGGGGAACTGATTTTCAATAACTATGTATGCCAGAGGGTACCAATTCCCAGCAACCTAGAACAAGGGGAAACCAGGAGAGTCTGTTAGCACCAAAGGGGAGGACCCCCGAGGCCCCCCCCAAGTCCGAATCCTTCCTGCCAGACCTGGGAAAGCTCTCAGGGCCATGCCAGGAGCGCCAGGAGCAGAGTCAATTAACCAAGCGTGCCCTCTGGGGAAGCGCATTTGCCTGGCAGAGAGGGTTTCACGCTGTCCAGCAGAATTGGGTGCTGAATCGGGAGACACACCAAAGACTGGGCCAAAGGAAATTTGGTGAAAATCTGGCAGTGGGGAAGACGCCTCTCTGGAGCCCAGAAGAGAGATAGCGATTGAGGCTTCTCCTCCCAAACTGAAGAGGAGGGGCTCCCAAACTCTTCGTGCCAGAGCTGCGTAAACTCCCTTGCACCATTTGTAAGGAAAGCCGACCCTTGCGGGGCTGATGATGTTCCCTAGTTGGGGAGTGAAACACCTCCCAGCCAGCCACCCAGCACCAAGGGCCTCCCAAGCTCCCCCGGGCTTCTCTCCTACTTAGGGTTGGGAGGAGAAGAAATTTCTTCCAGCATTTTCAGCTCTGACCCTTTGGATATCGAAGTTCGGCATGACGGGGATGTCCACTGCATCTCCAAGCCAGCAGACACCAGCCAGGAGAAGGCTGCCCAGCAGGACCTTCATTGCTGCCACTCTGTTGCCCCCTCTGGGTGCTCCACTTTGCCTGCTGCTTTTATACTCTGGATGCTCAGCCAGGTGAATCCGCCCTTGTCCAGGAAGCTATCAAAAGGGGATGGCACGGACCATTGACAGGAGAAAAGGGGCCTGGATGGCTGCCCTTGGGAACACAGCAGGAGGGGACGTTCCCTGCAGAGAGAGCTTGGGAGCAGCACCTTCTCTCCTCAGCAGCCTCGGAGTGTGTGTGTGTGCATTCACACCCGGAAGCACCCCACTGCGCCCTGCCTGGCCTTGCTCCTTTGGCTCCCCAATCCCTGTTTGACCTGCTGGGGAAGGATGGAGACAGCCGAAGGGGGGGGGGGAGAAGAGACACAAGGAGGGAAAGGCCTACCTCAATCTCCCTCCTTCCCCCCCCCACAATGCCCCTCAGCATCTCTTCCCAAGGGAATCCCTTCCCTCTCTTTGTCTTGCTCTCCCCCCTTCAGCTGATAAAAGCAGGAGGGTCCAGGGCAGGCGGGAGGCAGTCCAGCTGGCATCATGGGCAGAGCTGGCCGCAACCTGTGGAGGGGCAGAGAAGTCCACCTGCCCAGGTGAGCAGCAGGCAGGTGAATTCTGGGGGAGATGGGAAATAAAGCTCTGCTTTAAAGAAGAATGTGCTTTTTCACCCCAAATGTTTTCCTTCCATTCCAGAATTGAAGAGGCCGGGCTTGGCTGGAAATAGAGGATGGAGATCCTGCGGGGAATTTGAAGCTTCCCTGCAGGGCCCCAGGGACCCCCAGGCCTTCCCGGGGCCAAAGGGGGGCCTGCTTGGGGAGGGGGAGCTGCCCCCTGGATCTGACCCCTCCCCTCTTGTCCCCAGGCAGGAGGATCGTGCTGGGGAGGAAGAGCGCTGGGAATGGCACAAGGGGGAGGGAACCCCTATCTTCCTGGCCCTCCAGCTGTGGAAATCCCCCCCCCCAAAGTGGGCATTTCCTTGGGCTGACCCTCTGTGGCTGGGAGGGGGCCTGGCCCAAAAGGTAAGGGGTCCACTGGGGGATTCCGATTCCAGGGATTTTTGTAGGTGTGTTTTCTCTGTATGTGCATCTGATGCAATTATACTTATTTCACTCGTTAATCCTTCAAGTCATCAACCAGGCAAAATACACTACTTTTCAACCAGTCTTTCTGGGTTTTGCCCCTTCTACTGATGGGGTGCCTTTTCTGGATTTATGGGAGCCCTTTATTTATTCTTGGGGAGCCCCTGGGGTTTACAGGTTGGAGGGTGGGTGACTAAAGGGCTCCTGCTGGGCTGGTGCAAGAGAGCCAAGGGCCTCCCAGGAGGGCCAGGCCAAGTGCCTGTGAGAGAGGAAGGACCCCTCAGCCCAGGAGAGACAAGGTGGCCAGCAGGCTGGGGGGGCACCTTCTTTGGGAGAGCAATGAGAAAATCACACACAATTCTTTTGTTTGCTGTGTTTTGTGTACACTTTATTTGACAAGCAAGGCTTGGCATCGGCCCTCTGGGGCCCTCTTAGCAGAGACGGGGTCTTCGTCCTTTCAGAATTGGGGTGGGGGTTTGCTGTCCAAATCTGCACTCCTCCGCCTTGAGCTTTTAGCAGGTTGCTGCAGAGGAGAGGAGAGAGAAGAGTCATCCCAGGAGGAGAAATGAGGAGGAGGAGGAGGAGGAGGAGCTTCTCTGAAGCGCTGATGAGCCCTAAGTATCTCGAAAGTTTGTTAACATGACTTGAAATGAAGGAAAACTCCCCCCAGGTCTGCCCAGGAGAGTTTCCACCAGCCCAGAAGAGGTGATTGCAATGGACCGAAGGGTTACCTTCCTGGACGCTGTGCAAAATTTCTCCAGTTATACCCAGAGAGTTGGCCACCGTCCTGAATTTTGTCTCCAAAGCCGGCGTCACGGTGGGCTGAGTGCCTAGAGGCAAACAGGGAGATGGGTTGCTTTGGCAGGAGAACTCAGGGATGGAGGGGGGCTGCTCTGGCTCCCCCCAAATTCCCTGGTTGAACAGCTGGGAGAGAAGGAAGGAATCAGAGGGGGAGGTGTAGAGGCACAAGAGGGAAGGGCTTCCCCTGGGGCAGAGATACTGGAGGGCAGGAGGGGGAGGGGATGTGCCTCACCAAGGAGGTTCCAGCTGGCACCCCAAAGAGGGTGATGGAGGTGGCCTAGTGGGGGCAATGTTAGGAAGGGTGAGGACAAGGGTGAGGGTCTCTCCCGACCAGCCCCCCTACCCAGCTGTCTTACCAGCAAGCGCCAGGAAGGTATCCAAGTTGCCGGAGCCCCGTGTGATGTATGCAATGAAATAGGTATTGTAATCCGTTTCCACAAAGCGAAGGGTGCTCGGGGCTTCATTGAAAAAAGTGTGGAGAGGCTGTTTAGTCACCTTCCGGGCAGGAGCCCTGCCTGCCTCTCTCACACACACACACACACACACACCGCCTGTCCTTGGAGTAGCTGCCATCTTCCCTGGGCGGGCTCGGCCCATGGTTCCGATTGTTTCCTGGCCTCGAGGAGAAGTGTCAAGGATGAAACTCTGGCAGCTACATGCCTCTGCATTTCAATTTCCTTTAGATTAAGGGGGGAAGGTGTTACTCTAAAGTGGGTTAGATGGAGAAACGAAACTTCTACAATTCTGCTGAAGACCGTGAGAGCCTGAAACCTTTTCAAGGACACCAGAACAGGTGTGGATTTGAAGCAGACAGTTCCCATAACAAAGTGAACTTGTTAATATGGAATACGTAAGACATTGGGATTTGGCTGGGAAAATTATTGTTTAAGGCTATGAATTGGTGTTGGAACCTCAGAGTTAGTTTTCCTTCAACATTACCATGCAGCTTATTGAACAAACAGTAAGATTTTCGGGGATGGAATGAACCTGGAGTTTTGTTTGGATTCTCCAGCTGGATGTTGACAAGAGATGGGGGGGCTTCTCCTGGGCAGGAGGGGGCAGGCTCACCCCCGGCCCTGCCCAGTGGGTCTTTCCACACTCTCCAAGGACAGGCGGATGAAGGCTCTTGTGAAGCGGTGGGGCAGTTGCCCCGGGGAACTCAGCATCGACAGTCAGGCAGAAAACCCTCTTTTCTTCGCCAGACCAACATGAAAACTCCCCAGGCAGCATCTAGATGAAGGAGGGAGAGAATTCCCTACTCACCGCTGGTCACATAGTACCCTGGCTGGTCCTGTTTATTCAACATCAGCTCTGCAGTCCAGCATCTGCCATGTCTGGAAAAAGTATGAATCGCATAAACCTTTGAGGGGGTCTTGGAGGGACCAAGCCTGTTCCCCTTTTGGCAGGAGCCGGAAGAGAAGGATTGCAGAGAAGAGCCTGGCCAGCTGTTGCCTGGACCCCAGACTTCATGCCCGTATTGGGGGTGATGCATGTGGGAATCCAAAGTGTGGAAAGTCTCCCAGCTGCGCCCACTTGTCCTTCGGGTTCTTCCCCTCCTGCCCTCTGGGGGACAGGAACCCTCCGCCTGGCCAGTGAAGGCTGTTCCTTACGGCAGCTCCCAAAACTTACAGGGGAACTCTAATTCTGTACTTCAGGTTTCCATTTGGTTGAGCCACATATTGAAACGGGCAGAACTCCACACTCCGCATCTGTCCAGTAGGAATGGACAGAAGAGGATACCAAGCCTTGGCAATCTAGAGAAAGGAGAAACCAGGTGAGTTTGTTAGCACTGAAGGGGAGGGGCTCCAAAACCCAAACTCTTCGTGCCAGGGCTGCGTAAACTCCCTTGCACCATTTGTAAGGAAAGCTGACATTTGCAGGGCTGATGATGTTCTCTAGTTGGGTCGTGAAATGCCTCCCAGCCAACCACCTAACATCAAGGGCCCCACAGGGCCCCCGGGCTTCTATCCTACTTAAATTTAGGAAGAGAAAAAATTCCTTCCAGGATTTTCAGCTCTGACCCTTCGGTGATTGAAGTTCGGCATAATGGGGATGTCCCTTGCGTCTCCAAGCCAGCAGACACCAGCCAGGAGAAGGCTGCCCAGCAGGAGATTCATTGCTGCCACTCTGTTGCCCCCTCTGGGTGCTCAGCTTTGCCCGCTGCTTTTATACTCTGGACGCTCAGCCAGGTGAATTCGCCCATGTCCAGGAAGCTATCGAAAGAGGACGGCACGGACCCTTGACAGGAGAAAAGGGGCCCGGATGGCTGCCCTTTGGAACACAGCAGGATGGGACGTTCCCTGCAGAGAGAGCTTGGGAGCACCGCCTTCCCTTGGGGGAAGGGGCGGTGTGCATTCACTCCCGGAAGCACCCCACTGCGCCCCGCCGAGCCTTGGTCCTTTGGCTCCCTGTTTGACCTGCAGGGAAAGGATGGAGAGAACCCAAAGGGGCATTGGGGCATTGGGGAGAGAACAGGAGATTGAGGGGGGCTCCATGACAGCTGAGGACGAGAGCAAAGGAGAAAATAGCCGGGGAAAAACGGCCAATCTTATATGAGTCTTCCCATCTCCCAGAGCGGCTTTTACGGACCTTTGCTCCCATTCAAAAGTACGACCAGTGAACCCCGCAGAAGGATTCCTCAAGGCAACTAAGTCCCAGCAGGTAAAACTTTATTGTGTACAGTATTTCAGAATTGAAGAAGGAGAACCAGCTCTGAGTTTTCCCGTGCGAAAGCATGCTTAGTTAGAGAATGGATTCCCTTCTCCCCACCCACTGGGTGTTCATATCGCCCCAAAATAATACTCCTTTTTGTTATGGGAACAGTCCACTTCTCCATCGAGCACCTGTGCATGCTCTCAGGCTCCGTGAATGGGTTCTTGGCATCCCAGTTCCTCCCTTCGTTTTCTGCCCTCCCCCTTTTCCATGGCAAATTGATTAGCGGTGGAAGCTAGCAGGCATCATGCGATTCAAGCTTGACAGCCACTTTTCATTTAATTCACAGGTGTGTGACAACACTGGGATAACGTGAGTGGGACGCTGAAGGGCCAATCTTCTCCAGGACAGCATCTGTGCCCAAATTACCGAGTGGCTTTCCCAGAGAGCCCAAGGGCTGAGGAAGGAGGTGCCTCCTGGCTTTTTCCCAGAGGGATGGCATGGAAAGACTTCTCCATATCTGGATTGAAATTGGACCTTTTCCGTCATGGGATTCACAGGGACCTGACCAAATTTTCTCCCTCCCCTGTTGCTTTTAATCCTTCAGCCAGGCTGCCCGTATTTCTACACAAAGCAGAGTCCCAGGGACCCCCAGGCCTTCTGGGGCCAAAGGGGGGGCCTGCTGGGGGAGGGGGATCTGCCCCCTGGATCTGCCCCCTCCCCTCTTGTCCCCAGGCAGGAGGATCGTGCTGGGGAGGAAGAGCGCTGGGATTGGCACAAGGGGGGAGGGAACCCCTTTCTTCCTGGCCCTCCAGCTGTGGAAATCCCCCCCCCAAAGTGGGCATTTCCTTGGGCTGACCCTCTGTGGCTGGGAGGGGGCCTGGCCCAAAAGGTATGGGGTCCACTGGGGGATTCCAATTCCAGGGATTTTTGTAGGTGTGTTTTGTTTGTATGTGCAGCTGATGCAATTATACTTACTTCACTCGTTAATCCTTCAAGTCATCAATCAGGCAACATACAAGACTTTTCAACCAGTCTCTCCGGGTTTTGCCCCTTCTATGGATGGGGTGCCTTTTCTGGGTTTGTGGGAGCCCTTTATTTATTCTTGGGGGGGGTGCTGGGCTTTACGGGTGGGAGGGTGGGTGACTAAAGGGCTCCTGCTGGGCTTATGCCAAGAGAGCCAAGGGCCCCCCAGGAGCGCCAGGCCAAGCGCCTGTGAGGGAGGAAGGACCCCTCAGCTCAGAATAGACAAGGTGGCCAGCAGGCCGGTGGGGGCACCTTCTTCGGGAGAACAATGAGGAAATCACACACAATTCTTTTGTTTGTTGTGTTTTATTTATGCTTTATTTGACAAGCAAGGCTTGCCATCTGCCTTCTGGCTCGTAGGATGGGAGCTGTCTGCAGGGGCCTTTTTAGCAGAGACGGGGTCTTCGTCCTTTCCCAACTGGGGTGGGGGTTTGCTGGCTGTGTTCCATATCTGTACTTCTCCGCCTTGAGCTCTTAGCAGGTTTCTGCAGAGGAGAGAAGAGAGAAGAGTCATCCCAACAGCAGCAGGAGGAGGAGAAAGACAAGCAGAAGGAGGAGAAATGAGGAGGAGCAGCTGGAGGAGGAGGCAGCGGCATCCTTCACTGGTGTCCTGGGGAGCCCAGGAGAGGAGACATGGAGGACCAAAGGGTTACCTTTCAAGACAACAGGCACAACTTCTCCTGTGATCCCCACAGAGGCAGCAACATTCTTGAATTTCGTCTCCAAATCTGGCGTGATGTTTTGCTGTCTGCCTAGAGGAAGCATGAAGTTTGAGAGAGACGGTAGCAGGAGGCCTTGGGTTTGGGGGTGCTGCTCTGATTCAGAGCTTTGCCCCCAAATTTCCTGGTGGAGCTGCTTCAATGGATGGAGAGAATCAGAGGGGGGAGATCTAAAGGCGTGGGAGGGAAGTGTTTTCCCTGGGGCAGAGATGCGGGGGGAGGGGAGGGGCCTCACCATGCAGGTCTCATCTGGCCCCCCAAAGAGAGTGGTGGAGGTGGCCCAGTGGGGGCGAGAAGCAAAGGGAGGGGCCTTGCATTGCTGCCAGCAACGGTAGGAAGGGCGAGGAGAAGGATGAGGGTCCCATCCCCAGCTCTTACCTTCAAGTGTCAGGAAGGTGTCCAATCCCCGGGTGAGGTAAATAATCATGTAGGTTTCATAATCCGTATCCACGATTTGACCGAAGGTGGGGCCTTCCGTGCAAAAGAGGGGCTGCTTAAAATCGCCTTCAGGGCAGGAGCCCCGTAAGCCCCCCCTCCCTCCTTCTGGGAAAGTGGCTCAGCCCCAGCCCGAATCCTCCAAGGAGGGGCCTATGGATCCTCTTGTGGAGCAGGGGGGAGGGAAGGGGGGCTGTGAAAACTCACCGATCAGCAATTCGGATGAACGGGGGGGGGGGGGGGATTCCCACTTACTTGAGGTCTTGAATTTCCCCAGCTTCTGATATTTAGCGAACCGGAGCTGTCTAGTCTTGCACTGGCCGTTTCTGGAAAGAAAAGAACAGTACAAACTTTAGAAGGAGCCAAGCAGAGACAGGCCCAATCATCTCCCAATATCCAGGATGATGGATAGGAGAGTCCAAAGCTGCACCCCCTTTTCCTTCAGGCTTTCCCCCACCTGCTCTCTGGGGGAGAGGAACCCTTGGCCAGGACAGCGAGGGCATTAGAGCCCCCAACACTCACTCGAGAGACTTAAAGGTGTACATCAGACCTCCTTTTGGTTTGGCCTGTAATGTGTATTGGGGGAACGGCTTTTCAATAACTATGTATGCCAGAGGGTACCAATTCCCAGCAACCTAGAACAAGGGGAAACCAGGAGAGTCTGTTAGCACCAAAGGGGAGGCCCCCCCAAGGCCCCCCCCAAGTCCGAATCCTTCCTGCCAGACCTGGGAGATCTCTCAGGGCCATGCCAGGAGCGCCAGGAGCAGAGTCAATTAACCAAGCTTGCCCTCTGGGGAAGCGCATTTGCCTGGCAGAGAGGGTTTCACGCTGTCCAGCAGAATTGGGTGCTGAATCGGGAGACACACCAAAGACTGGGCCAAAGGAAATTTGGTGAAAATCTGCCAGTGGGGAAGACGCCTCTCTGGAGCCCAGAAGAGAGATAGCGATTGAGGCTTCTCCTCCCAAACTGAAGGGGAGGGGCTCCCAAACTCTTCGTGCCAGAGCTGCGTAAACTCCCTTGCACCATTTGTAAGAAAAGCTGACCCTTGCGGGGCTGATGATGTTCCCTAGTTGGGGCGTGAAACACCTCCCAGCCAGCCACCCAGCACCAAGGGCCCCCCAAGTTCCCCCGGGCTTCTCTCCTACTTAGGGTTGGGAGGAGAAGAAATTTCTTCCAGCATTTTCAGCTCTGACCCTTTGGATATCGAAGTTCGGCATGACGGGGATGTCCACTGCATCTCCAAGCCAGCAGACACCAGCCAGGAGAAGGCTGCCCAGCAGGATCTTCATTGCTGCCACTCTTTGACCCCTCTGGGTGCTCTGCTTTGCCCGCTGCTTTTATCCTCTGGATGCTCAGCCAGGTGAATCCGCCCTTGTCCAGGAAGCTATCAAAAGGGGACGGCATGGACCGCTGACAGGAGAAAAGGGGCCTGGATGGCTGCCCTTGGGAACACAGCAGGAGGGGACGTTCCCTGCAGAGAGAGCTTGGGAGCAGCACCTTCTCTCCTCAGCAGCCTCAGTGTGTGTGTGTGTGTGTGTGTGTGTGTGTGTGTGTGTGACACCTCCAATGCAAAAGTTTGGTCCAGAGGGCACAAGAGCGTCCTGATACCAAAGTGCCACTTTGCACCTGCTCTGGTGCTTCCCCAAAGGTGCATCTAGTTTGGTAATGAAATATCTGCAAGAAAACAGGAAGCTCAGTTGTAACAAGGACTCACAATTGCCCTCCTGCCCCCCCAACATTGGGAGGAAAGATGGGCCTTTGGGACGCCCTTCCTACATCTATGGTGGGGCTGAGTCTTGCTTTGTGGCCCTCTTGGGATGCTGCCCACTGAGCCAAGCACACCGAGGGTGCCCTGCCAGGCCTGTGTTCTGAACCAGAAAGTTCATGGTGTTGTTTGCAGGAAGCTGTTTTCCAGTTGCGTGTTTTTTCCTGCCCTCCCTCTGCCCAAAATTGCTCTGGGACTCAGGGAACTTCAGGTCCTCCCTCCTCATCTGCGTGTTCTCTTGGCTGGGTCAGGAGGCAGAGTGACCCTGAGAAGGGCTGGCTCTCATTAGCTTTTCCCCTTTGGGGGGACTGGCATCCCATCCCTCACAATAGGCTGCCAGTTCAGCTCTCTTTTCATCAACCACCCTCATGCACTGCCCATCTAGGCCCCCCCATCAGGGCAGGGCTGGCAGGCAGTTTCCCAAGAGAAGCAGAAATGGCCACTGGCTGTGGGAAGGACCATTTGGGTTGGGGTCCAGCATGGAACCCCCGGGGAGCTCCTGAGCTGGAAGGATCTAAACCCATCCTTGCCCGGCACCTTGACCTTCCCCAGCAGGGGAAGGTCCTACCACCTGCCCCACATCAGAGAGTTGAGGTGCTTTTCCAGAGGAGACAGTCCTGCCCTGCCCCATGGAGGGGGCAAAAGTCCTGCAGGAACAGCCTGGGGTGGCCCGGTGGGCCAGCTATTCTGCTACACAAACACACCCAACTATTGGGACCCCTACCCTTTTTAATTCAGATCCACCCTTCGTTCCTCCACTGAATCCTCTCCCACCTCCAACCCACAGATCAAAATCACCCCACAGTGCAAAAGGACAGGTGGTGGAAATAAAAGTCACATGCAAGAAAGGAGTTGCGTTTTCGGAGTCTATTTATTAAGATTCCTCCCTGGAATTTGAGCCAAGCCCGAAACACGCCCAGCCGCTGCTCCCAGCAGTTTCGAGGCCTCCCCTTTGGTCACCTGCAAGGAAAGGAGCCGGTGAGCGGAATGGGGGGGGGGATTGTAGCTGCAAATGGGAAGGATTTGGCATTGTGAAAGGGGTGAGCCCTCTGAGAAAACTCACCTATTCTTCTTTTGGGCACTCCACTGTGGGGGAGAAAAGGGGGCAATTAATGGTGAATGGAATGAATACAAGATGGTCAGTCCTTAGGTCATCTGCCCATCAACATGATCTCCCCCTGCCCTTGCATGTAGACCACCCTTCTGCACCATCTTTCTACATAAGACATACTCAGAAGAGATTTCAAGAAGTCCCTTCCCATGAATTCTACCTCTATCTCTATTTAGATCTATCTATCCGTCCATCCATCCATCCATCTATCATCTACCTCTCTTTATCTCTGCCTTTGAGTCAATTTCCCTGCTATGTTTGTGGCCACATTTTTCATGGTGGTTTGCCTGGGGAGAGACAGGGAGTGACCCAATGACTTCTGTGCTTAAGGCAGGACTAGAACTCCAGTTTCATACCAAAGCCTGGAGGCTTTAACCCCTCCACCAAACCTGCCCTCGTCTATTGGTTACTTTTCTGCTCTGAACTGCATTACCGGTTGGGTTTAAAACCACAATCTCATCTTCTTTGTAGCCGAGCTTTTTACATTCATCTTTAAATTTCTGAAGTATCTCTGGATCCTGGGTTGCTTCCGGACCTGTGGGGACTGGGACAGAGGAGAGCTGTGTGTTGAATGAGGAAGGAGAGATTTTTTTCAGAAGAGGGGTGGGGTGGCAGGCTTAATCAGGGGTTTCCTATCAGGATCTTGCCTCCCTCCACTTTCTTCCTCCAAAACTGTACAGAAACTACAGAACAACAGAGTGGGAAGGGACCTCGGAGGTCTTCTAGTCCAACCCCCTGCTCAATAAACTGAAATAGAACAGTCATATTAAAAAGGAACCAGGTAAATAAATGCTGGAGCAGACTCTTAAACCTTTCAGAAGCCCAGAATCTTAACTTGTAGGAAAATGCATAAAGATGGGTGAGATGAGGACAAAGGAGATCAAAAGCCAAGACTGCCTTCTCCCTCCTTGCAGGATGATGGGCCTTGGGGTACCTACCGTGAAGTGTGGTAGTGTTGAATTCGTTGTTGACGTTGATGGTGGACATGACGTACTTGTTTAGGACCTTCACGGACTCCACTATCACCATTGTATCACCTGCCAGAAAAGGTTTGGGGCATGAGGGCGGGGGGGGGGGAAGGAGAGACTCAGGCAGAGCCAAATCTAGCCAAGCTGGCCACATTTTGCAGGCCAGAACCTCAGCGTTGGCTCATTAGACAGAGTGGTTTATCTGATAAGTCTCCAGATAAGTTTCAGGTATATTACGGGCAATAGCAATGCGTACCTATCATAAAAGGATGTTTACTTATTCTAAAATCAAGCTGCAGAAATTACAATTTAAATCTAAAAGGTAATAGTAATATTAACATCCTTTAACCTTTATAATGTAGTATTTTTAGATGGTTAATGAAATGGCGGAGGGACTTTCTGCGCCTTGTCGGGCTCCGAAGAAGGGGCAGCCCTTCCGTCTGCCCTTTCCCCCCTTTAGTCTTTTTGTATGAGCCGCAAAGACAGCAACTTGCTGCGTCCCAAACGGGTTCGGAGTTTGTGGAAGGACATTCCATTTATGTCCCTCGAAGGATGGAATAGAACCTCTGTATTTCATGTACAGGTGGCATTCCGGTATAGAATGCTATTTCACCTCTCCCTCCCTCCACCCACCCCCCAAGTGGTTCTCGCACTGGGACCCCCAGGGATCAGGGGAGTCAAAGCTACCCAATCATCTCTTTTCAATGGAAAAGATAGGAAGGAAAGGTTTATATTTTGAAATAACATATAGCTTAAAAAGATTTAGAGTATATACTCTTTAAGAAGGAGCAACTGCAGTTCTTGGAAGGTCACCCTCTCAGAATGACAGAATAGCACAGTTGGAAGGGACCTTGGAGGTCTTCTAGTCCAGCCCCATGCTGGAGCAGGAGACTCTACACCATTTCGGACAAGTAGCCATCCAATCTCTTCTTAAAAACCTCCAGCAACAGAGCACCCATGACCGCTAGAGGCCGTCTGAATGTCAGTCTCTCAATCCGGTCACGGATGAACTTGCCCAGTAGTGGTCCTGTGGCCCCTTTACACTGACTGGGTCCCCAAAGGCCAACGTGCCTGAAACGAGACAGTCCCACGAGAGCAGGAGACATGCTTAGGCTCCGTGTCTCCAGCACCCCACACTGGAAGAGATGCTATGGGGTGGGTGGGGCAGGCTTGCCCACCATCTGCTCCCCAGCATCTTTTTGCTGGAGTTGAGTGCAAAGAAAGAAGCCGCACGCCTTCCCGGGCCCCGGTGTTATGGGTGACCAAATCAAGGAGGTAGGCATGGCAGCCCTTCGCCAGTACAGACCAAAGAAACCACGGTATTTCCCATCTTTTCCTTTCTTGAACTGACACGTTACTTTCTTGTACTCGTTGTCCCTGCAAGAGAAGAGGAGGGGAGAGTTGATGAGGCTGACCGCTGGTCCTTTGGAGAGGAACAGTCAATGGGGGGCTGGGAGTCCCACCACTGAACATTAATCTGAACTGACCTATCAAGGAAGGTTTTCTAGGTTGCCCCACACGGTGGGAAGCACCCCTGAGCTGAGCCATCCTGCTTTCATTGTCTCTGGCTATGGGCTTCCCAGAGGCCTCTTTCTGCCTCTGTTCATTTGGTTGCTGGTAAAGAAGCCAGATTGGTGAGCATTTCCATCTGCTCAAGCTGCGTCCGGCTGCCGCTCTTTCTGACCTCTTAGTCTTTGGGGGCATCCGCCAGAATGGTGCTCTGCTAGTTTGAGGCATTTCAGAGTCACAGCCGGACCAAAGTATTTTTTTCAGTGGCTGAAGAACCTCAACAGATGCCTTCGCTTCTCTGCTACTCGGGCTTTCTCTCGCACTGGCGTGTGGCTGTCCCATACTTCAGCCACACAGGAGGAGTCCTCTGTCCTCCTCCTCAAATCCACCTCAGAAATCCACCCTTCCAGTCTGCTGGGCTCTTGTGATAAGGCTGGCCTTGTCTAATGCATTGCAGTCGGTCCACAAGGGCTTGGCTTGAGCTAGGATACTTACAAGGGGAAAAAGACCAAAACCCTAATTACTCCTTTCTCTGGTTGTGACACCTCTGCAACAAATGCTGGCATGCTTCTTATCTGCTCCAGATGGGATGATGAGTTACACGCAACAGCAAAGCTTATCCAGGAACCCAGATCCTGAAGCAGAAAGAGGGAAGGGGAGCCACACTGAGTCTCTGGAAGGAATCAGCCTCCTGTCTGCTCACTTGAGGCTCTCAGTTGAGGCTATTCCCGCAGCTGTGCGATTCCAGTTTCAGTCAAGGGAGTTGGTCCTGCCTTGAGCAAAATCCACTTGCCGCTAAAGAAATAGAGGGGGTCAACTATTCTCCAAAGCCCCTGAAGGCAGGACAAGAAACAATGGATGGAAACTTATCAAAGAGTGATCCAACCTGGAATTAAGGAGAAATTTCCTGACAGTAAGAACAATCAGCCAGTGGAACAGCCTGCCTCCAGAAGTTGTGGGTGCTCCATCCCCGGAGGTTTTCAAGAAGGGACTGGAGAAACATTTGTCTGGAATGGCAGAGGGTCTCCTGACTTGGGCAGAGGGCTGGACTAGAATTTAGATGCAGCTGCAGCAAATGGCTTTCTTTGCGTTGCCCCACCAACGGAGGGGACAAAGTGAACACTGATTCAGTTGATTCACTGCAGAAAGAGGATTTACATGGGGCAGAAGCAGACACCCCCCTCCCAGACCAAATTCAAGTGTTCTCAGTCACAGATTGAGGGAGAGATGAACGATGCAACCACTCTCTTCCCCAGTCTGGAACAACCACCTCTGGCTGCGGCAAACCCCCTGGCTGGTCCCTTGGCCTAGAGAGAGACAGTGGAGACCTGTCACAATTTGCCTTCAGCTCTCCACATTAGTGGATCTCTTTGTATCACGTCAACAGACGTGATCACTTTCCGTACTTGTGATTTCAGTATTGGGGTCCCCTGAGCAACCAACCCAAAGCAAGCCAGCCCTGCTCCAGCTACATTGGTCTACCTTGTTGCTGGTTGTGGTCATTTCTTTCCATTCAGCCTGGACGACGCAGCAGAGGGCAAGGCCCAAAGCGAAAAGCCAGGATTTCATCTCGCTAGTCCCTTTCTTCTTCTCAGCCCAAGAATATGCGGAGACTCAGAGGCAGGTAACTGGCACTCGCAAGGCCTCCTGCTCTTATAGAGCCCGGGGGGCTCCCCGTGACCCCCACCCTCGCAGGGGCTTGCGTCACCTCCATCCAGGCGTGCAGCCACCGAGATAACGGGGTGTTTCTTGGCTGGGCCTCAATGCCTCGAGGGCCCCAGCTGGCAGGCTGACCTTACCCATTGATGTTCTCCAAACAGGGTACGTTTGCGTTGGCTCCGGACCCAGTGGGCATTTGGCCTGCAGCCCACCAGGAAAGGTCTCCCTCTTTCTTCGGAGCTGGGCGACAAAGGTCAGTGGCCTGGCTAAAATGCAAAACTAACAAGCTTGTGACCATCCAGGTGAGAGAACAGAGGAGAAGACGGAGTCAGGAGACCGAGGTGTGTCCTCACATGCTCAAGGGTGATACGACATCATGGTTAGGCTCAAACAATAGCGGCTTTTGGGAAATCAAGATAGAAAGAGTATTGATGCTTTTGTCGAGAACACATGGAC